GCAATGGGCAGGTGGAAGTCCGATGCCTTCCTCAAATATTGGCGAAACCTAGACACGTTGGCCTCCATTCATGTCCATCACCTCCACGTCAGACAAGACTTACATCGTCGCACTCTTCACAGGTGTTCCGCTCCAAACTAGTTATAATTACCAGAACACTCACATACTGAATCTCACCATGATTCCACAGGCTTGGCTTAGCTCTCTGGGTTTGTCCACTCCTTATACCTCGTTCGACGTGCCAGTGGCTTCACTGTATCGAGTTGGGTTTGTCTTCACACTTGGTTTTTCTCGCAACCCCAGAGCGAAAAATTTATCCAACCTACTCTTCAGCAGCCCGAATAAATTTTCCGTGCCCTAGCCCATCACAAGCTATCAGTACAGACTACGATACGTTGACATCTCTCGATACTCTTTGAACCTGTATAGATACATTCTCGATTCCTGTTGCAATCTCGAAACTTCTACAATTGGTCAGATACCATTTAATTTGAATCTACATGTCCTTATTTGGTCCATAATGGTTCCAAGATTCGAGTATACCTTCAAACATGGGTAGGTACTTCATTATTCATTTAATTTAATTGTTTTGGAGAATGACTCGAATGGTGTTCAGCTGTCATTGCTGTTCAACACTTACTTCGATCGTTTGTCACCTCGTCTGGAGGCAAATCAGCTCTCCTCAATTCTAATCCTATCAATCTGATTCATCTGGATTAAACTAATTGCTTCTCTCTTTCAATAGACACCCATTGTGCCTACACTCTTTCAAGGGAGTTACGCATAGTATTCATTTAATTGCATTCTTCAATATTTTCTATGTCAGGACTCCTTGATATTCATTTGATATGTCTTTGGAGCCTCGCAGTACTTCGATCATTCTTCTAGTCATTTTCCTCAACCATGCAACCTGATTGGTCTATTAGACTAAATCGCAGTCTTTTAGATTAATGCATGATCTCATTCTAGAAGGAGTATTTGATAATTCCTGAGTTCTAGAAAGTCATTTTGAGTCAATCCTCGGCTCATGGTCACTTGAGTAAGTTCTTCCAAACTCCTGCCAGTGTAAGGTCCAATAAAAATACCCTTGGTATGTCATACATGAATGGTCATCCTTCGGATGTAGTCCGAGTCTGGTATAATCCTGCTTGACAAACAGGTAGACTACTATCCGAAGGTAGTATCGGGGATGGGTAAACTGACCAACTTGTGGAAGTATGGGTATATGGTCCCTTCAACTTATTAAACTGATTCAGTATTGACTTTGACTGTCAATCTGAGTCTCAATTACAGTCCTCTCAATATGAATCTATGCGTGAAAATGTCACAATTCACAGCATAGACGTCTAGCCAAAATTTAGGCATGTCACCGGTTACGCCGAACCCATTCCCGAATCGTACTCAATCTCCTCCACCTCCAATTGAAGTTGATGGTGAAGAGGAGTACAACGTTGCCGAAATCCTTGACTCCAAACTGGATAGAAGGTATAAACATTGTCCCCTTTGTTATTACATCCGGTGGGCCGGTTACGGAGGTACCGACGATGAATTTTCTTGGGTTGCTGCTGATGAACTGGTACCCGCCTTCCACGCTCGATACCCTCAGAAACCTGGACCTTGATCACAAGAAATCATTTTATTCCTTTCCCGATTCCGCCGTGCTCCGCTGAAGTTTACTTTGTGCATTTAGAGGGTAAATGTCAAGTCCATGCCTCGGGCCTTCATTCCGCCGCTCGGTACTCCGAAGATCCACTCTTATTGTAATCTTACTCTTATTGTTCTTTCTCGCTACACATACCCTTTCGTTCTAGTCCCTTCTTATTGTCTTTTACTTTACCCTGCAGGTACTACTCGTATAGCTCCTAGTAGTTAGTCTGGTGCTCCGCACCGCTGCGCCGTTCCGTAGATATAAATACTGCCTGTACGCTACTGTAGTTCCTCAGTTTAATTATTGACTTAGATTCCCTCCTTAACTCTGTGCTCCTCTAAGTCTTCAGGCTCTCTGCCTTGAAGTACTCTCTACTATAACCTTAGGACTTAGACGTTCTCTGGTTCGCTCCTCGTCACCGGCGATACCGCCGCTCCGACCTGGCTGCTACTTAGCTCCTCTCTCTCTACTCTTGATCTCCGGGGACTAACGGTGTAACGGCGGTGTTGTTAATAATGAGGCTACAAGAAGATTACAAGAAGAGGCCGGAGGGCCGATGTCCGATGTCCGATGCTACTCTACTCCGCCCTCTCCTTCCCCTTCTCCAACTGCGCCATCGTCGGCGCCGTTCCCTCCTCTACCATCTCCTCCTCATCTCCTTCCCCATCTTCCTCCATTCCCTGCTCCTCTACTTCCTTCTCCCTTTCGCAATCCTCTTCTTCGTCGCTGTCCATAACCCTTCTCCACTTCCTCGACAATCCCGACGGCCCCGCTTCCGGCAGTTCAGGGGGCATTCTCCTCCTCCTCGCGGCATCCGTTATAAACCAGTCCAGCTTCCAGTTGAAGTGTCGATGGTAGGTGTTGGCTTTCACCTGTCCATCATGGAGCTGTCGGTTGTCGGCAAGTAGTTGGGCTACCTGGCTCTCCAGGACAGCCAGGCGCTGGCCGGTTGGGTTGGAGCCGCCTTCTCGCTTTACCGTTGACAGCCATCCAGAATAAGAACACCGTACCTTGGCATCGTGACACGGCTTGCAGATTACTGAGCTCCTCTTGCCAGCCTGCATCTGTCAAGAGAGCTTTTCACCCTGCATCACTTGCAAGGCTCCTTGTCATCATCGTCGTTGTTGTCACCATCATCACCATCATCCGGATCCCCGCCGACCAGCTGAAGGATTTTGCAAGTCAGTATTAGCGGAGCAGTTAGTAAAAGATCTTACCTCTGCCCGTGCTTTCCCCTTTCCTTTACTCTTCGTCCTCTGAATTTCTACAACGGGTCTCCGCAGAGAAGCCGGCACCTTGCTGGGAGAGGTCCCCCATTGACTTCTAGCGGTTGCCGCAGTGGCCAACAGCCTCCTTTTGTTGTCGAGCCCATTTGGCCCACTCCTGCGCCTCCTGCGCCTTTTTCTTCTTCTCTGCTGCCGCCCTTGCAGCCTCTTCCTCAGCTTTCTTCCTTGCGGCCTCCGCCGCCTTTCTCGCTCTCACCTTCTCCACTTGTGCCTGTGCCTTCCTAATAATAATAGCATCCTCGTCTTTGTCTTCTAAGTCTTCCTCCTCGTGGACGGCGGAGTTGGAAGGTGGTGGTGGTGGCGGTGGTGCGGGGTGCGACCTCGAAGGGCCGGCAGTAGAAGGAATAGTAGTGGTGGTAGTACGACTGGCGGACATTGTGGACTTAGAACTTTTTGGAGAAGTTAGGCCCTTAACGGTAAAACCCTGGACCTTTTATAGGGAACAACCGTGCACGGACCAGCGAAAATTTTCCATTGAATTGTACTCGGCTTACGGTGAACCAACGAAATTTTCCTGATGACTAAAGGGATAAATGCCAATGCTAACGGGATATAAAATTTTTTCTCTGGTGACTGATAGTATTTCCCGATACTAACGGCTTTCGAGGGCTCAAGCCTAAGAGGGGGATACTGTCAATGTCATGAAGTACGTAGCCCCTATCATTTTCCTTTTCTCACCGTCTCGACGCCCTTACTTGTACGATTACATCACTGTCAAATTCCATCGATTACTGATCCACCTAACCCCCATCATCGATTACTGATCCACCTGTTACCCTTCTCCTTCTACTGGCTTCCGCCACCTTCCTTGTTCCTAAACTGTACAGTATTACATCGTCATTTCTCGCAGATCGGATTATGTATATAAAGCCAATCCCTCACAGCCTGGTCCCTTATCTTGACCTCTCTGACATTATCTGGAACCAGGTATGTGCTTACTTATTGTTACCTATGACTACGATACTCAATATATCTCTGTCATTATCTGGGACCAGTTTGCCTCCGCTCCACTTAAGTCACTCCGCCTCATCGCCTTGCTTAGTCACTCCGCTTCCCTGCTCCGCTAGTCACTCCGCCTCTGCCGCTTCGTGACAGTCAAGTCCATGCCTCGGGCCTCCATTCCGCCGCTCGGTATTCCGAAGATCCACCTTTTATTGTAATCTCTCCTTATTGTTCTTTCTCGCTACACATACCCTTTCATTCTAGTCTCTCCTTATTGTCTTTTACTTTACCCTGCAGGTACTACTCATATAGCTCCTAGTAGTTAGTCTGGCGCTCCGCACCGATGCACCGATCCGTAGATATAAATACTGCCTGTACGCTACTGTAGTTCCTCAGTTTAATTATCAACTTAGCTCTTCTCTAAGTCTTCAGGCTCAACGCCTTGAAGTACGTCTACTCTACCTTAGGACTTAAACATTCTTTGGTTCGCTCCTTGTCACCGGTGTTACCGCCGCTCCGACTTGGCTGCTACTTAGCTCCTCCCTTCTATACTCTCGATATCTGGGGACTAATGGCGTAACGGCGATGTTGTTAATAACTTCACTACTGTCCCACTCGACCTTCCGCCCTTAGACACCTTGTGGCCCTGGCATGGTTATACAGTGTACATAATCTTAACAGGTGGTTGTACTGTCTTGGGGAGGTACCGGGAGCATGAGATACGTGAGGTAGGGGGTGTGGGAGCATGTGGTTGCTGCTGGGACTGGTCTGGTTGTAGTCAGGGCATGACAGCCACTAGAAGTGATGTCAAAAAGTTCCTTTTGTGATCTAAGCAGATTTCAAGCAGGTGTTTATTCTCTCTTTGAAATCTGGTCTCAGTGATGAGTTAACCCCTGTACCATTCAATGAAATTTATATTTCTACAGACATTTCAGGAACTTGCAGATAAAAAGTGCATTTTCCTCTGAAATTTCTAAAATGGCTGAAATATATCCATCCGGACGCACAAGCACCATTCCACTTTGTTCAGATATTGTGTTGAAATATGTTCTATGAACACTGTGTTGACCCATTGTATATATCCTATTTCTTTTTGCTCAATTTCCAAGATTCATGTAGTGTAATTATGAAATATACCTTTTCCAATCACGTAAAATGGTTGGTACTTGTTTCCAGATATTGCTTTCCTTGGAATTGATGATGATTGTGTACATGGTAAATCTTTGCAGTAAACTGGCATCTTCCTTATCCTTTGAGTCGGCCATCTTTTGGAATGTTTGTGTCAGGCCTTGTAATGCAGTATAATGTCTGTGATCAAAAAGGTCGCCAGCAAATATGAGGACCTTAAATAATACATCACAGGGTGCTAGATCTTGCATGTCCATTGGCTGCCAATCGGCCATCCGGATAATTTCGGTTGGAGGAAGACGGGTTCCCACTGCTAACCCAGAAATGTCAAGTGTTCCCTTCTGACTTTCTAATTCAATGACAAGGCGAGACTTGTAACGGATACCAATGCCACTAAAAAAGATTAATGAGTGTTGTAGGGTTGTGCTGACTTTGCTGACCTGCTAAACAAATTCTGCTGATGCAGCATTCTGTTCAAAGCTTGAGTCAGCTCATCAATGAACTCTCAAGAAACATTTGCCTACGATGAATATACAGATGCCTTGCAACCATCAAGAGTGGCCGAAATTGCCTTATCAAATTTGATAAGTTGGTGCGCCAGTGCGCGTCGTTCAGTCTCATATGTATCGAGCAATGAGTCATCACTCCATCCTTTGACCACCCAAGCCAGTTTCCAAGCTGTCAGTCAGCCAAAGTCAGCCAATGCTCATGGTTTTACTATCCTCTTACCAAGATTATGGGCATCACCCATGGAAACATTTGCACCTTGGCCTGCTTTTGGGGAGTGTGTATGAGCACTATCTCCAGCAATAAAGGCAGATCCAACACGAAATGTATCAGCAACTTTCTGTGATGCTGTAGCATGTTTATATGTGTATCAATTTCCATTTGTTTGTCTGTACGGTTACAGGGTTACCTGAAAATACTGTGGACCAAAATATTTTGGTGAAAATGATCTTGTAAGGTTGGAGACCATTTGAAATATGCTAGGTAACTCCTTGAGCATAGACTCAAAAGAAATCAATAACACTGACCTGGAGGAGCTTCTTTTCTGTGTACTTGGCCGCGGTCATTGTATCAGAATTAGCTTGGCATGTGATTTGGTCCTCTGATGAACACTGAACATATATCCTGAGTTTGTCCTCTTCTCGGGGGATAATCTCTTTCCACCTCAGCAAATTGAAGAATACTGATACTGAATTTGCACTTACAATGATAGCACCTTGCGATGATTGAATAATGCATTTCAAACGAAAATCCGGGAAGTCAGTATGTGCGCAAACATCTACCACGCCCCAAACATTCTCTTATAATTCCATTGAATTTGCAAGAAAATCTGGAAAATATATAATGACTTGCCTGCTCGTTCACCCTCCAATTTCACTCCAATTTGTTGTCGCACCCAAGAGTGAGCACCTACAACATGAGATCAGCATCTCAACCCATATCTGTGCCCAAAATTACCATCGGCGCCGATGATATATTTTGCCTGAATTTGCGAAGTGCTAGAAGGCGGCTTTCTTCCCAACTTGTCCACCAAATGCTTGACAGTAAGCTACATAGCAATCACTAAGGAAGGAAATCATTCTCATCATGAGGTCTGACAACTACCACAATTTCTTTGCTTGTTCCAACTATAGATTGATATTGAACATGCATGGGCTCTGCAGGTTGCAGAATGACACCGTTTTTGCATTTGAGCTCAGAATGGAGAGTACTTTCAATAATTTGAATGCTTGCTGTCAGCTCATAGGGAAATCGGCAATCCACAATCATGTTCTGGCAAGGTATCCCCCTTTCAATGCCATTTCCATTCCTTTCATAATTAACCTGTCATCTCATTGAGCTGGATAATCAGAAATCATGCATCGAGACACACCAATCCATGTACTGTGGCTGCTTGTTTGGAAAACTTATCCAGAAATCCATAACTGTTCCAAATCTCCAATGTCCGAGGTTGTAAGCCATCTGCATTACCATAGATCTCGCCAGCATCTCTGAACAGATGCATTGCTTTGTAGCATTCTAGAAAACTTGTTATTGGTGAAACACTTACCGGCGTTCCACCACCATGACCCCAAGACCGAAGCTTGCAAGAGCCTGGGCCGCCATAAGACCAGTAGGTCCAGCTCCAATAATTACGACATCGGTTTTGAATGAAGAAGGATTTGACGAATTTGGCACTTTAGATTCGACACAGGCAGAAATCATAATGGGAAGGGTGTTATTATAGGTCATTGTCCATTGATGTTTAAATAGGACTGACGGGGTATAAATCCGGTGATTGAGCCTTTGCTTATAGATATTTATTCTGTCAATACATTTTTTGGCATCCAATCAGCAAGCTCCGCCGATGGCATACACAGCACCCACCTCTTTCGAATCAAATGACACAAAAACGGTATTAGATGACTTCCCACAGGAATTACACCAGACTGTATTAGTGTGTTTGATTATTCTACAGTACATGGTAAACTAGTTGTTTGGGAATCAGACCTCGCCAGTATAATTGATATCCTATCCTATCCAGAAAATTAATTTGTGCCACCAATATAAGTGAGCCTAAGCGAATATATCCAGACAGCGGCTTCTCAGAAGCTACATCAAAACCAACTTCCAATGGCCCCCCTACTTACCCTGTTGTCAACTGGTTTTTGGTGTCCCATCAACAGTCTGCACATCACATCAAATGCCGTTGATAGTTAAATGCATGTTAACTCTAGAATAATCGCAACAGGAAATCACCCATTCATCTGCAAAATCTGTTTTCTTGGCGAATTCTCCAAGAGCAGTTGAGAGTGCTTCCCAGTAGCCAAAGCACCCAGAGCAAGTTGAAAATTTTGCTCTCTGTGCTTTGGGTGCTGACTGCCATGTTCAGTACTGAGTAATGGGCCATTCCGCTTGCCGCGATAGTGGCTGGATAGATTAATTTCAAGTTTACATAAACCAAATATAGCTACTAACATGTGTAGAATCAACTGCTCTATCCCACCCTGAGAGGCCTCTCGTCTAGTTCAATTATTTCACCGGAGCCATACAGTTTTTCTTCATCTTCTCCATTGAAGGCACCTTCAAAAAAGCTTCCATAGAGTTCATCACCAAGATGGCCAACAGAAAAGAAGTCCATGTTATTCCCAGCACTAGAATCCACCTTTCGACCAAAATTCAGGCCACGGCCTTGTGGTGAGGGAACTGCCGTTGATTCTTCATCCAGGGTAATTGTCTTTTTTAAATTGAGTTGGAGTCGTGCCACCATGATAGCAGTAAGAATCTGGCTGAAGCTACGACATTGTTAACATATTTCACAGGCCATAATGCTGTAACATACCTTGCGCCAACAGCTTTCAGGTCCTCGACCGCTAGCTGAGATTCGAAGAGTGAATACTGACATATGATAAATTGAAAGATTGACCCACAAAATAAATCATAACATTCATTATATTCACACTACATATTAATGCAAAGTAAATTATGCCATCTCGAAGAATTAACTGCATTGTTCTACCTCAGCCAGTTAGTATGGGATGCAAAGAAAAGGGAGAAGAAATTCAGGCTCACGATATATGTCCGTGCTTGCTTCTATAGCGAATTGTTCTCCATAAAGTCAGAAAGAAGATGCATGAATCTGTCACAAGTGGAGCAGCCCACAAGGCAGCCATCCATTGTGATCGCCCAGTCAATACGCAGCCTGATTGATGGATAATTTCAGCAAAAGATGAAGACCACAAGATCATGGTGCCTGACCTGGAAATCCATCTGGGAGAGGGACTCCTACGTTTTGTTGAAATGATATTATGAGAGAAATGCAGTGTTGAAGATAAAATAACTCACTTTCTCCAAAATGAACAGCCCACCCACTAAAGAAAATTTGGGCTACAAGTACTGGGAGGAGCAACATCAGGATACATTTGCTTCTAAGGTACAAGGCATAAACACGAAGGATCATAGAAACTATGTAGTGGTGAGGACAGTAGTAATGTTCCAAATAATGTTTCCAGACTGACGTTCAGCGACTGAAAGACAATATTAATAAGAAATTATAAGGACCTAAACAAGGTTCAGCCCTACCAGTAACAAGACATAAGGTAGTGGCTCCGGCAAACTTGACATATCGATTACACCTGCAGAAGATGAAAGCATGATTCAGTATCAATTTGTTCATCGACCTTTGTACCAACACACATCTAAAGAATAGAACAATAACTATAGATTAGGTCCGAGCTTTTGGCCACAAAACTAGGGCAACTCAGCAAATGAACGCACTGAGTGGGTCCATGATGTTTCATGAAATTCTGTATGTTTATCTCTGTCATTATGTTCACAAAGGTCACAGTATAACAATGGCTCACCAAATTGCAGTATGATGAATTGACAGTGCGTTAAGTATCGGTTTATATAGAAGAGAAGAGAAGCAAATGTCATGGGTTGCGACCAAATTTTATCCACTTCATCCGAGAATGTAATGGCTTTCTGTCTTTCAGAAATTGACGGACCACTCTGTTAAATACTCATACCATGGTCCCAAACATATAGGGCATAATTCGAGGTTTGGAACATGTAGTTGCTGTTCCTAAAACTAGTTCAACTTGGATTCATGATACTGGGCTAAGGCTGTATGAACTTACAGATGCAAGAAAGAAGTAGCCAAGGATTCCATGTCGAAACTGTAGTCTACACATCCTGCGCCTCTTACACTTTATAGCCATGCATGGTTTCAGTTGGAATTTGCTAAATGATATGGGTGCTGTGCACTATTTCCGGTATTGTATTAATTTTGATCTTGCTAGCAGGCAGATCGGATCATTGGAGGTTCATTTGTGATCATCTCGCTGAAACCCCTCTCTACAATACAGCCAGTAGACCACATTTATTAGCCATTGTATTTCATCCTTTAGTGTCATGCCCTGCATGGTAGTCCCCGACTCTGAAAGTGAACATTTTGGTTGAGTAACTTGAAAGCTGTAAAATATGGAACCTCATTTCCTTTTCTATGTAGAAGGTGTCCTCAAGGAAGGAGCTCATCGCAAGCTTTCATGATGGTAGTGTCCTGGTGACACAGATGTGCAGTGTGTTCAGGGGTTCCGGCACACTGGTTTGCAGCCTGATTCAGGATGATGCAAATGTGCAGTGCTTTCGGGGTGTCCGGTGCACAGGGAAATTCTGAACAAAGCGATGTGAGGGGGAAGTTTTGAAAGGAGTAACCTATCTGGACAAACCTGCTTATGTTGCCACCAGGGTACATCTATGCAAGAGGTTACTCTGCTCACATTGCCATGCTCAAAGTTTTCCCTATGGTAAAATGTATTAAGTAAACCATATATTAGCCTTATTGAACCCAGCAATGTGTCAAACTCACCCTGGAGTGGCTCTGAGCAGTGCACCAGAGACCCCGAATGTACTGCACATTTGCATCATTCTAAATCAGGCTGCAAAGGGCTGCAAACTAGTGTGCTGGAACCCCTGAAATGCACTGCACATCTGTGTCACCAGGACACTACCATCATGAAAGCTTGCGACTTTTGATTGTCAATTGGTGCGAACAAGGACCTCCTCTTTCAGAGTCGGTGATGCATGGATGTCATTGGCAGGATTGGTATTGTTGAGTTTGGCGGGATATGTGGTATCAGCATAATCAAATGTACATGATGCAATCTGTATAGCATATATACTAAATGAAGAAAATATTATAGTATAAAGTCAGAGTCTTGAAACCATTCAGTTGGACATGACATTGTGTGACTATAAAGTGACTACTCCCAAAATATTACCACTGTTTAGTTTGCCATGCACAGCTGTGCAGTGGCCCTCAATCGCATGTCCAGAGGGTTTGGTAATGAAGCTTGCTAATATCAGATTGACTAATGCGGCACAGTTTCTATGTAAATTTGTCATTCTTGATTTGGTTATATTTTATTTATTGACACTTAACAATTGCGGCAGTCAGGCCGCAGAAAGTGCATGGCCAATGACAGCTCTTGACATTTAAAGCCATCAGAATATTCCTTATGACTCTGATGAAAATGATAAACTGTTTTCAGTAAGTTCAAGTAAACATCCCCAGTTGACTAGTAATCAGAGATCAATACAAAAATGAGCAGTCATTGAAAACCACAGTATGAAGGGCAGTATCACCCCCAGTTTCTCTGAGAGTAAAGACTATGCTGTTTCTGTAGAGGGGCAGTTGAGGATGAATGTCATGTCCTGATGGTATCCAAGGCACAGCTCTCATTGATGAACAATACTGGGTGGAAATGATGGCACTAGATGACATTCTGATGTGGTGCCAACTCTTACACTATGCCCTTTTACAATGTATGTATATTATTCTACAAGGCCGGATATATGAAGACTTGTCCTTATGTACATTGTTCAATTCGCAATTTGAGCACCGCATTTCATTTTTATCCACCTTTTTTGCCTATATATGGCATGAAGTCACAGGGTCTCGAAACCATTCATTTGGATGTGACATTCACGTAACATTGCGTGACTATTCAGTGACTACTCCCGAACTATTACCGCTGTTTGGTTTAGCTGCATTTCGCTGTATTCTGCTCTATTCCACCGTTTTCATTTTCTTTCCTCACTATATGCGGTGTATGGAGGATTGAGAAGGTTGCGCACCCCAAATCTTTGACTTACACTTTACTATACATACAACTAATCCACTCTATAGCTTTGTAGACATTCTTCAAGTACCTGGGTTGTAGACTACAGAGAGGTCAGAAGTAGAAGGCTCCAGATTTTACAGCCTAACCAACTAAAATATCCACATTCAGAGTTGGGAACTGCCGTGTGGTGGGCGGCACTAAAGGATGCAATTTTGAGAACACTTCGAGGTGAGTTAGTGCAATATCTCAGAGAATTATGGAACAAGCTTTCAGGCTATTCCACTAAATACGCACACTCAAAGTCAGAAACTGCCATGCAGCCTCAATGCGCACATGCCAGCTATCCTGTCCTTTCCTGATGCCAAAATATCCGGTGCCTGACAGTAACTTTTGTGTCTTACAAATGAAGCCTAGTAAAGACCAGTCCTTTAATGGAATTCTGATACCTTCCATGTGTCAATTGAATGATATCTGGGTTCAGCCTACAGCTGCTACACACATGGTACGAGGAAAAATCTCCCTGGGATCTCCTTTCTTCCCGTAGATGATGTGAGTACTATCCGACATAAATGGAACTTACGTGTGGGTTGATTTTAACCACCAAAATTCACAGTCCGCCATGCACATACCTATAAAAGGTACCACTGGTGAGCGTTCAGGTATTTCTCTGTCCTTTCTTGTCTCTAGTTTCTTTTGTCTATTCTTTTACTGGCTATGACATTTGCACAACTACGTCTATTGATTAACAACATGGATGCAGCTGTGAATGATCTCGAGAAGATTTTTTCTGTTCAGTCTCTTGATTTCCCATCTCTCAATACACCTTTTGCTGAATCACCAGCCGAGCAATTGGCTCAAACTTCAGATGCAATCAAAGCAATTGACATCTGCATTGCATCTGCCTATCAACTTTTGTCGACTGTACGGCATCCTTTTGGAACACTTTGTGATGCATCATCAATTGTAAGGTCCTTCTTTGATAACTGTTCTTGACTGAGATGTTCATACAAATCTAGTATCAACTCTCTGCCTGTCTTCGCGTTGCTGAGAATCTTTGCATTCCCGAGATTATACGTGAAGCCGATAACGGTGGCTGCCACGTTAGAGATATCGCAGAGCAATCAGACATTGACCCATCCAAGCTTGGTTATTTTGGCCTATTTAATCATTACATTCACACTGAGACATATTTCACATAGCCCGCATTTTGAGGGTGCTATCATCCCACCACATTTTTTTGGAGGTTTCTCCGGATACATTTGTTAACAATCGTGTTTCATCATTTTTCGATTCTGGGAAGCATACCCTCATACTCAAGGAGAAGTAAGTTGAATTGTTACTTCAACAACTCATTGGTTGCTGATATCTTCTGCTACTGCCCATAGTCCTGTGGATAAATATAAGGACACAGTAGGCATTTGCGGCTACATTGGTACTTGGTCAGTTTGGTAGAACAGCTACCATGCTGGTTGATGATACGTTTTTTTTAGCACAGATGAAGTGGCTAAGGCCGCATCATATCTTTTAGAAAATCTGAAAGATAAAAAACATGGCAAACTGTTTCATCCTGGTCATTCAGCTCTTCAACTGGCCATGTCCACCAAATTGGACTACTTTACCTGGTTAGAAAGAAGCGGTAATGAATATCGGTTTCAAAGGTATGCTGACACTGCGGCTGCACATATGATATTCAGGGGAAATTGATTGGGAAACTTCACGTAAATAAAGATAAAGTTTTTCTACATTTTTATCACCAGATTAAGTATATCTATTGCAGTTGGATGGTAAAATGTAATCTTTGTTTACTTTCTAAGTAAATCTCCCGCAATTATGGCATTAATATTGATTCACTTTGTGCCATGAAAGTGAACGCCCTTATTGCCCCCAAAAGATTGCCTATATCAGGGGAAAATCGTAATGAAATTGATGATGTTTTGTTGTAAAGATAGCTCGAGATAATGATAAGTCATATTTGGTGAGATTGATAAGCTTTTACCTTGCCTTTTGTTCGAGATAAAGAACGGCTATTGACAGGGAAAAAGAAAACGGACGTTCGGAGGGCATTTACCGGGAACCGGTTGGGAAATGGTCAGGAGAGATTCAGCCATCGAAGAGACACTGATTACCACGTTGTAGCGCCCGAGCGACGAGCCGTTGGTCGAATGTTGAGTGGATTTAATGCTTGGAGTTGTCGCCATACCAAAGTCCACAGAAAAATCACTGTATACTGTTGAGGTTGACGCAGACCGTAGCGGATAACATGTAAGAAGATCAGTGCATCATAGCCACTAGCAACGAGAATGACTTGACACATAGCTCACCTTTCTACGGACCTACGGTAGAATATATATTAACGGAAAATGCATGGTCCCGCTATATAGAGTCGATGGTCGACAGAAACTTCAAGTCTATGAGTGCATCGTCAGCAACATGGCATAGATTTAAATATATGAACATAGATACTCATCTGGACATGTAAACCGCTCATTTGACCGTTCAAATATTGGAGATCTCAAAAAGCATAAGGCCGCATCACAACAACAATTTCAACGTTCGATACATACTACGAGCCACAATTGTAGATATAGATCCTTCTATTGAAAAATCGTAAGTCAATTAGAACACGATTCTAGAGAATCTGGCGTACCTTTAACAAGTTGCGGCCCTTCGAAGCGTTGGACGGACGATCATCCTCCAGACATCTTTCCAATGGCCAGCGAAAGAGAACTTCTCGATATGCTTTCGGCGACCTGGTTCAAAGTGATCTCGTCAGTAGTTAAATGACAAAAAAAGTTCACCATACATAATCGACAGTAAAGTCTGGGACGATTAACGCATCGCAATTCCAACAAGATATGGCACATGGATTCTGAGGCGAATTTAGTTTAGCAAAATGATAATCGGAACACTCACCCGCTCGACGTCGATTCGCGACCCGAACTGGAGGAAACCAAATCCTCTCTGAACAAGGACAATGCGTGTCCCACTGTTCCTTGCGTCGCGCAAAACAACTCGACATCCCGATTTTCCATACCTCTTCCCGATCGACATAAGCGTATAACCAGCCAGGTCCATCCGCAGGAGAGATGATTTGCAAAGTTCGTCGGCGGAAGATTTTTCGTAATCTGGAAGGGGATCGACGGGGCATCGAACGACAGACTGAGCGGAACGAAAGCGAAGAAAAATTCAGCTATAAGGCGAGAACAAAATGAGCACATACTGATTTCTAGTCGGTGCACGTTTGCGAGAGAAATGAAACAGATTAGGTGAGTGCCTGTGCGGCAATGTAGAGACGTTGAACGAAGTAAATACAGTCGTGTAAGCAACATATAGTGTATAGCAGACTGACAATATAGAATAAAGGTGAGACCCGCACAAATTCTGAGATGTAAAAAGCTTCAGCTTACAGCTTGTACGGTTAAGCCGACGTACTGACATCCCGAGTGAGTTTCACTGTATCCGCTGGCGATCTACAGTGATCACGTTCAATAGTCATTTAGCTTGGGGTAGATAGAAGCGGAGCAACAACGATGCTCATGTGAATATGCAATGGGCAATTCGCCTGCACTACCAGTGAATGGAGCACCTAGCTTTTACCTAGCTGCGGACGAGCTTTGAACGATCATGAAGCAAATATGGACGATATTCCAGTAGACATTTGAACGAACTGTCGGAAGGATACTTTGAGATTCTCAAAGCTGCACATAAGTTATCTCAAAGCACTCACCTGCCTCTTCTGGCGGTCTATACTTGTCCCATTCACAATTCTAACGAAACCAGTTTCTAACACTGACGTGGACGACTTTCGCTCCAGTCTCGCTGACAGAGTACACTTGTATTTGAAAGAAAGAGCCATGTACATTGTTGAGAAAGCCATCCGAGACGGTACAATTGACGGCTGTTTGATTGATAAGAAAGGGGGGGACGGTAATAGGAGAGAGCACGGGAACGAGAGCTGGCGAACGGAATCCGGGAAGGCAACCTGGATGATAAGGTTAGTTTGAATACCAAGCTGATGCATCAGGGTCAAAGCTGAAGAGGGAGGCATTCGTCGTGGATACATTCAACCATACGCAGTTGTTTCGAAAAGATACTGAGTGTCGTAGCGTGTCGTAGCTTGTATTTCAGTCGGGGAAGCTAAGATATAAATTAAAAGGGAAGTTTAGATTTGAGGATGCGGACCGATTAATGGATTACACGTGGTTATCCCGGAGCTCCGGCTCGATCTTCGACGTCTTGGTAGGTAGGTCTAACAACGTTTACCTTCACCTGCTAGGTCGGAACAGGGTTTAAACCTGGTTATTATTGCTAGTTTAGTTTTCAGGCTACCCGCCATAAGGGTCTTCAATCACATCAATATCTTCAAGACAACAACACAAAATATATACAGCGCACTCCAATGCAGTGGAAGACCTTGATAATTGCAGCCTTAAGTCTCATCGAAATGTGTGTCTGAGAAAAGAAAGCAGGGTAGGTAGATTCTCTTATATTATACCATAAGAAGATACACTTTCTATTGCCGCATCGATTGAGGAATTTTCTCTGGCCTACACAAAGTGATAGATTTACGGTTATCTATATATCTTTTGAAAATCGAGAACAATGGTACGACCAGCAATCTATGTTATTACGGACTACAATCTATTGCCCTTGCCTGCGCGCCTCCTTTTCAGCTTGTGCAAGGCGTTGCCGAACTTCCTTGATCTCTTTCCGGGTGCTTACAGCTTCATGTCGAAGAGATATTTTTTGAAGTGCTTGCTTGCGGTACTTCAGATGGCATCTGATGAAATCGTCCACCGCCCAATGATCGCGATAATCATCAAGAAATCGGAATTTTTTAACAGCCTGAAATAATATAGAATGCGATTGAGACATTGTCCAGAGTGAAACGTGAAACAGGTTCGGAACATGCTCACCATCGAGCGTACCTCCTCGACTTTTGACGCAAGTTGTTTGGTGAGAGGTTCCGTGCAATCCAGGTGAGCTTGAACGAGCTTGTCGATATAAGCCTGATAGATATATCAATAAAGACACGACGTAAGAACACTTCCACGAACCTTCACTTTATCGAAACGATCGGTTGACCATTTCAGTTCCACCCGTAAGTTATAACCCCCCCGGCCAGGTCTACTGACTTCACCCCGAGGCTTTGGAATTTTGCCCAAGGCAGAGTCATCATCTTCAAGCTCTTCATCCGCGTCGTCTGACCCAGGCGTTACTGCTTCTGGACTCTTTATGGCGTTGGAAGTGTGAGTAACATTGATGTCTGCAACGTGAGAGACCTGCGCAGGTGTTGTCTTCTGAACCTGTCCATTTCTAGTCAGAATGATACGGGGTTGAGAGGTGCGGTTTGGTTCAGAGGCTGGCGATTTGTGAATACTGATACGAGGGTGAATAAACGGAGATGAAGAGGGATGGGCGATGCGTCCCTCATTTATATTAGACGTATAAGGAGTGGTCGATGGAGAGGAAAGAAATGTAGGATCTGGGGACGGGGTTCGATTGCGATTGTGCGACGTTCGCCGAGCCACTCGCTGAAGTCCAGGATTCAAAATACGACGGTCGATTGATTGAGACTGTACTGGTGATGTATGCAGTAGCTCAACGCGATCGTGGTATCTCGGATTCGTTTGAGCGGTGTAAATGTGTCGAGTTTGGCGAGATGCATCCATGGCGAACGATGGGATGAGGTTAATGATTTCCTGCTCAACGTTCTGATGACATTTATGGTTATGCTATGGACAAAGAACCTTTGCTCGAACAAAGGGGATCATCAAACCTTTCTTCGGATCCGCTCTGAGATTTCCCATCGTTCAAAGAAAAAGGATCCCTGTTCGTGTTTGTATGCGGCATGAATACAGAAGAGACAAGCAAACGGCGGGACCCAGACCTCGCTGCAGCAGGCAACGAGATAGGAAATACAATTAAGCTGTTAGCGGTTGTGTCAGACAGTCATACGTTATGACTATTATCGGCCTGTAATTTACGTACACACGTCGGTGAATAAGCCCATCGTTCAGTCAGTGCTTGTGCAGTTGAGCCCTTCTCTTCCTTTATTCTTTCCAGCATCTTTCAAATGAAAGATATTCGTCAGTCAATCCTGGCGCAAATCAAGCGGGTGAAACAATCATCCCTATCCTCGACAAGGGCAAACGACATCCGAGTCCTTCATCTCCTTTCACCTTTCGGTACGAATGGCTTTTGCTTGGGCACGGCGGGCGATCAACTATCTGTTAACATAATGTTCCGGAAAGCTTTCCTTTGTGTAAAGCCTTTCTAATACTCTTTTTTGCTTTTGATCAGGGATATATATATAGAGACAGCCAAAATCGAGACATCGATACTTGCTCCTCATGAACACAAATCAACCCGACGCCCCTGCGTTTATCCGCAAACCTCCTTACGATCGCATTGAACTTCGCTCCTCCACCATCACAAAGCCTGTTTCCGCTGATCGTCGCATTCTCAGCTCTCTGGGTGCTATCAGAACTCCTCGATCCACTGTCCGGGTATCCCCTTACCAGCCCTGTCGACCTCTGTCGCCAGATCCTACCTTCCAGCCAGCTTCGTTCGCTGCATCGAACACCTCTAACGACATTCCCACTACTTCTATCACTCAATCTGAGAATTTGCAAACGTCGGACCCGACAATTTCTCAGCCCCGGATCGTCACGAGCCGAACCACGACTAGTGATGCTTCGAATGCGAGTCAGCCTCAGGAGTCACTGGCCCACGATGATTCTGGAGACGAATTTGAGACAGACGATAAGATTCCGAAACCCTCCGGTGAAGTTGGTCAACCTACTCGGGGAGGGTATAATTTGCGCATCAAGCTAGGATGGGCGGACGACAGGTTTGACGATGTCGAGGTTCATACGTTTAACTACTTACGCGATATGTGCTCAAACTCATCTCCGCAGAAATTCATCAATGAAATTGTTGGAAGGAAGCTGGATGCCACACAACGTTTCGATGAACAATCTCTCTCAGACATCAAGGAACTCGGAGATATGGTGAGTCCTTTGTTACTTTGTTTCCTGCTATAATTCCTGATGTATCTTGCAGGCCGTCAGAAGGTATCCGTTTCTCAATGAGTATCGTGGTAACTGGGTGGTTCATGACTTCATAAAATGTAATTTGAAACATCGCAAGAGAATTCACGCAAAGCCTGCAGCTGTCGGGAAAGGGGAAAGGGAAAAGATAGGACGTCTTCGATTCGGATAGTCAGGATATACAGTAGTATACAGTTCAATGAAATGAATCGGTCTACTCGGTATTGAAAGCACATAGCCCAAGCGTTCGGCAGAAGATCCGTCCCGGTTCGAAGGCTTTATTCCTACCAGTACTACTGAGCATCGATTCCTTCATCCCCCGAAGAACTTGTTGCGAGATATCCTGACAATTCAACCAGTTCGGGAAACATGCGGAAGCCTTACGACTCATTCAAGGGCTGGCGACACAACAGTGTTTCCACAAGTGAGACTTGAGCACATATAGATCGCCATTTCATTTTCTCTCTAGCTACCTTACCGGACCCGGATGTAGCGTCCTACCCTCGATTTACCAGGGCACCTGGTTGAGAAGCCGAACTGGAAGGCAAGGTTCGAACGCGCTCAAAAGGATCCCAAAGTTGCCCTTCAAGATGCCCAGGTGTGTCATACTATAATATCTGATATTCAACAATCTAGTGTGCTAATGAACTCTCAGGTTGTCTAACCACCTCAAACGTCCTGTCACATGTATAATCGTATATTTCTCAAGGGAAGTCTGTAGCTTGCACGAGAGTTTCTTTTCATATTATGACCACTGGTTGATGGTAGAAGACGTCGAACTGGTGAGTGTTTTCTAACATATGGTGATCAAAGCAATGGACTATATTTCTTCTCGCCCAACTCCCGATAGAAACTGACTGTCGTTTGAAAGAGCATGATGCATATGCGATCTCTTTCATATCAATACAAAGATATTCTTTGTGACTACTTTCACAGGCAGACCTTTGTTTGTCGCTAGTAGATATAATCAGCACCTGAGATGTGCCAATCCCCTCCATCCAGCATTCAAGATACGAAATCCTCATCCTATTTCGATTTCTGCTAGCGCAATGGGAATGAATCAAGTGTCTATTCTTTCCAATCCCGGAGTGAGTCTAGTTACCTGTCAATAATCCTTTGCTCAAGCTTTCCAGATCATTGTTCGCAGCGTCCGCGCCCGCATATACCGCGCAAATGGTACAAATTCGGCACCAACACGAGTGTACTACCGCGAGGATTCTTTTCAATTAGAGAGAGGAAGATTTGTTCTCGCATCTGCGGAATTACCACATCCTCAAACTCAGCCTTACATTCATGATTCCATCGTGAAAGTTGTCCACCGCGGGAAACAGTACAAATTTCGAGTATTCTTCAAACGACACAAACTACTTCCCACCAACCAAGCAATTCTCCAACTAGCCGGTGCTCCGATGGATGGAGACGTCTTAGTTGTTGCCTGTGGCACAAAGGTCGGCATCAGAAATATTCGAGGCAGGCTGGAGACGCGCGCAGCAGACAAGGCTGTGAAAAGGTTCATCTCGTCCTTGACCCGTATACTGTCGAGGATATTTAACACTGCAATTAGGTTTGCCCAACACATAGCGCCCTTCAGGACAAGACGCACTTTCCCAGCATCGGTATCCTTATGATAATGACGAAAATGCATTCATCTTGTACATGTATAGCTTCCCTATCATAGCCTTTACTGTAACATTAACTTGAAGCAATTACTCTATTATACTTGTGTATCTAAGTGCTCTCGTTGTGTCTCTCGTGTAACTAAGATCCTTGGTTCTTGTGTTATTGTCTTTCATGAGATCGATTCAAACTCACAAACACAGCGCTATGAATAAGCTAGCACCCACTCATCCTCCGCTTAGTGTGTTGCGGTATAAAGAGCGCCCTTTCCGTCCGGAGAAATGTGAAAACCACGGCGGAAACAATGGTGCTTTGTCCTCCTCACTTTGAACTTCATTCGTCAACAAAGGGGAGGGTTTTTTGATCCGGTGAGCATAATGTGTGATTTAAAGCAGCATCGTATTCGTATAGCTTAGCCACCTCCCATTTCTTGCTCTCAGTTCCTCGCCTTCGTCATGTACCAACATCTCATTACCTTACAGGACTCCCGAGATGCCGTCATCTGTCTTTCGTTTTCTCCTCAGGCCAAATTTATCGCTGCTGCAGGTAGGTGGTCATTGCCAGTTAATTATGAATCGTCAGACCCAACTCTCCACAGGTTACGGCGGCGTGACAGTTTGGGACCTAGAATCGTTTGATCCTATACCCGTATCGAATAACATTTATAACCCGCGCAATCCTGACAATGTCTACTCGGCCTGTGCTTGGCTGCATTTTGAACAGGCAGATAGATATTTTCTCATTGTAGGATCACAGGAGGGCACGGTGTCTATCATGCAGCTGGAAGCAAATGACGAGGTGTGTGCAATGCAAATATCTCTTTATGCCACATCCACTGATTACGATTTATATCTTCAGGCCTTTCACACAGCTGTTCGGGTCGTTCCTGAACCTTCGGGTTTTCAGGTTCTTTCAATTGACGTGTACCATACCGAAATTGGAATAGGGAAACTCGCTCGTATCGCAGTTGCAACTGCTGACAATCGAACCACGCTCTATACTCTATCTTCATCGGGAGTTTTTAGGGAAATATTTTCGGCCACCGTCGAAAATTTTTCACTCATTGCTGCAAGGTTCTGTAAGAAGACTGCAGATATCTATATTTTTGAACTGAATGGTGGCACAATGTGAGTCGCTCATTTCATAATGGATATCTTGAATGCTTCTTATAGTGGCTTACTAGAATGAAACTCGACTACAAAACCGGGGACGTCAAGTCAAATCAGAAATATGGTCCTGACCCCATGTGCGAATTCCTCCGTTTTGCTCCTCAGAATGTCTTCACTGAGGTTTACTGTAGGGGAACTGTATGCATTGATGACTCGAGTAATTTTTTCGTAGCCTGCACCGACTCGGACTTCCAGATGTTACGCCTTGACACAATTGAACACATCCGAACTTTCTCAAGCCCAGACCCTGTGGTGGTTCGCTTCCCTAAGGTTGCTACATTTTCCGAAGATGGAGCTGTCTTGATTGGAGGTACGGACAAGGGGCATGCAATGGTTTTCGATGTTCAGAGCGGTGCCAAGGTTCAACTGCTCAAATATGCAAAGGGAGGTTTGGTTCAACCTGTTGCTGTGAGTATTCTCTAATCATTCAAATACCATGCCTTGTTTCTGAGTCAGTTTAGGCATGTATCTCCAAAAAAGGGTTCCTGGCTGCTATCGCCGGATCGACAATGGAAATTCCAGCCGAGGTCGTGATTTATCAAAAGAGTCATCTTCCCCCTTCTGCTCCGGAGTCCAACGATATCATGAAAGCGAGCCTCTATCGCACTCTCATGCATAGAGGCACCCTACAATTTATCTTCGTTATCCTAGGGATGTCATTGATGCTCAACGGACTTTATTTTTTGGCCCTTAACTACGCTCCTATGGTATGTTTTCCGGGTTCTTTGATTTTGCCCACACCATAACGCTTTCATCGCATCAGGTCCAGTCTATGTTAGAAGCCCAATCTTCGATGTCAGGATCGCCGGGGACTATCAAAGTTCACACAGAGTCTGCCCCTACATACAGTCGTCGTGATCCTATTAGCATTTCCGACGCATACACTATCATAGAGTCTCGGTATGCTTCGGAGCATCTGGATGTTCTAGACTAGCTTCGATTATTTCATAGCAGTATTTTTCTGTCTCTGTTTCCAAATCTACATGTTGCTCGATTTTTGTACGAGCTACTTACAAATCCAATGTGTTTTTGCGTTTAATATAAGCGCTAATATTGCAAGCGCTTGATGATTCCCTCATCGCACGAACATAAGTAGTGCCATTATTGGACTCTCAATGCACGTCAAGACGACACCATCCATCTAAATTTCTGCCTGAGGACGGCAAAGCGAATAACGGTGTTAAACTCATAACACAACAAGGAGTCATTAGTGTTCTACGGTCTCAATGCGTGTTTTACCTGTTGTGAGTATGTCGTACCTCTATAGGTATGAATATGTGAAGAATCTATATCAGCCTATCCCTGCCTGAAACATAACCCCTCAACGTGCGCCTATACAACCAAGCGAACAAACGGATAATCCATATCATGTCATCGAGTCAAAACGTGTCACTTCCTTTCTTTCTCTCCTTTCTTCTGTGAACAAAGACTTCCACCTCATCGTTGGACTAATGCATCCAAGTCCTAAAGCAATCCCTCCTTCTAGGAAGAGAAGACGTTCAAATTCTGCTGCCGCAGAAGGACCGTATCGCACAGTATGCCTTCAAATATAGTTATCACAATGGCGAAGACTCATACATTGGATAATCAGAAGATTCGATTCGTCTCCCTCCACCGGAATAATTCAGTAAGCCTGTCTTGAATTTTCTTGTTGACATCAATAAGCTCATCGATATCAGTCTACACAGGAAATGACACCAACTACCGTACTAAATATTCTTGATGTGCGTGAAGATCTAGTGCACGGAGGACGAGATTTTGATTCGATAGGCCATTGACAGAATTTCCACCAAGCAATTGAAAGATTGTCGATGCAGAATACTCAAGAGAATTCCGAGGTTTGTCTCGAGTTGGTGGATACCCGGCCCTGAATGTGAAATTCACCGCAGTTCGAATCGCTTATCGAGGAATTGCACTCTTACAAGAAAGAATACCATGCACTGTGGACGGTAAGAACTTGCTCAGTGTTATTGATGGTATACCATTCATTTCCAAAATTAGAAGTTTGAGAAACATGAGAGGCAGTCGCAGCTAACTCAATCCCGGACAAAGTGTACAGACAACTTCGATGACATGGGAAATGGGGAAAAGGATTCTCTTTATGTCAGTCGTATTTCGCCTTCATCGTAGTGTCTAATTTGGTTTTCATCAGATTGCTCAAGTACAAAGTCGTATGACCGAGAACTCATTGTTAGGCACTATATCTGCTATAAACGTCGAACTTGATGTAAAGTTTGGTTCACGTTGTTGTAGATTGCTTTGTACTCAACACAAATCTACAGAAACAGAGGGTCCGTGTTACGAATCAGGAACATGAGTTGAAAAGGTTGAAGGTATGTAGGAAGGTTTGTTTCACCAAACGCGAAAGCTTCCCTCCTGTTTTAGACCGTTATCAACAAAGATTCCCACCTAAAGAAGACCATGTCGGAGAAAATTAAGGATTTCGAACAGCGATTGCAAGTGAGGCAGTCTCAGTCCCTGAATCCTTGCACAATATTGATATATCCAATCGCATAGGAAGAGAGCAAGGCATCCAAAAATGAGCTCAAACTTCAAAAGCAAAGAATGACTGACTTAAATACACTCAATCAAGGTCTTGAGAGGCAGGTAGCTTTGTGCAAAAAGAACAATGTAACATTCTACTTTAACCTGCTATGTTGAGAATGTGACAAAGGTTTTAGCACAACCAGGCGCTCATTGTCAAAGAAGCTTCGGAATGGAAAACCCAATTCAAGCGGACTGTTCAGCAACTGGAGTCGGAGAAAAATGAACTGGACGGACTGTTAAAGGTAAATGGCTATCTGGAAGACCATATCTCTAATCTTCATACGCCGATATCAACTACAGGCGAAAGAATGCGCCATTCAAACTGCGAATACCAAATGCGGAAATTTGAAGGTAACTGTTAGAACCGATGGTCTTTTTTTCGGTACTGATGATAACTCGAATAGTCTCAGGTCAAAGAATTAGAACTTCTCGTAACAACGACGGAACAACTTGTTAAAGCGCAAGCTCAGGAGCTCACACTCGCGCGAAATAGGATTGATGAGCTCCAGTTATCCATAAAGGTCACAAGGCAAAAAGCGGAAAATCATACCAAGGTAATTTCCATGCTTTCCATCTATCTGCCCTTTAAATTGTTTCTACGAGGTTATTGAGAACCTTCAAGCGAGCGAAGCAAATGCGCAAAGTTCTCATGAAATCACAATGAGGGAACTCAAGGCATCTCGGAAGCGAAATGAAGAATTGCAGTCCGCAATCAATGAAATACAGGTGGGCGGTTCCTAATCACATATCGGCTTTGATGATCCAAACATACGTGAAGTATTCAAAAAGCGAACAAGCACAAGAATTAGACAATATACGAAAGGAGAACCTTTGCCTCTTGAATCGCAGAAACCAAGAGTACCAAGAACTTTGCGAGAAGTATGCAAACCTTGAGTCTACGGTTGAAATTATCAAGGTTACTAGTATGGAAACATTGAAGGTGCGCGTTATTCCTCTAACACATACATAGCTCGAGTCACCACTGAAATCTTGGTTTCCAGAACGAGAAAGAACTTGAAACTTGGAAGAGGAGACAGCTAACAACCGAAAATTTCTGTGATAATGAGGATTGGGAGATATTTCTCAAGCAAAATGAGAGGATTCTCGCATCTTCTCATGCTGCTGTCCAGGTTAAGAACCACGAACTTCATGTATGTATTTGGTGCTCCACTTTACGGTATTTTATCTCATGCGACTGCCCAGGCTAAGGACCAAGAACTCCAGGTATGGACCAGCACTACTTTTCGGTGCCATTCTCAATACAATTTGTCACTAGTGCAGAGTATCAGAGCTCAATACCTACAAGACGGCATTGATTGACATGGAAATTTGTGCCGGCAGAACGCTCAATTCTCTGCGAAATCATAACCAAGAACTTTTGTCACTCGTTGCGGTGCAGGATGCTAAAATACATCAAGTTGAAACCCTCAAAGATCAGATGAAGGTAAATCAGCAGAAGGGGCATTACCATGGTTTTTCAGACATTGATTCATATGGTCTTTTGATGTTTTAGGAGATGGCCTTGGAACTAGAGAGCCTGCAAACGGAAAAGGCTAATACCGAGCGTTCTTTTGTGCACAAATGCCAAGAGGTAGACAATCTCCGTATCGAATTTCGTTCCTCTGTACAACTTATCAAGGAGAAAGCCCATGCGGAGCTAGAGGTGCGCCTGTCTGTATGAACTCATTCTTGTGGTGCTTACCGATAGGTAGGAGAAAAATTTGGAGCTTTCAATACTCAGCAAAGGCAAGCAGGATGTGTGCCTGTTGGTCGAAGAAAAGGACCGGATCCTAAAGAACCTAAGGGACACCGACAATGAAAGAGAGAAAGAATTAGGCAGACTTCGCAAAGAGCAGGGGAAACTGGAAACCGCCCTCCATGTGGCAAGGCAGGAGCTAGGAAAATCGCAATGCCCGACATGTAAGGATGCTAAAGTGAAAGTTCAGGTGGGTAGGCATATCTGTAGACTTCATCACGAACTCATTCCCGATTAACATCTGAAAAAGGTGAACGAATACTTTAGCAAGAAATCGAAGCAGAAGTATAGGGCAATGACTCATGCCCAGACGCAAACATGTACAGTCGATGGTCGCAATGATCCAGAAGCTCAAGGAAACGATTCTAGGACGACGGAGCAGAGCATAGATTTGTTATGCACGACATTGAACAGGCAGTTATCCCTCGCAAGCGAAAAAAAGGAGGTACGATGAAATTAATACAATTAATGCAAGAAATAAATTAAGTTTCTGCCTTGTAGAAACGAGTGGGGCCGCCCACGGTACTTCATCTCATGACCGATATTCAGCTGATATGTCCTCTACTTCATGAATCGTCCGCGCACCCGGTACATCAAAATAACGACAAAAGGGCTGCGGCAACCATCATACTGCCAGTGGAAGTACGCGCTTTGCGTAACAGCGAATTGCAGGTCAGCTATCCCTTCCTCACGCTGTTGCCCGATGATTATCGTAGTCTTAGAACTATGCGGATCTAATACAACAGGAAGAAAGGTCGATTAAACCACATGCGAATACTTTGATTTCGGAGAAGCTACGCAAATTTCTAGGCGCGAATACAATTTTGAAGCATATGCAGGTTCAATCGAACTTCCCTTTAATTCTCCCTCAAAAATCGATACGAAAAGAGCCTGAACTCGCTGATTCAAGAAAGGCATTTGAAGTTCTTGAGCTTGTAGAGGTACCTTTCCTCCTTATTTGCCAAGTCACTGCAGGATATTCATTTGACCAGGAACCAGCACGAGAGCTTGAAGCTTCGAACGTCGTGAACGCGGGATTGGTACTTGATGCAAACATACCACAAACCATTGAAGAGGCACGTAGATCACAGGATCAAATTATCCAAATTTCGCAGGAAAAATTGTTCATCACAGAGAAAAGTCTCAAGAAGATGCTAAAGGTGCGTCTTGCTTCACAGATTCAAACGCAGTCACAACTGGAATAGTTCCTAGGACTGCAGATATTTCGAAACCGATCAGGACAAGACGAATATGTCAAACACTGAGAAGGCTGCAGAGTTGATGATCGAGCTGGCGCAGAACCCTGCTTTGACTATCCAATCAAAGTCCTTGCAGGAACAATGCGATTCCCAAATGCGTGCGTTCAGGACCACTCAGCCGAAGTTCAAAGACCTCCAAGTGACCATTCAGGGTCATGATCGGGAACTTGTTGAACTTCTCAGGATCAACGAAAATGTATGTCTTCTCCTCATATATACACAACACTGAAATACCTCCATTATGGACAGGAACGTTCACGAGAGCTGCAAACCTTTGAAGCGAAAGAAGCGGCAGATAGGGCGATGACAACCGATTTACGGAAGCAAATTCAAACCCTCGAAACGAAACATCGATCACAGGGCAAAAGCTTCCAACTTGTGAAGGAGCAGCTACTTCGCACAAACAAGAACCTGAAGATTATGACAGCAGTACGTCCCTGTCCAATAAAGATAGACCCGATAACCGATGAAATTAATTCTAGGACTACTACGACATGAAAATGCTTGTTGCAGAAGAGAATACACAATTGAAGAACGAGCAGGCCCGCACGTCTCATTTGACTATCCAGCTGAAAGGTTGTCGTGAACAGTGTAGCTCTCAAAAATATGCGCTAGATACAGCGGAACAGAGACTGGAATCCCTTCAGAAAACTCTGAATGCTCGATGTCAGGAACTGGAGTCTCTTAAGGGCAATATGACGACTCACGCAGACATTCTGTCTCAGAAGAATGCTCAACTCTTGGATGCACAAGAGCAGTCCGCTGATTTGACCACTCGATTGAAGGCCTTGCAGGAACGAACTGATCTTCAGCATTGTAGACTAGAGGAAACGTTACAAGAATTGGAGAACCTTCGGATGAATAATCAGGATTTGCTACGGGAGCTGGAGTCGCTCAAGGATGAACACATTGACGCGAAAAACATCGCAAAAGGGACCGGCCAGCTAATGAATATCCAGGTGCGATCCTCTATTCTACCCTGTATCAAATTATAATTATACTGTCTAGGATCAGACGAATAAAGAAAGGAAATATACCATGGTATGTCTTCTCACCCTACCCGGGGATTGACTCGATATCTTTGCTCAGGCACGAGTCGAGGTGGAAGCCCTTCGCTCCGAATTGAACAACCTTCGTATCTATCAAGAGCAGAGAGCATCTCAAGTGAGGTGATTGCTTCGACACTGGCGGATCTCTGAACAAAATTTGTTAGACGCAGGAACACCACAAGCTACATCGGAATAACCTAGAAAAAGTGGTTCAAGACAATAAGGTATAAACGAGCCAACATTGGAGGTTATTCGTCCTACCTAAACAATCCTCTGACAGTCACGGGAAGTTCGGAAGACTACAGATGAGCAAAATTTGGTCTCCGCTTTAGCTTCAAATACGTCGAAGAATCAGGTTCTGCAATCAAAAACAGAATCTCAGGGGAAAAGTTTACCATGCAAGGTTTGTAATGTCATCTTGAACGGTATATATACTTATCTCACAATGAGATTGTGCTAAAGGTCCTTCAAAAGACCCATTATACTATGGCACCTAGGCTCGATACTCCATCATGGGGAGGTCTCAAGAAGAGTTTTAGCGATGCTGACGTGGGAACGGAAGTTACGACCAGACACAGATATGCATTGGGTTTTCGAAAGAAGGTAAGAGTTTAGCTCCTGTACGATCGCCCCTTTGTATTGACATTATGTCGACTTAGGAAGGAGACAATGGAGAATCCCGGTTCTTCAAGAATCAGCGAGCATCCATCTATGTGCGTTCATATTTTGGTACGAACCGAAAGCATCTGCTCATAGCTGTTGTCGTAAACAAAGACATTCAATGAGTCCAACGACAATCTAGAGCAGTAAGGTGAAACCCTGTTTTCTACAGTCATCGCGTGCAGCTAATGGGTGGCTTTATAAGCTGGCAGTGTCGCGACGAAAACAGAAAGGAACATTAAGGACCGAAGTTGATTATACTATACCAGTCCCAGATCATTCTCGATCCCAACAATATATGTTTGCTACTTACATCGTATGATTGAGGCACGACCATCATGGCGCATCGAATACAAGACCTTGAATCATGCCATTCTATAGACTTACCTTGGTCAACGGTCTGATGAGTTGAAGCGGAACTCCTAGAATTTCTCCTCCGTCCAAGACATTCATGTAAATGTACACTACTTTAGTATTGATGATGAGCACATAATTGTACTCTACTCTAGTATTGATGATAATCGTCTATCATCGCACTCTAATCAACCAGTCCGGTTTGCTGACATCATCGAAACTCTCTAGGCAAAACACCAATACCTATTTACCCTCATTATCTCGTTGTAACCTGACATTACTTAGAATGCGCTTGAAAACACTGCAACACGAAGAAATCTAAAACGAGAATCTAAATATCAACTTATCGAGAGGTTCCCTCCTCGCCCTCTCATTACTTACGGGAAAAAATTGCAACAATCGATCATTCCGCCCCATTCCCTCACGTCACCAGAGTCTCCCAGTTGCGTCGACTTCGACTTCTCTCAATATGCAATTATCAGCATTAGATTCTGAAGAGCCGATCTTGATTCCCAATTCGCCGCCCCATATCAGCGTCCCCGGAAGATACCTCTGTCACTCCAGCGATGGGTTTCCGAATCATTCACAGAGACTATTTTTACAAGGTGACATTTCTTTTCTCCTCAGTGGCTATTGTTCTAATTTTTGCTCCCTTCTTGCTGAGATCAACGTGGATTCTGGAGTGTTAACGAAATGAAATTGCTCAAACAAGTAAGAGTCGTTGTCCCTTGGATTGTGCTTGTGCCTCATTGATTATAGGGGAAGCCCTTGCCCTCGAGTTCCACCACAGCATCCACGCGTGAAGCTCGATTGGAAGACGCTTTCTTATGCACTCACAAAAACCTGCAATGGATGACACCATGCTGTTCGCATCTCTTGTGGTCATCTTATACAAGTATATCGAAGGGAAAATGAAGTTCCCAACCCAACTACCACGCAGTTGAGGAGTGTTTTACACCAATCCTGAACTACACTTCACAATCGCACGTCGACGAGATGCTATCTTCAGATGGCATCCACGTTCCGGTCGTCGCCCACTGCGGTGGTCCCGCAGGTCTCGGTTTAGGCACGCGTGTCCCAGTTCCCAGCTAACGTATATCGGTGTCTTCTTCCGACATGTGCATGCAGTTTGTGAGGCTTCTTTCGTTCGTTATTTCTAGACTCTGCAGTGTATGGTGAATCAATCTACCCTCCTCTAGAATTAATACGACTACTTATGGAGCCCGCCATCATACAGATGTCGATGTTTACGATCTTCGTATCTTTTACTTGCCTTTTCATGCGTTCTTCCTTACACATGTTTTTGCTTGGGCGACGATTCGTATCGAACGATGGGACAGAATACTAAGTTTCCTGTATCCCATGATGACCACTATTTATTTACCAATCAATGAACTTCTGTGGATGACGCATGGCCCGACATGAAGAAGATTTAAAGAATCTTTGAGGAAATCGTTTTCCGCAATGCTTCTCAATACCTAGCTTCACGAACAGTGGCAAATGCAGCTGGTTTGCCGTAAAATCATATTCTACTAGGCAAGAAATTGCTACAGAAGTGCTATTGTATAAAGTTAACCGGAGGAACTAATGTTAGCTACATAGTATCAATATCTACCGGGGAAGAGGTAGAGCTTGATGCAGAAGGGATAAGAATCATTCACAACGATTGTAGAGTAATGAATTTGAATGGAAGAAAACCGAACACTAGTACCAGCAGGATTATCACTGAAATGGCGCGCAAGCATTCTATCACTGGAACAGGGACCTTGTATAATATTAGGAGTAATTTTCGAAATAATGACAATTGCTGACCATTACAGGGACTAACGTCCCAAGAAATCGAATCCGCTTGCTGTCCGGGAATCCAAGAACCCAGATATTGATATTGCCGTCCACATCTCCAGTTGCCATCGAGAGGCTTTCTTCGTCGTATGCCTGTAGACAGTGTTATTTGCTGGAGCATGCCATAACATCAAATGTCCTTACCAGCCCGCTTACCAGAGAATCAGCTGTATAAGGTTGATCTTAGATGCAAGCATAATTCTCCCTCTTTAAAGCAAGAACTTACAAGAAGAATGACGAAGGGTTTGAATCCTTCCTCCATTCTCAGAATCACAGATGACTGCATAACCATTGGCAGTCCCCACAACTGCGGCGTGGCCCTTATCTATGAAGATGACAGGCAGGTGTGTGCTTGACATGATAGGTAGCTCCGCACGCTCAAGGGATGTCTGAGTCTCTTTCTTCCAGGAGCCCGAGGATAAAATGTAACGATCGAGGCCCTTTGAGCTCGTTACCATTAGTGCAGTACAGTCTGGAGCGATTGCCGTTGCCCCCCTAAGCTTTATCAATTGAAAGTTCGAAGATATTATTGTCACGAGGAACTTACAATTGATCGTCCGGATAGACAATCCACTGGCTATGACCTGATTCGAGATTGATTTTCCTGAATAGAACGTCCCTATCACAACACTTTCTTTCGAAATAGCCAAAAACATACCAAAGTCCATGATGTAGAAATGTAATCACAGAATGTCTTTGATCTTTCAAAAAGTGGGCGCCACTAACAACAACTGGCAGATATTGGAGACTATGATTGGCACTGGGAGAGATAGTGCAATGAAAGCATCTTCGTAAAAACCAGCGATCTATGCTTTTTAGCAGATTCCTATACCACGAAGTAATCACCTTACCACCTTCTTTCTTCATGACAATGATATTGTCGCCCGCGCAGATGAGCATTTCATTTCTGGGGTCGTTGAACTCGATCGAGTGAATGGGTGAAGAGAATATATGAATAATGTTGGGCTTTGCATAGTGCTCCTAACACAATGATGGAAGACAAATCTTCGAGGAGGTGAAGATATTGCTTACCCTTGTTTTCGGACTGAATGTCAATAATTCTCCTTTCGCGGTTCCCATTATTAGACTGTGATCGCTATCCCAGTTGATCGTTTCGATTTGAGATAACTGTCGATGGGACCATATCGTCCGGAATCGAGCTTCCACATCGTAGATTCGAATAACCCCATCTTTTGAACCATTTTTGCTTGCACTTCCTAAATATCGGTGGTCCTTCGAAAATGCAAGAGCAACAATTGAGTCTTCAGGATTTTGTAAGGTTTGTATAAGGTGGAAATCGAAGGCCATAGCGAGGAAAATGAGCTATCGATGTATATTAGCCTCGTATTTTCCTCCCGAGGTGTGAAAGGAATTCGAACGATATGAAAGAGCAAAAGTGACGTGAAAATGTTCAAGGGAAGATGGGCTGACAGGCAGCTCAAACCGCTTTATATACCTCATACACATGAGGTGCCTAGGATCCTCCGAATCAAGGAATCCGAACAGCCGGAAGTCGTCTTTGTGCTTTAGAATCTCTTTCATTGGAAGTAAAGGCCAAAAGTGGGATGACGTAATTAGTTGGGTTGACGCTCAGGGTTCATTACAGCAGTCCTTTGAACGCGTTCACATGATAACCTATGATAACTCTGTGATTCAGAGAAAACAAAGGAAATCAACACGAGGGTATAAATAATGAATATGACGCTTCTGCTTTAGGAACGTCTTGATTCCTTTCAGCCTTTCAGCCTTCCAGCCCTTCATCCTCTCACCTTTCATTTCTAGTCTCTTTCTTGCTCATTCGCTATGAAGCCTTTACACGAAGAGATGTGGTGAGACAAATACTTTCATTGAGAATCACATCCACTGATCATGAGATGATCCGTTCTAGGAACATTGTCTTAGGTCCGAATACGAAAACTTACTTCGTGGATTTGTTTCCTGCGGCAATGGGACACAATCGTAATCTCAAGATCAAGAATGCGGCTTTACCGAAAAACTTGAATGATCACAGAAGCTGTCGTACCACTATAAGTCTCGTCAATGCAGAAGGTTCCGACATTGACACTCTCAACCAACCGCTCGTCCTCTGCACCCTGGTACCAATGATCGTAAGTATACTTTCATTCATGTAGTGGATATCTCTTTCTTATTGTGATTCTCCCTTTCACAGATAGAACAAGTCCGATTAGATTTTGGCCTCTTATTGAACAGTGAAGCATGCTATATTCTTGTGGAAGGACCCAAGTAAGTTATAGTGTTTTGTGCAATTCTGGGAAACTGACTGAGTCTATAGTCCGGTCAACATCTGTATGCAAGCAATCTCTTCAACGAAACAAAGGACCGACGTCATTGGTAAGAATAAAGCTTTCTACCTCCAACTTCCTGCATTTCGTTCCGACGGTATCCCGACCAGATCATGCTAGGACCCAATCGCTTTCATCTTCTCAAACCTCTCCACCTTCGCAAGCGAAATGCCCAAACGCAAACGGTGAGACACTTTACACCTCGGTATGCATCGAATACCAACCGAATCGCAGGATCGCTAACTGCCTCTACATCAACCCGAGATCCACGACTCTTCCAACAATCACGTTTAGGCAAATCTGGTGAGGTGGCTTCTCTTCTCAGAGAGTATTGTGTAACATCTGTGTATCTGTAGAGACACCGATCGGATCTAGCCTTATCAGCATCTCTGGGCGACTGCCGTCGTCTCTTTCATCGACTGAAAGAACCAATGTCAATGGTAAGAGCAAAAACTTGACATTCAAAGGTCCGACAACTTATCCACTCCCCCCGGTTAGTAACCGATGGCGCGAGGACCCCGCAATCAACTCATAATAAGCGCCAATCCCTTTCATCTTCCTACAACTCCTCACCTTCGGGGATAGCGACGAAAGGCCCGAACGTGAACGGTGAGATACGTCGCAATACATTATGCATCGCGCTGATTGAGTTCAGGAAATTTGGCAGCGACCCGAGCACTCGATTCACGTAATACTCAAATCCTTCCACCTATGTCATGACACTCATCCGCTCCTCTCCCGGCTAGGTCCTGGCAACATGAAGGTCCATTCTCAACCCTTTCCTCTGAAATCTCCAGCTGTCGACTCTCGATCTCATGAAACAAAGACAAACTCGACTCCGGATGGTGCACATGAATCTAACCTCATGCATCGTGTATTGATTGAGTTCCAGGATCTGGAGCCTTTCGCGCATCACCGCGTGTGCATGATCCACGAGTTTACCAAGGGGAAGGATTGAGCCGGGGTGAATCTAGTAAGATAATTCTTCTGTCTTCAACATTCTACGCATTATTAATGAATGTCGTACACTCAAGCAACCATCAGTTACCGCTCATCGTCCATTGTACCTCAGACTCGAATTCCAGCTTTCGACAACCGATGTAAGCACAGTTTTCTGGTTTTCGAGTATTGCGTACTTGACATAGTCGAAGCATATCCGAAAGACCACCTTCGATGTAAGCTCAATTCCCTACTTCCGGCTTGCTTGTCTTACTGTTTCATTCATAGACCGACCTAATTGCAGACACGAAACGAATGTTCCTTATCCTTCCAGGTTCCATACTCCAGAGGGTCGACATAATGGCGGAACACCAAGGCCATCTAGCGGGTATCGGTTTTCCAACTAACGATTCTGTCAATAAACAGTAGCTCAGAGTTCTATAGTCAAAGTCTGTAGATCATATTACAATATCTATCATGTTCATTCTGTTTATACTCGAGTCACTCTTGAGCGCATTCAAAGGATTGTTAGTGGTTCTAATCAACCCCTTTCTGTTCTAGCACGTGTGAGTCTAGCCTAACGGAATTGTATATATATGTGATATCGGAGGATAACCGTATCACTTTGGCTTTGGACAAAGTCCTTTCATATGTAACTCATTCATGCTGTCAAAGGATTGGGCGTAGGAACAAAGGTAAGTGCCTATCAAGAGCCTGGCACGATTTCACTGAAAGGGATCTGATCGTTTAAGACTGGGTCGGTTATCTGTTTTTTGCCTCCAAAATGCCCCGCAAAAGGAATAGATTCTCCGCACCAAACGACTCAGATGATTCTGACCATGAAATAGAACATCTTGTATGTCATGAGTGTCATTACATGCAACGATTGTTACTAACTCAACTGATAGAAAGTTAGACTCATTTCCCCGCTTCATAACGATCGTCTCCAAGCTGAAAACTACACACTCCGAACAACTTTGGCACAATTGACCCACGAAAGAGATGTGGCAGTCGGACATGCGTTGCAAACCAACAATGATCTTGCCTCTAGGCTTGCTTCGACAGAGGTTCAATTACGAGCTAAAAATGCTTTACTTCTCGACATGGAGAGTCGGGTAGGCCTCATGGTGCTTACCGTCATACCTTACCAATTGTTGCATCCACTCAAACATATTCTCATGGTAGCCCGGACATTACGCGAACGAGGAACGTAACGAGTTCAAACAATACATCGAGGTGCGTGAAGGTCAATATTATGAACTAGACCTTATTTCAACTTTGAGTTTCGCAGAATTTTGCAGGTTCACTTCAGCGCCTTAGTGAGGGAAGAACAGCGAATGAACAATATCGGCGCATCGAAGATGACAATTCAGTATGGTCTATTGTCAATTTCACTCTCCCACTCTCAAACATACAATTCCAGTTTCTGGTGCAGCGTTCTAACACTCTTCTGACCAATTTGCAAGCTACTCTGGAGGCCTACGAAGAGCTACAGAAGGTGAATCATACTCAATCCTTAATCAATATCATACTGACATGTTGTCTTCAAGGCGTTTAAGGGACTTCAACAAAAACAAAACGAGAGTATGACAAAAAACTGGCATGCGGCCACGACTTCCCAGGTCATCATCCATTTTCTCCGGCATAATACATGAGGTTCATACTATCCAAACAGATTTATGACGGGAGAGCCAGGGAACTAGTGGTACGTGCATTCCATCTGTGTATCATCGTGAATATTACATCAACGCTGGGATGAAGTCTCATGTAGTCCTCAATCTGAATCTTGCTCGTCCCGGAAATCAGGAAATTCCGACGGAGGTAGGAATTGTAAAAGACCCGCGAAATGAACCTGAATTTAGGCACAGACGTCAAGGACAGAAGCAAGCAATAGCACAGATCATCCTCAATCTGTAATGTCTCCAGAGTCGTTTCATGAAAGCAGCGACGTTCAATCAGCACGAGAAATAATTGCACAACCACTGCAGGTTTGTGTCCTTTCTACCAACTTGCACAGTCGAGACTAATTCCTTTCAAAGCTTGAAAGGATACAATCAAACGATTCGGAAAACAGTAGTGTATCAGTTGACAAGATCCAATTCATGCTTCATGATCTAGAGTCTGAATCCATTGAGATGCAAGATGCTTTGTTGGAAGATCCCAAGCAACATCACATAGACCAACTATGTTCAGACAACATTTTGATGCAGGTAGGATACTTCAGCATCCCTCAAAGATGATTCACTTTGTTGACCTTTATTAGACCCAGCTTGATGAAATTCAATTGCTTTTCGACCAGTCGCTGAGCAATAAAACAATGATTATCGAGGTATAATTTACGCTGTCCCAGTTATGCTAAGATCACTAAGTTCATCATATCTAGAAATGTACCCAAGAGCTCGAGTCGGTTAGATCTGAGCTGGTTATTTCACACCTGAAATATCAGGAGAAGGAAATTTCGATCGAAGAAAAATACCGTCAATCATCTCAGCGGGAGATAGACAAAGAGAAGAGCAAGCTCGAAACTGCTCGCCGGAATTTGGAAGCGCTCGAAGCGGATAAAAAAGCTCTACAGCTGAAAATGTCTGCCATGCAAGTGAGTATATGGCGGGTGTCGAATGTTTGATTCTACTGAGTCTTTCATCTATAGATCCGATCCGCTCAACACCAAGCTATACTGGAGCAATCTCACAGAAGCGCTCGCGATCTACTGGAGGAAAACCGAGTCAAACATGATATTGCCCTTCAGACATCTATGTCGTCGAACAATAATTTACAGGTACCTAAACACTCTTCAAAATTTGATCCACTCGTCATTTACGACATAGACCCAACTTGATAAAACCGTGGCTCGGCTCGAATTATCTCTCAAGGAAACCTGCAATGAAAAAATGAAGGTCAAGATGCTCGAGGTACAGATTTGATTTCCGCCCCCATTGTGCTACCGCTTGATTTACTCACATGCTATATCAGACCCAGTCCAACCAATTCATGAATCGCGAATCTCAGCTCGAAAAATCTCTTCAAGACGCACTCGACTCGTTGGAGATTGCCCGAGTTCGAAGTGATGCTCTCCAGGTATCATGATCTCACTGTTCTGTTCTGTTGTATGTTCACATCTTAGGATAGACCGAACTCAATGACATCAAGAACTCTAAAGTTCAACTTGAACAGCTGCTCGACGAAACCTGCAAACCTTCAATGGTCACGCTTGAGGTAGAATTTTTTTTTCTGATCGAGTTCGCGACGAACCCACTACTCGTTATGTTCAGAAACATGTTCAAGAGCTTGAAGCAGAGCTGAAAACATCGTGCCAAAGATACCAGGATGAACTCTCAATCAAAGAGCAGTGCAGAATTCAATTACAACATGAGGTTGACGAACACGAAGGCAAGCTTGAAGCTAGCTGTCGACACCTGGAAGCACTTGAAGCGGAAAAGCTCACGCTAGAGGTAGATTTTTTTTCCGATCGAGTTCGCGACAAACCGACTTACTCGTTATGTTCAGAAACATGTTCAAGAGCTTGAAGCAGAGCTGAAAATGTCGTGCCAAAGATTCCAGGATGAACTCTCAATCAAAGAGCAGTGCAGAATTCAATCACAACATGAGGTTGACGAACACGAAGGCAAGCTTGAAGCTAGTTGTCGACGCCTTGAAGCACTTGAAGCGGAAAAGCTTACGCTTGAGGTAGATTTTTTTTTCCGATCGAGTTCGCGACGAACCCACTTACTCATTATGTTCAGAACCATGTGCAAGAGCTTGAAGCAGAGCTGAAAACGTCGTGCCAAAGATTCCAGGATGAACTCTCAATTAAAGAGCAGTGCAGAATTCAATTACAACATGAGGTTGACGAACACGAAGGCAAGCTTGAAGCTAGTTGTCGACGCCTGGAAGCACTCGAAGCGGAAAAGCAAGCCCTAGAAGTAGACATGTTCGCATTACAGGTAAGGTTCCATCCCAGAACTATGGTTTGCTGACAACCTTACCCTCTCAGACCCAAATTGATAGATTTTCCAGTAATGAAGCCCGATCCCAAATGTCTCCCCAAGGACCTCAAGAAAGTTCCGCATTGCTTTCTCAGGATCAGGAATTGTTAACATTGCAGCAACGTTGTACCCAACTGGAGATGTCACAACAGGATGCGACATCTAAACATGAAGCACAGGTGCCAATAGTTTAACTTTCATAGCTCGGTACCGGCTTTATTTCCCGCAATTTTCTAGAGCAATACCCTTCGAACGCTTCGAACTGAGCTTTCCAATTCTCGAGAGGACCTCAAACTTCTAGAGGTTCGCGCCTTCATTTTACGACTATTCCTTTCTTGAAGCACATGGCATAGGAACTTCGTGATTCCCTTGAGGGAGAGTTGCAGTCCCGAGAAAAGGAGGTCCGAGCTTTGAGAACGACTTTGCTCACAGTACAGTCGACACCATCGACCGGTATAGGATACTTGGTTTCGGTCAGTGATCAATTTGTCAAATCTTATTTGATCGTTGATCAAGGCTCCAGAGAACTCCGAAAAAGGAGTCAGATGAAACTTCTCAAGAGGTGCGCGATGTTGTGCCTTTCGCTGCTTCGCGTTGGAGTAAATTTTATGTGTAGCTGTCTAATGACCGCAATTCAAAGGATGAGCGGAAGGTTGTCTGCGCTTCAGAGGTACGTCCGGAAGTAAGAGGGTCGGAATTTCCAGCCATTCACTCGGAGAGTTGTTTACAGCTGGACCCTCAGAAATCATCACAATCTTCTCCAGAGGTGAACTTCTATCATTATCACAGCATCAAACTGACACAACACCTGTACAGATGGACGCCCTCAGCACAGACATTATCCATGACGTGCGTTTGTAATATGAATATATAAGCAGATGTCTGAATCCTGTTGCAGGTCAATATGAGCGATATAGTCTCGACTATCTTGCCACCCCAAGGTATAACGTTCAAAATACGGTCGAATGACAATACACAACGGCCTGTACTTTCATTATCCGACAGTGGCAATGTATGTGGTTTCCCCCGACTGGAAATATCATGATCGTTAATCCTGTGTCGCATCTGGCTGTCTTGTATGCCTTCAACAGCCTGACCCTTCGCGCAGCAATTCATCGCCGTCAAATGAGTCCGCGTCCACTTCGTTTACAGGCTTGAACAAGATCCTCTGTAATACCCCTATCGAACATCGATTAACTACCGCACGAAAATATGAATTATCTTTACCGCCATCGCTGGTAAATTGGTCTGAAATGCTTCCTTTGTTGATCTAACATTGTTTTTAGATGGGCGTACGTCGCCAAAACGGTCGATTGCCTAAGAGTGGCACCTCAAAAAGAAACCATCGTTCTATTTACGTGCGTTCAACCAACTTATTCATTGCAGTGAACAAATGACAATCAGCAAAATCTTTAGTCTGACAAGCAAGGCAAAGCAGGGTGACCGGGAACTTTGTACAATCTTACTTACTGCTCAATCCTCATGTACAACAGTATCTTACTAGAGTCTGATATCGTTTCCTTGCTTCCCAACCTTGTGTAATTGAAATTGTTCATCATATTCGAGATCACTCCGGACCGGTGTTTATATGAATTTTAGAGGACTCCCCTTCGAAATTCTTCTTAACTGAAAAACTGAAAAAATCCATCTGGTATGTCGAAGTGGAAGAACAAAAAGACCACTTTCAAAGACCTTATTGATGAAGAAGCGAGAAATTTACAAGCTGCGCCATCCGCGATATCCACTTCATCTTCACCACCAACACCCTCGAACTGCAATACTCCAAAAGCTGAGATCGATCTGAGGGAACCTGTCCGTGAATTTATCTGCCTCCGCTCAAACAAAATCTGACACTATCACAGGTTACAAGAGATCTTGGGTTGACGGACGCTGGCGTTAAAGTTGGCGCTATTGCTCAGAAGGCCCTAAAATCTGCCGACCGTCTTCTAGCTATTATTGTAAATGCTCGCAATGGATTTCAGGAACTCACCAGTAATTCCGATCGACATGAAATTCATACTGTCTGCGACACAGCTGATCGAAGCCTTGTGTATGTGCGCTCTGAACTTCTGAAGATCAAAAACACTGCTGCCGAAGAGAAAGTGAGGGGGGTATGGCAGGACGTGAATGCTCTTGAAGATATCCTGTACGATTGGAGAACAGCATACCCAGATGATATATCCCCTATCAAAATCAACAACAGTAAGTGTTCACTTTACTGTCACCATGGATCCTTAGTTACAAGATGTATTCATAGCCGATTCCTTTGGACAACCTGAGGAAAAGCTGAATGCGCCCACCCTGATTGCATATACCATCGCTCTCGTGAATCGGGTTTTTGAGGGGGCAGCTCGTCGCGGTTCCGGGGTGTTACTGAAAATGTTGAAACTGTTCGGCTATTCCTTCATTTCACTTGCTGGACAACCAAACTACATTCAGAAGAAGGCTCTCAACGACATTCCAGAATCGATTCAAACTGTAGAAAAGGCCTTGAATCTGGATGTTCAGAGCATTCCTTATGCTGTATGCCCTCGTTGCAGCTTCACACACATCCCGACCTACCCTAACGGGCCTTCTGATCCTGTCTATCCCACTCACTGTAACGAGCGCCTCACTGAACTCTCGGATCCATGTGGGACAGAGCTGCTGCAGGAAGGAAAACCATTCAAGACTTATCATGCCTACTCCTTCTATGAATGGTTCGGCCGTTTCATTGCTCATCCTGGAATAGAACAATACGGAGACCGTTTCTGCGACGAGATTGCCTCATTCGAGAAAATCCCGGACACAAAGCGAGATATCAAAGATGGCTCATTCGTACATACTTTCAGGGGACATGACGGGAAGCTTTTTCTTGCTGAACGAGGAAATGAGGGAAGATGGGTCTTTCTCTTGCACGCCGATTTTTTCAATGTCGAGGGAAACCGAATTCGGGGAAAGACAAGGTCGACGGGCATCACATCACTCGTGTGCCTCAATCTTCCCCTTTCTATGCGCAATGACCCTGCATGGATCTTCATTCCTGGCCTCATTCAAGGGAAAAGTGAACCCGACGCTAAGAACTCTGAGCATCGTCATTATTGGCGTCTCCTCATTGACGAGTTCTCGGCTGGTTACCTACGGGGATTGCAACCTCGTCACACGTATCGATCTCACAGCAGTGAAGGGCTTAATGAGCGTGTGTTCCGGGTCGCCATTGCTGGAGTTTTGATGGACTTCAAGGCTGCCCGCCCTTTTGCAGGCTTTCTTGATGTTACTTCTCATCACACTTGCTTCTTGTGTAAGTGCTGGCATCGCGCTCATCTAGGGAGAACTGATTATCAAAATTGGACGACTGCGGGTGTTGAGTTTTTGAAAAGAGGAGCTGAGGCATGGTTAAATGCAAAAACGCCAAAAGAACGAAACGAGATTGAATTTTTCTATGGTACCCGATATTCAGAACTTTGGCGTCTCCCATACTGGAATCCTATAAAACAGCTATTGGTTGATCCTATGCATATCTTCTTCCTCATTCTGATGCAGAGGTTGGCTCGTGAGGTTCTCGGCTTGGATAATCCTGAGTCTAGTGAGGAAGAACACAGGAAATCAAAAACATCCAAGAAGAGTCAGCAGAATAATTCCTTCATCTCTTTCTATCATGATTTTACCCCACCGCCTCACTCTTCCGAGCTCACCTCCTCGACCGGTACCACTTCAAATCCGCCGGAAGTTCTAGGGCTTGACGAACCTGAAGCTGTAGATCAACGACTCTCCGTTCTTGAATGGGGCGACCTCTCTTCTGCAGAGCAAACTGCTCGTGTTTCTAGAATGGAACAACTGAGGGAAGAGATTCAAGGGAATCCTAGAGCCTTTCAAGGTATCTCTGACCTCCATTATCTATTGTCTCAGGGCCTTCCAGTTTCAGATGTTCACCGTGATCGTCTTCGAAAACGGTTAGGGAAATTCAAATGGGTTGTCTTGGCTCATGTATGTAATGACCTGATGGAGTTCCCAGACGAGAAGATGGAAATACGATTGCAGTCCCATTTTCATTCCAGAGGTAAAAAAGGTATAAGTCGGAGAGAGTTTGGAGATGCTTTGTACCGCTGGGTGAGTAAATCATTTGTTCTGAAGCTTAATCTAATGAGCCCAATATTTCAAAGCTCTCGGAGCGAATCTTGAACCCTGGTCAAACGTTTGAATGGCCACATTTCACGCCAAAGGATAAGCCCGCCCCTTCGATTCCCTGGCTACAGCTACACAATATACATGAAAATCAACGCATGAACCCCCTTCGCATACCGGGATTAGAAGGTCGTTTCGAATTGTTAGCAGAGACAATCAAACGTTTCAACTGGCACAGTGCCCACTCTGTCGGGCACATACATCGTTTCCTTACACAACCGTTGGTCGATGATGTAGTCGGTGATAAACAGCTGAAGGTCAATCTGAATAGGCAAACGTTGATAGCGCTATCCTTTGTCTGCATCGACCTTGACATTCTTCCCGAGGGTAAATTCGGAAAAGCGGAACTCGTTAATCAGCTGGTCAAATGGGTGCGTGGATATGAGCTCTTGTAGTCGTCTTACTCTTACAATGGGTTTTCAGCGTCTGACTAAACCTTTGAAGCCCTTGCCACGGGTGCGTATAGCATCAGATAAGGTCCTACAAATGGTCCAAAGATCCATTCGTGAAACTGTTGTCCCTTCATGGATTACGCGCCCACCATCTGACATGGGGCTTCAGCAAGCAGGTACTTTGAAAGCTGATCATTGGCGAGTTCTCTTCAACATCCACTTACCCTTCTCTTTGATCTGCATGTGGGGTAAGGGATCTCCTTCAGCAGTGGATAACGCTGCTGAAATGACTCCTGTACTGGAGACCTCGATGCATCTCACTTGTGCATCCATTTTGATGACTCGGAACAGTTTGTCCCCCAAGACCCGTGATCAATTCAGATCATCTTTGAGGGACCATATCCTCGGATTGAAACAAATTTTCCCAGGATTCATGCTACCAACTCATCATTTGGCATTCCATATATACGATTTCATGGATGGTTTTTCTACTGTACGCAATTGGTGGGGATTCCCATTCGAGAGACTGATCGGTAAGGTGCAAAGGATGCCCACAAATCATAAAATTGGTAAGGAAATCACTGCAATATAGATATCCGCTGACTGTTGAAATAGGTCAACTGGAATACACCCTATTGAAGGTGTTCTATAAAGGGGCCTTGTTTCGACGTTGGCTCATGCGACCTGATTGTCCCGATATCCTAAAATTCTGCAAACTTCTCTTGGATAAAGCATATGGTTACAACAATGTCGAATCAGACCAAGATGAATGTGACGATTTAGATGGCTCCGAGGTCGCGGAAATGATGGAAGGCAAAAGCAACAACAAACCACCACCTGGCCACAAGGTAATATCAGGATTTGTTAAGCTCCCTTTGAAGCTTGCGAAACGAGTGGGAAATCTTCAGCCGAGATGTTATTCGCAGGTTCCGGCCGCAAAAGGCTTTTATAGCATTCCTAGTCGTGTTGTCGGGAATAGCTATGTCTGTTACCACCAGACGAAAGATTTCCAGAAACCGTGGGCCGCAGGACAGATCCAGTACATCTTCGAGCATGAAGGGGAAATCAAATTGGCTATCAGACCAAGCAAACCATTGATCGGACACTGTGATCCGTTTGCGCAGTTTGTTGACCAAGGATTCGACTGTAGAGCGGTATCTTCCCAATTCCTTGATTGTTATGATATTGTCAAAGTGGATTTAATCATCGGACATACAGCAAGGTGGGAAATCGACGCAGATTTTGTGGTTGTGCTGTCTCTTGGGCGGGTGAGCTGTTCATTTGTACGCATTTTTGAGTGAAGAAAATTGATCAATCATTAGGAATGAACATATGTCGCTGTGGATTGCGTCGCTGTAGGTGGATCTAAGATACTCTCTATTTGAAATGTATCTATACAGGGTGACACGAGTTAAATCATACCGCTCGAGTGTTTGTTGTACGTTTACATGGATTGGTCAAGGCGAGCCTAAGCTATGAGACTATTTTAAACCTGAAGAGTTTGACCTGAAGAAGTTTAAGTCGTTACTGGTTATACATGGTGTAAAGTAATTCAATTCGACCCGGCGTCGCGACGATGTTCTACTAAGGCTTTCATGACATGGCAAACATCTCCGACAATTTTTAACCAATCACCCTTTCCTTGAGTATTGTCTTCGACCGATCGATATTGTAAATTTAAGCCCCACCATTTCAAACATACAATGATTCCGAACCAACCATTCAATCCGAACTTATCGATAGACTTCCATTCATCAGACCTTATATGTAGCAGAGACGGTCTCTCTCCTGTCGGACTCTGTCTCCACGCTGGCTGGAAAGAAGTCCACCAAGTTTTCACGTTCTCAGCAAATTCAATACCACAATCCTCGATATTCGGTTCGTTTGCCTTGCATTTGTACCGTTTCTTGTCTACCCACTCGGCTAGCAGTGACGGGCGGTTGACGGTGGGGAGCCGCACCTTCGCATTTGTCCTCCATTGGGTTGTTCGCTCGAGATCAATCCACGTAGAGACCAGACTCTGATACTCCGCACCCAGATCCACATTGACATATGCAAACGCATCTGGGAACCACAGTGAGGCCTGTTGATTGGATGCTGCATCCAAAGGATATTGCAGCAAATCCACGAGAGTAATCTGTGCATTCAAATCAGTGAGAGTAAGCCTCATGATATACCAAGGACCTACAGAGCTCCGAGAATTGATTTCCAGCAAAGGCTCTTCTTCATGGATGTCCTTTGCCTGTCAAATGCTCAGGATTCCATAGAATTAAAGGAGACTGGGACGACATACGGCTTGAGGAGGCGCCAACTTGGAACGTGCCTGGGCTGCCCATCAGATCGAATACGACTGAGTATGTGGCGAAACGCACTGCGATAGTATCAGCCAGAGAAATGGCCGATTCAAGTTTTTGTTTTTCTTTGCTTAGTGCTGTCGAGACTCCCTTCACCCGCTTGAGAGGCGCATAAACACATCAGCAACACTTGATCTTACCTCGTCAAAGGCACCGGCAATGGGTGAGAGCTATGTCTACGTCAGCTCAGCATAATTTACTCAGTGTATATGAAACTTACGTTATGGGTGTCCGAAGCAATGTTCAACGTCTATTGGCTTGAAGTGAGTGGCACTTAGTGTGAATTATAATCAGGATTGCGCACCGTCTTGCGGAAGAGGAAGATATTAGTTCATTCAAGACGGTATAGGGTAACACTTGGCTCACAATATTGGTATGTTGCGGAGGAGACGTCTGCGTAGCAATGTGGAGAAGTTCCGGGTGACCCGCTGGTATGCTCGGCTGTAGCGCTAAGTGTGAAGTGCGTAGCATACTTATAACGGATGATTGCGTACATGCATCGGAATGTCTGTTTGTATAGCCACTTCTGTCTTTTGTTTTTGAACGTCGTTAGTCTGTCAAGGAACATTATTAGACCTTAAAATACGGGGCCCATAAACGACTGACCTGAATAAATGACAATCTTTCATTCAGTGCATTATTCTGAGCTTTGAGGCGAAATATTTCGGCTTGGAAATTCAACGATTTCTTGTACAGTTGGGCTACCTCGATCTTCGCGCGTTCGAGAGATTCATCTTCACAGTACTAAAGAATAATTAACAAGAGTTTAAAAAGAGAGTGACAATACAAACCGTCAAGCCCGACACTTCTTCGTTGAGAGCTTGGACTTCCTGTTCAAGCTCGTTGATCCTTGCCTAAAAGGGGTGATCTTGAATGGCTTGTCACCTATAGAAGGTATGCTACTCACTTGTTGCTGCCTGATAAGTGGAGAACTCGCAGAATTTGACACCACCCGAACTTTAGACTACGATATACGAGAATGATTTTTGTGCACTTGGATTTGAAGAAAACTCACAATGCGTTCTACGACCTCTTCGGAACGATGTCTTTTGGCCAATTCGATATCTGAACCAGTGTACATCGTCGACAAGTTAAGACTGTGTAGTGGACATAGAAAAGTGTTTCGTTCAAGTTCTTATAAGACAAATGATCGCTCATTGGGACCTTTGCTTCCCTTTGAGACCCCTTTGAGACCTTTTGAAACCTACTAAGTCTCTTTGTTTCAATGGATGTAACTCGTTCTTCCACCCTCAAATTCCTGATCTAGTCCGCGCGCACCACAACGAGAGTTTGTAGGATATCCTTTGAGTGTTTGAAGAATTGTTACAGCAGATTACAGCAGCGACATCGGAGGAAAATTGACCCTTTTTAGAGAGTTAGGGGAAAGGTGATGCCTGACGCGGACCGGACGCAGATCGCCTTCCGAAATTATATAAGCATGCAATTCTGTTCCTGTTCTTTCTTCGTCTCCTTTACTCATTGTTTCCCTCTTTCCTTCCACTGTGACTGTGGTCCTGTTCGGTCTCGAAAGTTGGTTAATCCTCCACATTGGGCGCTATTTGCTTCTCCCCACTCCTACTGGCTCTCTCAGCCAGCCGTTTTCCATGTTTCTCCAATGCAACAGTGACCATTGTAGTCCATTGTGGTTCTTTTTACCGAGGCCCATATTTGCATGGTCCCCTATGGCCGTCGCTACACCAATGTCTCTTAGGGGCTCGTATTTCGATATATATATATTAGGTATTCACCTTACCAACATGCTTTTCGTCCCATCGCTTACTTCTCTTCTGATAGCAGTTCTCATGACTCTGTTCCGACTTCCAACGGCAGTCCCAACTGTCAAGACCCATTCCATCATCCTTTCCTCCCGCTTTTCGACTTAGCCACCGGCTGCAACCACGAAGGATGTGGTGTTCGTCTCTCTTCAGCTGCAATACGCTGCCGTGTCCTTCAACGCTTATGAGACCATCTCTCTTCCACGTTCTCTGCCTACTCCGGTGTGTGCATTTATGCTGCTACGTATGTCTGTGACGTTAACATTCGCTCGGCTCGGCGGTGTCACAGCAAACTTAAACACAGCCAACGTTTGCTGGATTATCGGGTGTCTAAACCTGTATTTGATTGTTTTGCTGCATCCTCCTGGTCCATCGCTCCCATGATCTGTTCGATCACTGTCCGCTTGGCTCCCGTTCAAACTTGATTTCGCATGTTCTTTGTTGGGTACACCTTGTGGAATGTCTGTTGATCATGGTTGGTGTATTGCCTTTCCGTACTACTTTCTGTACTACTTTCTTGACTGTAGAATGTAATCTGGTCTTCTGTCATTGGACTGTACTGTGTTATCAAACGCATGTTGTTTTCTCTCTCTAGTATCAGAGTAGCACTTCTCCACGTCCCTCCCCAAATACATCCTGTATCGAATCATTTTGAGCGCAGATCCATGAATTTTTATCACTGAACATAAATGCCTTATCGAGATGGTTAAGCCCCAAAATAGTCTAGGTAGAATAGGTGATTACATAGACAATTACTTAAATCCTAAGAAGATTACAACTAGTCCATGGCTGGGATCGGGAACCGCTTCTTGGTCAAGATTCGAAATTGTTTTTTCTGGTGAGGGAACAATTCATCCAGGTATTCTGGGCGAAATACGTCTTGCGGTAAGCCTTTAGGTGGGTCCCGCTTGTCAACAACGTCGTTTGAACGAATCCGCTTGACAGATAATCGTCCCTGTTGGGTAAAGATCTTCAATTCAACTTTAGGCGTCTCGTCGACCTGCTGTAATATTGGGGCGAAACTTTCATGTCGAAACCAGAGAATCTTCACTCTCTTCACGTCCTGTTTGGTGCTGACCCCGTCGATTACCACATCCTCATCGCCACTGTCTTCGTCCGACATGCCACCATCTCCCAACACTAGCAGAGCATCAACAACGTATGACCAAAATGTTACTCCTGATTCATCGCCCCCATCCTGACAGAATTGGACCATAATAGTTGCGATCTTCAAGCGAGTATCAAGTTTCTGTATGGATACGTGTTAGACATGGGTTACTGATCGAGATAATATGTAGGCATTCACCCAACGGCGAAGGCCTGAAGACTTTGTAGACAATCTCTGGCGTTCGCTCGACTCGGTGATCCGATCTGCTCTCTGAAGTGGCGTTTCATCAGGAAGGAACCGGAAGTTCTCGATTAGGCGGTATAGCTTGTTGAATCTTGCTTGAAAGAGGGCCCTAAAGTTCACTCGATTTTTTCCAAACCGCCCATCCTTGTGTGCCAAAAATATCCTTTCAGCTTCTTCCGAAAGCATTTCCTGCAGCGCATTGTTCCAGTGAGATTTCCGCATCTGCTGGATTGTGAGTCCTCGCCAGTGAAGTGTCGTATTAACGAGCATGGGCTTTGCTGCATCCATGCCATTGAAGAATGCTGTGAGCCGGACCTCCGGTGTCGATGGAAATTGTGCGCGAAGGACATCATGATTGTCTTCGATGTTCAAAGACTTCTGGTATAGATCTCGAGTCATATGCTAGCTAGCTTTCAGATCGATTTTCCATTGCATTAACAATAGGACTTACATTAAGGTTATTTTTTACGTCGAAAGGCTTGACTAGATGTTTCAGTTTCCACTTGGTCGCAATTACACGTTTGTTACTCTCCTGTTCATCGTCGTCATTGTCACTGTCATTATCGTTATCGTTGTCGTCGCTATCGCCACCATCGTAGCTCGGTTCATCGGATTCGTCATCATCGTCGTCGTGCGGGTCATCTGAGCCGTTTGAGCCATCACTTTGCTGAGACGGGTCGTTTGCAGGCCGAAATTTCTTTGCCTATACCACGACAAAATTCATCAGGAAGAATCCGAACTTTAAAATTTAGACCTTACATTAGAAGGTGCAGTGTTCGTGAAACGATTACTTTTGACCCCAGTGAGCCCAGTTGCGGCTTTTCCCTTTCCTTGGTTTGCACTCTATCATTTTCGAAGATTAATAACGTCGATTTGACTCAAGGGGGGACTGACCGTCGCGACAGCTGCAGCGTCATTTTGCTCTTCCTCCTTGTCCTCATCAGACAGGGCTTGAGACTATGTCGATCAAATCAGTGAGATGCTTGAGCATGTGAATTTTCAGGACGGACATATCTAGAATTTTTGCTTTTGGAGAAGACTCTGGACGATGACGAATGACTTCTATGGGGAGAATTTGCTGCCTATAAACAAAAAGGTCAGTTCAACCAGTCATGTACACAGATTGATGAGTAATTACCGAAGGCAAAAATGTCAGAGCATACTTTCTTCTAGTGGCTAGATGATGTGCAACAGGAGCATGACGAAGAGCTTTCTTCAGACCACCGAAGGGTATCGCCGTCGAATCATTATGCGACGGAGCGACGGGGACAGCGGATGATTGTGACGATTGGAAATCTTGCAGGGAAGTGGAGCCAGCCTGCCCGTCTGAATTGAACTCGCGGAGTAAAATTCAAAATCAAGGGAACGTACTTTGGGTTGAGATGGCTTGCCAGGTGGAGTCTGAGATCCCCGAGGGTTTTCCCATATAGGAGGACAGTTGTAAGCTTTATTAGCATCTAAGGCACCTACACTCATTCCAAATGGTGAAGAATCGGGGGTAACTCCAGGTAAGGAGTAAGAGAACTGTAGTTGGAGGAAAAGGTGAGCCACGATAGTGACGGTGATATCCTATTGACGAAATCAATACACACATTATACCCTGTCTGAGATTGTACTATCACAGGACGTCTAGTCGGAGTAGGTGTCCAAGCCATGTTAGATTGCACAGGAGGGGCCAATCCAACTGCTTGGAGACGTGCCAACTCTGATTGCAAGTGCAAAATTTGATTTTCCATTGCCTTGCTATGGCTCGAGGTAACGGCCAGTTCATCTGTCAATTCTGCACAACGAGACTCTGTCAACTGCAAGAAAAATTGTCAGTCATTTTCCCCGGAGACCACTGTGTTGCATACCTGGAGTGTACTAGTAGTGGTTTTCAATTCTGCGTCTCTATCGTGAAACGTTCCTTGGAGTTTTTCAAGCCGATCCTGAATCAATCATGTAGTTAGATATTTGCCCGAATTTGACAAAAAAAAAAACAAAAGTCGAACAAATTGTTCATCGTAGGCACTTTGTAATTCATCGAATCGGCTCTGTAAAAAAGGTTATGGAGGACCGAAATATCAGAAGACTGTGAATTACCTTCAACACCCTCTCTTCCCGCATATTAGAAAGTTTTTGACGAAGCGCTTGGATTTGATTCTGTGCAAGAATAAGGGCTAGGCGATGGCAGACAGAGAATTCCAACCTTCAGATTGTTATCTTCCCCGTCTCTTGCCAGTAAAGTACTTCGCAAGTGTCGTAGTTCTGCCTCTCGAGATTGCAAATCAGTTTCGAGCTTATGGTGAGAGTTCTGGAATTCATTGAATGATTGAACATGGGCAAACTGGATGACCTCAGCGCTGACCTCTAGATTCTTCATATCTTCACGGAGGATATCGAGTTCGAGGGAAAGTCGGTTCTGTTATTTACAAAATCATAACAAAATCATATGAGAAGGGGTAGCAAATATTGAAGTCGAACATACTTCGAGCTCATCTCGTCCATCCTCTCGAGTTTCGTAGCCGTCTATTATCTTCTTGAGCTGAGTAATGTATTTCTTGGCTTCCAGTAGCTGCTGTAGCTTCCCATTGGAGTCTCGTTTCAGATCATTTGTTGCCTAAATATTGATTCAGATGAGTAAAAGTGTGAACAGTGATGCAGGCTATACCCACACTGGACTCAGAATCCTCCTCTACAGGTTGCAATTGGATACTTGGTGAAATTTGAATGCTACTATTGCCTAACGAAGTTGAACCATGGATTTTGCTCGCAATTGTCTTCACATCTGACTCATTGATCATACGAGAAATATCCGCCAAAGAAGTCTCATATGCCTGTAGATATTTTCAAGAAAGGAAATATGACTATTGATGAAAACATCTACTGACCGCTCTGAGTTTCGCGTAGTCATCACGACATTTCTGCAGCTCTGTCTCCATCTTAGGCGAGACACATGCCAAGTTCTTTCAGGTCATCAAAATTCGCCCCGAAAAGCATAGGAAACCCAATGCGCACCGAATCATTGTCTACAGAACTGGCCGATGGTTCCTGGCAAACTCCCTTCAAGTATTGTACCGTTTGTGTAAGGTCCTGAGGACGATATGAACTCATGGTTTCAGCAAGAGATATGAGGACATACATATAAAATGACTTCCACCGCGAACTTTCGAGCGTCATAATGATCACACTGTCCTTGCTGTTAATGCTATCGCCATTATAAGAGAATTGCGCATACCGATGGCCCAATCAAGTTCTCCAACTGAAACTTCGACATTGCCTGATCTCTTTGTTTTACTTCGAGTGGCAAGGATGGAGAGTGATCGGTCAAAGCTCGCATGAGTATATTGTGTCGCGTTCCTAGATGGGCAAGCTGTATTTGTAGTTTATGAATCTCCGCCCGTTGAGCGTCGGTATCCAACACAGACACCAATCGGACTTTCTATGAGGAAATATCAGTGGCACTGAGAGGATAGAAATGGCGACTAGAAATATACAGTGGAGTTCTCTTCTAAGTTGTTCTGAGTAGTCGAAACTCGCTTCGGGGACGATGCTGGGGTATTGCTCGAATACATGAGCTACAGGAATAAACGTTAGCCAAAGAAAGGATGTCGGAGAAGAATAACAGCAGCGTACTTTATAACAAAGAAAGTGCCGGCCGCGGCACTTTATCGTATCGCGTTTGGATTATGGCCTGTCGGGTCCAAGGTGTTATATAGATATTGGAACTCATATGAGGACGATATTATGAGCTCAAAGCAGTCAACTTCTCCACTCGGAGTGCAAAATTATTCACCAGACATTCGTCGAACCGCTGTTATAGATGGCAAAAAGAACGATGTAGAGATTGATGTGTAGCTGGCCGCGCATCATAAATAACTTATTGTTTATTCCTTGGGCGCCATAACAATCAGCGGAAGCTCGTCGCCAGGTTGACCTAATGGGTTTCGAGATAATGAAGATGGGAGAAGGTGGTACGAGAAAAGGTGCACAACAGCCTCAGGCATCACCGGATAACCGGATCGAAGATAACCCAGAAGAAAACAGAGTCATCCCCACTGGAAATCTTATATCTTATCTTATCTCAAATTGTCTAATATTATTATTATCGTTTCCGAATCATACAAAACTGCTGAGAATCGATTTGTATATAGAATATGAAAGACTGGATTGCCTAGTTCGATTTGTTGAAGAAAAGAAAAAAACTATTGTTGGTGATCAAGGATATCGTCTAGAATATGGGACAAACAATCTTTGGAAAGTCTCTTGCCCTCATGGTAGAAGTCCAGCAAAGCTGTTCGGCGAATAGAACGAGCGGCGTATGTCGTGAAGTTAATACTACAAGGGCATTTGACCGCAACTACTGTATCGTGGTGAGGTCGAATACCAAACTTGGAGAGGAACGAATGTGAGTTGGCAGAAGTCCGAACTAGACGCGAGACTTTCCAGGTCCAAGGGTAACATGTTAGGTCGAATTCAATCACAATTCGCGAAGCGTGAAGATTTTGGGTGCGAATCGAGTGGCGAATTTCATCGCGGCATGCTATAGCCTGGATGAGACCTCGAAAGATAAGTTGTACCTGGTCCAAATCACCGACAATTGGGCGCGTATCGTCGGATAAAAAGTTCGTGGGGTGAGCTAGCATATAAATTCAGCTGAAAAGATTGGTTAGTGAACGAACGACTCACTTAAACGTTGGAGATTGGCCTCAGAACAAATGCTTCGATGCCCCAATTTCCAGTCTTGCCGTTGGCAAGACCTCGAACAGTAGATTGCGATCAGGCAGCCACTACAGAGCCGTGAATGTTTGCCCGGCCAGTATTGATGAGGACACTAGTAAAAAACCAAGGTCAGCTATCAGAAGCCGATGCGCGCGCGCTACATGAACACTCACTTTCTCGTTTGTACATACTTCTTTTAACGCTTTTCGAAAGGAGGTGACATTGGCATAGCGTGCGTCTGGAGAACGAACCTCACGCGTTAAATTAACCCACAACCTCGACAAACTTCCGGAACCCAGTTGACCTTCGAGACGTTCAGATCGTACCTCCCTCAAATTACGACGGATTCGTTTCTGAACTGGTTTATAGACTGAATGGATGAGCAGCGCGTTTACCAGTTCCTCAGCAATTTCGAACATCGATGATTCTGACTTCGACTGGGGCCCGATTTGCATCCAAGCCAACGTCTTGGCCAACAGATATAATAATTTAGCATCAAGGGCTTTTACGATCCAGTTTGGACCGCCCGTGATGATAAGTCTTGAAGAAAACCTAGCGAAACAATAGACAGACATGAAACAAACATTTTCCAAATATGCATTATAAGATCGGGGTGTGTCAAGGCATCGGGTCCATAGAACAAACACTCCTTTGAGGAAGATGTGAATTTCATCGAGCCTTGGAAGAGGCTGCAAGAACAAGGTTGTTGCTGCTAGAACCATTCCTCGATTTGCTGTCGCAAGCCGAAGTTCGGGATTAGAAGAGTAGGAGGGCACCTGCTGTCCACATAAGTCTTCAATGGCACTGGACCACGTCGGTAGTAACTGGAAATCGGGATAGGCAGTCTGCACAGCAAGATGGAAAGAATTGTCGGAAAGAGTATCCTCAATCGTGCAACGGAACGCAATTAGAAACTGCATTACTGGGTGATAGACAGATAACGACCACTGTCTGGTGAAAGAGACTACCCAGGCTTTCGCCAATGCTGGTATTGTTTTGGGATGATTCATTATGTTAATGACGAAGTAGTTGAATTCGGCGGGGGTACTCCGGGCAGGAGATGCGATGGAGTCCAACAAAGAAAAGACTTCCGTCATGCAGCGACTGGTAGTAGCAAGCGAAAGCTGCTTCGAGGTGGGTGACGCAGGTACGAAATCGTCGAGTGGCTTAAGGAGAGCCATCAACCACCGCCAAATTTGGGTCCACTCCGGTTCCACGATGGCGTAGCGGACCTGGAAGAACGGTATTTCGTAAAGATGAGAAGTCATCACCTGCATGACTTCTAGCACTCGAACGACTTCAGAAGCTAAAGGCCGGTCTGCATAAATGACGGGAGGCGACTGAGAGACCAGTCGAAAAAATGTTGAGGTGATGGTCTGCGAAAACGAGTGAGAGGCACGGAAAGTCGCAGAGCCACGATTGCTTACCTTGTTAATCATGGTTACTGTCGATTCTAGGACGTGATGTGCCAATATAGTGGGGAGAAGGATATCAGAAGTACGATCAACGCCATCTGCACTTATATTTGTTGGCCGAAGAAACAAAGAAATGAACAGAAACAATGAATGGGCAGAAACAAAGGGTGAATGACACGCTGTGGGTTGATACGTATCTCTCAAAAAAATTGAGATAGAAGAGACAATCTTGATTGAGCGGTGGAAATGGTTGATGAACAAATAAAGCAGACGGAGAGTGACCCTAGGGTGACAGCAACTATGGGCATAAAAGGAAAGTTGTTAGAAGGCTGTAAAGACTACATACTGGAGAGAGGGCAAGTACGCTGTGTTGGCATTTCGGTGCTCCGCGACCATTGATTGATCGAGCTGTGGATCAACAGCGGTGAAAGATCACAAAATAACGGAATAATGCGCACAAAGAATTGATTGAGGTTCTATGCCAATGATCACGCATTGATGACCAGCTTAAATGATGAGACTCGCATTGACCCAGCTCAACGTAAGCAGTGGATAAGATAAGTATTCGCTCAACCGAGCTCACTGAGGAGTTAACTAGTGTATGAGATTTTGTCTGGGGCGCAGCCCCGCTCGGGTATGAATCACACAAAAAGCGGTTTGGCTGAGCCTGGAGCGTCTTTTTCAGAAAGACTGGACACTTGAGTGAAAGAGGGAAGGGTGGGTGGGATCACAAAACGAGCTTGAGTTCAAAAGCGATAAGCGCCCGCTCTCATCGCCACATCTTATCTTATCCTCTGAGAAGACAGCTCTGCTGCCTCTCAATTGCACTTCTCTCGGAATCTCGGATCTTTTGGCTGATGTGTGTTCCGATCAATGGAAGTGTCATCGGCGCACCGGTACTCTTACATTCATGCGCCCCTGCAGCTCTGGCTCACTAGGACTCACTTGTAAAGTTGTAGCTCTGCAAACAATACTGGAATGATCTATGTATGTACATACTTTGACTATACGGAGTATTAATCGGAAAACCGATACCCACCTCTAGAGGGGCCTGGTGCTCCACGGTTTCCATTTCTATTCTTCATCGGAGTGCGGTCATTAGGATAACAAAGATTTCTGTAGTAGGTTCGGCGGTCTGTGAAAAAGATGAATACGTGTCGATAAGCGAAACAGACTGCAAAAGTATGAGATTGTACGGACACCGAGGTCTGTCTGGCGGGAATGCTGCGGTATTGAATGAGTAGATGGTATGCAGTAACAAGAAAACTGAGCTTACATCTACTGTTAGAAGTTGAATACCGTGTCTGAAAGAATGATCGGCGGTAAGCTGGGGTCTCATGCCGACCTATATCACTCGTCAATATTATATAGTACTCGATCACAAGGATCATCAACTCACCAAATTCAACAGTTGGACTCTGTCGTGAGTAGAGTCGACGATCTTGTACTGGGTTCAATGCAGAGGAATCTTCTGATCCATAAGTTAGTCAAGATGCAATGATCAATAGATTAAGATATATCTCACTGTTTGAAGACCTTAAGGAGGAAAGCGATTGAGTCTTCGCGTAGTTAGGACCTAGCGAGAAGGTGAGGGAAAATGAACAAATATACCCCACGAGATTGAAGACATTACCTTCATTGTTTGCCCTTTCTTTCAACGAAGACTCAGGTTGCAGCCGCTTAAATGTGTTGAGAGTGCTCCCTAAACCCCTCAAAACTTACATGATGTTCTGTTGAAAGGAGAGTCGACTTGCCATATTGATGTGAGCTTGATCGTAAACGGAGGCGTGGATCGCGCACTTGGTTCGATGCAGAGAATATATTGATACATGCTAATGTGAGAAAGGAACGTCGACTCGACTCACTAGATTCATCTGAGCTTGTCTGTTGACGGAGAGGTGGACGCACTTGGTTCGATGCCAAGAAGCATTCAGATTCTAAGATTCTATTGAATACTCAACACATAATGAGATGGGACAAATCTCACCGTCTACACTCGGGCCGTTCGCTGTCTCCAGAGATAAAGAAGTGAAAGTAGAAGGTCGCGGATGAGTCTTCGCATTATCATGACCTGGTAAGGAGAGGTGCACAAAGAATGTAAACGTCATGAGCTGTGGGTGGAGTTTAATTCCTACCAGTAACGCCAACCATTTCATTCTCTGAAGGAGCCGCTTCCATTGAGATATTAACGGGACTATATACTCAGTCAGTTGCACATATTTTTATATATCATTTTGAACTCACTTTGGTCCCTCCGCGAGAAGATATCCTGCTTGGCTATCCAACAAGAGGGTGTAGTCCAATCGCGCTTGCTCTATCTGTACAAAGTATCAGGGAGCTTTTCACCAATCGCAAAAGAGTTCACTTACAACCATTGGAACCAGGGTGCAAAGTACAAGCGGTTGCTTGAGTGTTTTATCGCCTGGCACTTCATCTCTGACCACACTTATGGTAGTACGACAGAAGCTGGACTCATTCAGCTTGTTTGTCAGTGCAGCATGATGTATCGTGAGACGACGCCGGCCTCCGACGACTCCAGGAAACAAATCTTTGAAAGGAATCTTGGTATTCGGACTTGCGACAATGCTCCTGTTGGCCCTGTCAGCTCGGTGGGGCAAGCTCAATCCAAGAATTTGGCCTACCACATTCTTTGATGCAAAGGCTTGGTACCGAAAGGACGATGCGCGGTTGAGAGAGCAAGAGAGACGTAGTTATAAAGAGACAAAGGGATAAAGGGACGGAAATTTCCATTGAACATCTCGTGGCTGAATCCTGCATCGTGTTCTAAACCCTTTGTTTCCTTCGATAAGGTAGACATTTGCTGATCATATGAGCGCGCGTTGAAGGGGAGTTCTTCAGATGGAATTAGAGCTGGAATTAGATGGGTGCTTTGTAAGGATACAAAAGGAAATTTCCATCGATGCGGTACGTAGTCTATATCCGAGCAAAACCGCCAGTAGACAAAGGACCCTTTGAAGGTTCATGATGACGAGCTGACGATGAAAGGAGTGAATTACATAATCGCTGCGGTCTCTTCTGTGAACCAACCAAACTTTCAAAGAATCCATGGCACGCTATATAATAAGGCTGCTCGGCCTGCTGGTCGACTCATCTTCCCCTTGAATCTTCCTACGTCAGTTTCATTCCTTCACATCCTGCCGAGTTGTAATCACTAACGCTTTTGACATTAGAATGCGCTCGAAGACAACCTCTGTAACCCACAAGTATCGTGCTCAAACACCAGATCGAACATCTAAATATCAGCTTACCGGACCCTCTCCTCGTCCTCGTCCTCACATTACCTATGGTAAAAATTCTAAGAATCGATCGTTACCCAACAGTCCTTTCCGCCACCAGAGTCCTTTAGTTGCTTCAACTTCGACCACTCGCATGGAATCGTTAGCATTAGATTATGAAGAACCGATCGTAATCCCCGATACTCCTCCCCTTATGAACGCGCCGGGTCTTTCTGATTCGAAGAATACCTCGTCCCCTTCAATCTTGGGCTTCAAAGACAAAGACATCGGTATGTTCACAAGGATCAAGGTGCTATTTCTCTTCTCATTCGTAACATCATTCGCTCAACATTGGTTTCTTCCCTCTGCTTACTTAGATCGACGAGCCGAGTGAACTCAACAATTTCGAACCGGAAATTTGCCTGCAGGTGAGTGTCCTCATTTCTTGGAGTCTGTCTGTGTCTTACCGGACGGACGCAGCCCTCGCCCGCAAGATCCACCAGAGCATTTACGCGAGAAACAAAGATGAAAGACGCGCTCGCTCGCTCTGAAGCGAATCTCAAGGTCGCCCTTCAAGCCGCTCAGGTGTGTTAGCTTTGTACATCGCACACTGATGAATGTACTGACCAACTTCGAGGACGCTAAGGACGAGATCAAAGCCTTCAAAGAGGCGGAGAAGGTCCGCAGCGAATGTCCTTGTTGCACACAAGTGATGTTGCAACCATTCATGTAATTCTTTTAAACTGCTGCTTGGTATACGAAGGACTCATCATTCAAATCAGCCTTTCTTGTGGACATACATGCTGCAAAGAATGCCTTGTCACATTAGTAGACCTATACATCAAGGCAAAGATGAATTTCGCTTGTCCTAGCTGTCGCGCGGTTCAGGGGCGTTTTACACCAATTCCCAACTATGCCTGTCAATCTATCGTCGACGAGATGGAACACGGTAATACATCTACCGATCGTCAGCCGTTGCAGTGGCCGCGCCAGTTTCGATCCGGACCAGTTTCCCTTCCATTCCCTCCGAGCAATGGAACTTTCCCTTTCTTGCATCCCCGAGCCCGTGCTGGGCCTGCATCATTTCCTATTGTAATTGACTAACTATCTCTCTATCTCGATATTAGACATATATGATTCAAGCATTCTATCTGTTCATATTTTGTGACTTTTGAGTCCACTTTTGTAATATCCCAATAACAATGGTAGTCCGTTTATATAATTACCTCAATGAAATTTTGTTGGTCCGACGTTGTTACCAACACGGTCTTCCTTTCTCTCCTTGAATACGAAATATAGTATTTGCGTGAACAGTTTCACTCTCTTCAGACAAGTGCGTGAATCTTGGCTCACAACTTTTGGAGTACTGTTGATTGCCATGGTGCGCGAGAGGATATAATGTATGATTTTAAAGTACACAGTGGAAAGCTGAACTGTCTGTATATGTAGAAACATGGATTACTGAAAGAAACATGGATTACTGAAAAGAGGAAGATAACTCTTGGAAATCGAAGATAAGCATCTTTTTAACCAGACGGGACCAGGTAGGAATACAGCCGATGGGACGAATAACATAATTTGTGGATTCCAATGTAACAGGACAAACACCGTCTATACTTGATCGTCTGAGGTCAAACAGTGAAGCGGACAGTCAACAAGCATCATATCTGACACTTGAGCGAGTACCGAGACGGAATAGGCTGCGAAGTTTCTCTGGGTGGGAGGAGTTACTTCTCCTATGGGACTGTCCGCATGCGCTAGAGCTAGCAGCGCATTGTCGAAGGGTTGTTAGGGTTCTGGTGGAACCACTCGATAAAGCCGAGGTTGTATGCCTTGTAATAGAATTTCTTCGAGCTGTTGGGCAAGGGGAATTCCTGAGGCAGGTCGTTGTGCGACAGGAACAATTGGGGGGTTCGACGACGGATATCATTTGTCAGAAAGTCATATTAGAAGGGGAAGCAGGTGGCGGATTTATAGATACACATTGGTTCAACAAGCCCTCTACCAAGTTCTCCACTCATTGCATACGGTCTAAAACCGCGAAGTCCTCGTATTTAATTCAACACATAATTTGTTGAAAATCACCCTCCCCACAAGCTCGGATCTGGCCCTTATGCCATTCAAGGGAGGTAAGAGATTCAGGGGAGATGATCGGATGATTGGCAGTTGTAGCTGGAGAGCCCGGAGAAATCGAAATAGATACGACAATTGAAGGTGGGGGGTGAAGATGTGGGCAACGGAGATGAGCCTGAACTGTCGGGACATGACACACTGGTACTAGATGAGCTCAACAAACATTGGAGTGCTCAAGGGACTAATAGATTCAGAACTGGTCGAGGACAAAGCAGATCCCGTGCTATGCATTTCGAATCAGTCAAAAAGCTAAGAAAAGAGAGTGAAGGGAAACAGTATACCCAGTGTACGGAGAGCCGGTTGCTGTGTAAGGTGATCCTGTCATTCCAGTATAAGGTGGGTATATCAATCCGGTTCTATGAGGTGGTTTGGTATTGGCCTGTGAATAGTAATGTGGATATGGATTGGATATTAGCCCTGTGTAAGGCAGGCTACTATAAGAGCCTGATCCGTATCCAGTTCGCGCCTCGTTGTCAGTTGTCGGTTGTCAGTTGTCGGAGTTCTGCTGGGGCTGGTTGCACCAGTAGTCGCAGACCTGTTCCGACGCGCTAGGGACCTATAAAGTTGAAAAGGGCCGAATGCACATCGAGATACGAGTTAATAAAGGCCTCAGAGTATCAATTGCTTGACGTACATTGAATCTAGTAACCTTCCTTTGTTCAATGTCTTCGTAGGTGCTATTATCGACAATCTACTTCCAACCCATTCGTCGGCGTCCAATCCATTCTCAACCGGACGTGAAACGGGTGTCCCAGAAAGACTTTCAATGTTATGATGCTCCACCTTGAATATTGTTTGCGAGACGAGCCTGCCACAAAATATGAAGCGCAAGAGAGCGCAAGGTGTCGAGAAGAAAATGCCCATAATCATAATGATAATAATCGGCAAGTACACCTGGCCGGTTTATTTCGGACCGGTCTCGTGGAAAAAGATAGGTTGAACTTGCTGTCTCACTCGGGATTTTCTATTCCACTTGTTCTCGATCTCTCGTCAACCAAAATTCGAGCCAGATGACTCAACAACCGCTTTGGTGTCAACAAATTCTCAATCAACCTAAAGCCATGCAAATAAAACTTTAGCGTGACGTTCCGAGTTCAAAGTACTATGTTTGAAGTATTTCAGGAGCCGAAAGGAGCGTCTTTATTCGCAGCATATCATTGAAACCGGATCTGAGTAGTGTGCGATCTGAATCATCGGTGTGTTCTCTCTATGATAAATCACCACTGTTCGGACTGGTCCAAATGATTAATTGCCAATACGCAGGATATCAACTTTAGATGATACAGCCTTTATAGTTATTCGTACTACATCTCTTCCACATGCGCACCATCCGCAGGACGACAGAGAATACTGGACATTGTAGTGTTTTATGATGATACACCCAATCTTAACGACGCAAGCTACGTTCCGGTTTACTCCACCACCGTGCAACTCCCACCGTCGATCTACGATATGGCGACCAAGGAGACCCCAACTCTCTTTTTTTGAACCTAAAAAATTCTTCCTAAGGAAGCGCTACGTTTTCATATCATCACTTCGATCTTCTGGCAGAATCTCTGACTAGGTTTCTGCCAAATCCGAAGCATAGGGTATTGGTGAGATTTTTATTCGGAAGCCGAGCATATTTCACGCTAAGCTGTAAGCGAAACGCCTGTACCAAAACAAAGACTAAACCCGCTCGTTACCATTTTCATCTCAAGGAATAAGAATTTTTTGTCCAAGACATTCATATACAATCACTCGTATTCTGTCTCACGGAAACTCTGGTGAGTGTAATACCCATATTCATGTTAACGCTACAGTAGGCTCATTACTACCTTAGTTCTTGATGGTTGCTCGGCCTCAGCCCCGGTATGGTCCCAATTTCCAACAAAATAGCTGGACATGTTGTATCACATCGGACGTATATGCTCTCAAAGAGAGTTCCATGCTGCCTTCTTTCGGCTCCTCGCTCTACATTTGTGTCTGAGCAATCGGCAGAGGATTTGTTCAGTCACCGGTATTTTTGGCTCTGATCATCTCTGAAACAACTCATCTGCAGTCTTTTACCAGGTTTTCTCTCGCTATCCCTTCCTGTTCTATCACCAGGCCTTTGAATATTTGGGACCGCGCTCACAAGGCCCATATCGTATCAGGATCGCTCTCACTCTCGAATCATTTCACCAAAATTCAACGATCAAGTTTGTGTGTGGATTAATTTGGTTTTTGCTTAGTCGCTGGACACCTGTATGTGTTCGTTTGGTTTTTGCTTAGTCGCTGGACACATGTATGTGTTCGTTTGGTTTTTGCTTAGTCGCTGGACACCTGTATGTGTTCGTTTGGTTTTTCCTTAGTCGTTAGACACTCATTACAGCTCACCATCTTCCTCCCTGCACAATGACTCGTCGGTCTACCCACAAATTACAGAAGCTCCACGCTCAACGACTTATGCGACCAATTTCGGCTTCCGATGGATTTGGCTGGATTTATGCCTATGTTGACTGGGGCAGTGAATGGAAGGTCGGGATGACCAGCGACTTTGTGCGGCGTCGGAAGGATTGGGACCAACAGTGTCCGTGTCTAAATAGGATATGGTTTCCACCGATTCCGGTCGCGAACCGACGCAGAGCGGGTACGTTTTTTGAAACCCAGTTCTATCAAGCTTTTGACTGTCCCTAGAGTCCGTAGTTCACATTTTGCTGGAACTTGAGTGCAACGATCGGCCGCGACTCTATTGTCAATCATGTACGACAAAATTACTTCTATCATTTCAATACTAATGTCTGTTAGGTTCTCGAGTCCATAACGAGAAATTCATCTTCGCTGGCCATCCTATGTATGTCTGGAGAAAGATTGTGGATCCAGCGCTACATAGGGCAGCAGTTGCTTGAAGGTACGTGGCCACCCGTTGATTCATAACTTACGAATGACTTACGAGCAGTCCATAGGAGGAACTTGGTGCATATAGTTTTGATTTTTTGTATGTAGTGAGATGATATGCAATTACGCGTCCCGTTGATTACGACAATTACTCAGTATAATCAATCGCGAAATCGCGAAATCGACCTCTTTAAGGCCAGGAAAGATAAGCACTACTATTTTACAAAAAAGGATCATTTAAAACCTATAACAGCTTGTAGAGGATGCACTGCGCCGCCGCCGCAATTCCGGAGGACATGAATCTCTTTCGAATCTTCGTTGAATCCTTCTCCAACAAAAGATATCTCAGGTCACTAGCTAATTCGTTGAGTACCCGTTATCACTGCATGTATGTTCATGGCAACTTACTTTTTGTTTTATTGTCGTTGGTCTAAGCAAAATGATGTTGAGAATCGTGCTTGCGGTTGATTCTGGCAATAATACTACAGCGTGACCAATTCCACCCTTCTCTCGAAGAACGCACGGCGGACGGGCGCTGCGGCAGGGTACTTGACGTCCTTCAAATGTCTGCCCTCCTCCTGGTGAGCTCCTGGTCAGTGCCTGCCGAGGGTCCATTTTCTTTTTCCCGAGGAATATGATTACTTTATCTTGGGACAAAGGCAGCAATAAAGCTTTTTATTTGCACCCTCTATTATGAATTTATATTCAAAGATATCCACAAAGAAAACTCTATCTAATTTCATCCCAAATAATCACTGATATATACAATCGTGTGTGAGGATACAAGACAATGACTTTCATCGGCAAAGCAGTATTCATTTCATATCAAATATTTCGTGGAATCAAGATTGAAAATGATCAAACATTCCATTTTCCGCTTCAGTTGCAAACGATATACTTTATCTGGGCACTATGATATACAAATTTATGAGCTTTATCTACATCATATATCCATTTAATTTTCTCACGAAAATTGTAGGCCCAGCCGCAGTGTGATTGCATACGTGGGACCTTGCTCTGGGATGCTCCATATGCAATTCTTGAAGGTGAAAAACATATAGTTACTTGTTGTCATTCATTATTCATCGAGTGACATGCCGTGAAGCATTTGACTGGTCTTCACTGGATTCACACAGTATTGTTGTGGACGTAGGAGGAGGCACTGGAGCTCCGTCTATGAAAGTATTGGCCAAATACCCACAATTATCTCTCATCATTCAAGACCGTGAAAATGTCATTTCTCAGGCTGAAAGGGTGAGCACATGATCTCCTTAGCCATTTCTTTTTGTATCCTACCTGAGATATATTTCGAAACAGTATTGGAACAGTGAATGGCCTAATGCTTCGGTGAAATTCCAAGGTGAGTCAAATTCTTGCTCAGTCATGTACTATGATTGACAGTAAACATTGAGTTCATGATTTTTTCACGGAGCAGCCACAGAAGAATGTGGCTGTTTTCCTGCTAAGGACAGTTTGTCATGACTGGCCAGACCATCTTGCTGTCAGAATCCTTCAACTTCTTCGCCAAGCAGCTTGCCCTTCTACAAAGCTAGTTATTGGGGATTACATCATTCCTTACTCATGCAGCAATGTTTGGGGAAACATTGATCTCCCGGGTTCTGAATACACAATTCCTCCTGAGCCGTTGCTGGCAAATATGGGTAAGGCATCTGCAAACATGTATTGGATAGATTTGAGTGTGGGTAAAATTCCGACAGATGCAATTCCTATCTAATATTTGAAAAACAGATGCAGGTTTTGCTCAATGGCCAGGAACGCACCCTCCCACATCACATACGGATCTTGCATGAAGCTGGGTGGAATCCAATTCTTCTCAAAACTTGCAGGAACTCTCATTTTGGATATATCATTGCTGAATGTTTGTAAATCTCATGAACTTGGTATCTCAACAATTCAGTCTTACTCCTTTTTTCATCATATTTGCCCACCCCAATTCTCTTGCCAAAATGTCAACTTCGAGTGTCAGTACCAGATGAGCTCTGATGAGTTCTGATGATCTGATGAGCTCCATCAAATGCGAATACATAATTTGTGGAAAAATCATTTCTCACTCCATGTGTGTAGCATACTGCTGTAACATAGTCATGGGTTGTTCCACAATTGCAGTAGGACCGCGCCCGTTACCCTTCCTTCTGATGATCATCAAATCTGAGTGACAGTTGGCAGATGGAAGGTGCCATGTCGTGTAACCACACTTTGCATCTATATATAATCATGTTGAATGATATTCAAGGGTTGTTGTACTTATATATTGCTAGGCACTTGCCACATTTTTTTCGACACCCAGAAACTTCGAAGACTGCAGCACCCATGAGCATGACCCCCGACTCTCAGAATCTTATGTCATTGGTTGACCTCATTTCAAACGCTGTGAAGGTCGTGACAGCAGAGTATATTCAAGCAGGGTATAGTGTTCCATCTTTAGATTCCACAACTGCTGGTCCTTTTGACGCCCCAGAAGAAATGTCATCTACTTTGACCACTGCTGTGCGAACCATTGAAGCAGCATGCGCTCAACTGAGTTACACAGTAGCCAGTCCAGGCCATGTAATTACTAATGTGACGGCAATGTTTATATGTGTTTGTCCCTTAGCTCATTATTTTACAGAAAAGCTATGGGGTATATTTTTCTCTTTCTGGAACATGCCACGTCCATAACAAGCCTTCATCAAGTTTTATGAACCTGCTGCTCTCTTGGTCATCTCCAATGCCAAAGTTGCTGATGTTCTCCTGTACAAACCTGAAGGAATGCACATTTCCGAAATTGCAAAAGCCACTGGATTAGATCAAGGTAAACTTGGAAGAATTATGCGCATGCTTGCAACAAAACATTGCTTCCGTGAAGGTAAAAGATGGTCTCTGTTGTCCCTTTTGATCTTGTTAAAGGTCTTCATTACCCAGTAAAGCCAGATGTTTTCGCCAACAATCGAATCAGTGTCAAGCTGCAATCGGATGACCCAGTTTCTGGGCTAGTAGGCCATATGTAAGTTGACAATCACATAATTGCACACATCTAACCTGTTTCTTGTGTTAGGACTGATGAAGTGCAAAAGGGGGCTGTATATCTCAATGAGGCCCTTTCAGAACCCCGGTCTGGACATTCAGTACTTGCGAGTGATACATCTTTCCAACGCGCTCATGGATTCTCAGTGTTTGAATATTATGAAACAGTAAAAAACATTGTTCCTCAAACAGTATCCTATGTACTCAACTCAACATTGTAGGCTGAGGGTAAAAAACGTCTGGACGTGAGTCCTCACTTCTGAAACTTCAACAATAATTAATCAAGTGTGGCATGAATGCAGCGGTTTGCTCAAGCAATGATTGGATGGGGTGCTGTGACAGGTAAAGGGATGCTTCCTAAAGGTGCTCAATCTTACCATTTAGGGTTAGCTCATACTCATATCTATGTTCCTAAGCATACCCGTGGAATGACTGTCCAGCTGGTACCATAATAAATGATGTTGGGGGTGGCAACGGCCATATTATGCTTGACCTCATCGGTTCATTCCCTCAGCTGAAGATAATTGTTCAAGACACCCCATCTATGATGGAGCAGGCTAAAGATGTTCGTGTTTCATATATTATCACTATACTTACTTGAAATGACTCCACACATATAGCTGTGGAGCAAAGAGAAACCTGAGCTTGTTCAAAACTTATCAGTTCAATTCCAGGCTATGAATTTCCTGCATGATGCTCCTGTTGCTTCCTGTGATTTTTACTATGTGTGCATTCATGCCCCTTTTCCTGACCACGACGAGGAGTCTGATTTTGCATCCCTCAGCTTCGACATGTGTTGTATGTTATCATTATTGGCATGCGAATAACTAATTTGAAAAATTCAGACATGATTGGCCAGACTTGGACTGCATAAAAATTCTTTCAAATATTCGTAAGGCAGTTAAACACGGTACCAGGCTTCTCCTTCGTGAGTTACACACATTTGTAGTGTGGCTGTGAAACTCATTGATCAATATAGATGAGCTTGTTCTTCAACATGTTGTAAGTGATGGCAGTAGGGGCGAACAAGCAAGTGGTTTGATTTATGGTTTTGGAGATGGTATTCAATATTTCCTTCATAGGCCCCTGAACCACTTCTTCCCAACTTTGGGGTGGGGAGAGCTCGACTGTATCAGCAAGATATGAACATGCTCAATCTGTTCAATAGCAGAGAACGCACTTTGCAGGAGTTTATCACTATAGGGTATGTGGTTTCTTTATTGTTTAGGTATCACTCTCAACTATACTTCAGGAAAAAATCCAATTTCAAATTCATTAAGCTATGGGATGCAGGAGAATCGTCCATTGTTGAGTTTGTTGTGTCAGATTAAAGCAATAGAAGCTCAAATGGGTGGCTAAAAGGTCCAGTGGGTGACAATTCAACTCGATCAATTAGAACACCACTAATTTGTCTGTACAAAGTTAACTTGCAGTTAACTGGTTGAATCATTCAATTTGTCCAACTTGGCATTATAAATTTCAAATACTTTTGCTACTACCCTACCCTTCTAACAAAGTGAATGCTACCTCTTTTTTGAGTGTACATACTGGGCCCTGGCCTAGTAAATTTGACATTGTCTAGCTCATATTGATCAATCTGATGCAGTTATTCCTGATGCAACACTGTAGATCTGTTAGAGAATATCTCAATTGACTGTCAAGCAACTGTATATTGTAGACACCTGTCAGAGAATATATATACTAAGTTAGCATAATGAGTGTACAATAAGTATACTAGAGCTCACCTCCGTTGACTGTCAAGCTACCAAAGTACTTGAATACGCCGCCGCCGGCGTGATCTACGTACAACTGTATAGTATATGCTGATAATGCTGTCTTGTACTTATCTAGGTCTGGAGTATTTCCCCAGTAACCCCCTACTCCGTACAATCCAGTCCGAGGCATTTTCGAGTAAATTGTACTGTCAAGGGCTTTAGTGAAGATATTCTGATAATGCTACTGTTGCTTGTTGCGGATAACATTTCAGTCATTTTTGAGATGGAATTCCCCTAGGACTTCCTGATCCTGGGACATCCCAAGAATTGAAGGACCCCTGAAATTATCTTGGGACCAGTCTGCGCAAAAATGCAGGTTTTGCAGATGATGGTTCAATAATTGTACTGACAAACACATAGCCCCACATCAGCAAAGTTACATTTTCAATATAAATAAGTTACTTGCAAGTAACTGTCACTAAGAGACAGTGGTGGCAAGCCCGAAGGAAATTTGCATGTGAATGCATGTTGATCTTAAGAAGAGGAGAAATAGCAATCTGGTATTGGTCCCTGTTTGGAAAACCTGTATGGTTGCTAGAGCAAGGGTAATAGCTGGAGAGCACTTTCCAACACCCAAAGCACTGAGAGAAAATTTTGAACTTGCTCTGGGTGCTTTGCTTGTTGGGAAATCCTCTCAGCAGTTTGAGTTAGCTAAAAATACAGGTTTTGCAGATGCAGTAATCAGGAATAAATTTCAATTTCAATAGCTAGTTCCTCGTTGCTGACAGTGATACTGTATGAACAGTGTACCTATTAAGTTGTATTCTTGCTAATATATACTACAGCACAAAGGTGAATCAATGGGATTTGGATAAATAAATGAAAATTTGAGCAAGTGCCCTAGCATCAGATGAGTGTATGTCATGCAGTCATGCAGTAAGGTCTGACAAGTTAATAATAGTTGATGGCATACAGGGGTACTGCATGCATTTGCTTTAATTGCCTCAATCCACTGTTTCTATCCGCAAACTCGCTTTTGTAAAGAAAGAACCCTCCAGAAGAAATGATGTTGTACTTCCTCTAATTGGTCTCTATGGAGATGCAACCACATCCATGATGAATGCGGCGCCACTTTCAAATATGGGTCAACTCTTGCCCAGTACATGGTAATCATATCTCTTATTGGCATGTCACTGCCTATGAAAGCCTTAGCATGAAGGACCAGACCTGCAGCATTCTTAGCCTTGTCTGCAAGTACCTGATAGTTGTCCTTGTAAATACTTCCTCAACCAGTCTGAAAAGAGTCGTATATTTAAAGAAAAATGGGAGTACCTGCTTCCCAAGGGCCAAACATCACTAGTCCCAGACAGTAGAAAAAATAAATACATGTAGAACATAACAATAGGATTTACTAGATACAAAATATTGTTTCTGATTTTCCTCTCGGCACGCTATATACACCAGGAGAAAAACGATGGTCAGTCTCAGGAATTAACACAGGGTGAATGTGGATGGATGGATGAATGCAACTCACCCACATTGTCGAGCTTGCGGCTTGGTCTTGATACAGGTCTCCGACATTCTAACTCGATCGAACCACCGCCCACCTCAAACCGACCAAGTCCACCGCAAAACACACAAAGACTCGGAATAAATTAAATAAAATAAATCAAGAAATATAAGGAAAGGATGGGATTGTTCGGAACCCAAACTTCTGGGTTGTTCGTTGAGAAAACAAACCCTTCAAGCCAACTCGATGTCCCCAATATGAGGCTCTTTGTGGCCGTTGTGATATACGATTCTATCCAGACACGTTATGCATATCCCATCAGAGGAATCGGAATCGGAATCATCGCGAGCAGCGAGGCCGGATCTGTGGAACCAAAAGAAAGAGAGAAAGATAGGGAGGTGAGTATATACAATATTGGATAGAAGAAAGAACGAGTGAAGGATGAAAAAGTAAGAGAAGATTTGCGAGGATTCAGGTACTTGAATTCCGCACAGTGGATAGAAACAAAGCAACATATATACAAACTTAGAAGACTCACTCATTCAAAATAGGACGAGCACCTACGCCGGATTGCCCCAACACCACTAAAACAACACACAACACCAAAGCAAACTCGAAGAGACGAGTGTAACGGGCCATTGAGGTAAGCAGGTAAATGATGATAGATGTGGATGGTTCGGGTGGTGGTGACGACTCGTTAAATGAGGCAGCTCGGGGTACCAGAGGGATTTCTTCGTTGGGGTTCAGGGAGCAGCGAGACTGGATCGAGAAGTTATCCGTAAGCACGCCCTACGAGGAGGGGTAGGTTAAGGCAGGAGGAAGGAGTGGTAACGACGGCGGTGAAACGGTAAAGGCAACGGCCTATGGTGATGATCGTAGAAGATGATAACTGGATCAAAGGAGTGTCACAGGTGGGGAGAGGTGCAACGAAACGAGACGCGATGGTCTCAGGACACTGGGATCCGGAGAAAGAATCTGTAGAGAAAGAGGGATAGAAAACGCCTAGTGGACAACCCTTGCTTTTTATCCGAATGATTTCATCCATTGGCCCGAGATCGCGAAATGGAATGGTGAAACAAAAGAGGAAAAGGTTCCGTCGCATCGTATCGTTTTCGCATCAGTGCGTATCAGATAATTTCAATGGGCATCACAAAATATCACAAGGATCAGCAGAGGATCAGCAAGGATCACAAGAATAGCTGGGATCTGTGGGTCGTCGAAGCCCGGAGGAGGAGGAACAAAAGAGGTGTACAGAGGTACAAAGAGGAGGAGGTTGCTCGAAGGAACCTATCACGGAATGACCGGCGGACAGGAGAAAAAGGGTGAAGAAAGAGGTGGACCCCCACGGTGGCGGACGGCGGAATCTACCGCATCAAGGTGAAGGCAGTTATCATTAGGCATCACCATCAAGCATCATCATCGCCCCACCGCAGTTTCACCGCCTCCAGGAAGCGTTTGAGGGAGTACTTCAGAGTAGTACTGGCCAAGCAAAGGGTTTAAATTTGAGGGTCCTTCCAGATTCGTCGTTGTTGAGAGACACACGCCCTGCCTCACTGTAAAAAAAGAACTTTCGGCTGGCTGTTTCCGTGAATGCTCGTTCGCGTGTAGAATTTGATGCGGAAGAAGTCGTAAGATTCGGGGAATGTTCAAAGGGAGGACGAAGAGGAAGGGAGGAAGGTGATGATCTTGGCTGTGTGAGCTAACTTGAGGTAAAAGGGATAAACGGACGTACGTATCGTTGTCATCGATCTCGGTACTGACTACAGTTCCATTTTCCATCTCAATGTTGTGATGTGTTCAATCGGGGTCTTCATGACGATCCTACGATAGAATGAGCCATGCCTCTATGTATATCTAATGCAGTAGCAGTGAGGTTGTATGGTGAGACCTAAAACAAAGTGAACGGGGCTGCAGCTGGCTGCAGTCAAGCCAAGCGCCTATGATCGTTCATAGGCGCTTCTATTCGAAAATAGTTTCTCCGGGAACCCGATTTCTCTTCCTCCTCCTCGTCCGTTCGTTACTCGTAGGTCCTATGTAGCATTTTTACCATTCATTATCGATATCTCTCCTGAAAGCTACGAAGTCGTCGGCGCCCCTCTCGCCTGTTCCTCCCCGAATCTCATTCCAAACTTGCAGAACAAACTTCACCCAAAACAAAGAACACCAATGGAGTTTAGGACCGACAAAAATTCATAACGATGTATCACCCGTTATAGCTATAATACTGGTTGGAAATGTTTCGGTAAATGAGTGCGTACACCGAACTTTTGATTCTTTATCTTCCCATCGAAGATTACCACTTATCCCCTCGCCCACTCTTACCATCTCCCCCTCTAACTGCGCGTTGCAGTATGAAGTGCTGACTCGCGTCTTTTTAGCTGTCTCCCCTGTTGGTAACGCCGCCGGTACATAGAATTCATCGCAGGGATCGCTTCCCCCATGTCGCGAGCGGTACTATAGAAGCATTGGGGAACCTCAATCGCACCTGGTCATATTATGCTCAACGAAGTCAAACGCGGCATGATTGGAGTCACAGTCTTTTCATCGCTCTGCAAAAACCGGCGTGCGTTTTCCTCTTCCTTCTTCACTCAAGTATACTAAGAAAGTCCTTCGCATAGTATCGGCCTCTCCAGCTATTTTCATCCGTCCCTTCGAATAAGATGACTGCTCGTCAATTCACCAGAGAAGGCAACATCCGTCTGCAAAGTTGATTGAAAAACTTTGAGACTATGTGCGTCGTGTTATACCCATTTTGTATTCAACGCTGCTGATATGGGGTTTTTCCTCTGCTCCGTTAGTTGCTGAACTTCCTTGCAACGCTAGCGTGGTCTGGTATACCGCATATGGCGTTGACGTCTCAGTTGTGAGTGTATCCCTTTCTTTACCTTACCGGAATTTAACGGGTCCTTGAATTGCTCTTTTTTCGTTATCTTGAACCTTCCGCTCTGAACTCTACGACAGCTCACGGCGATTTAATGGCTTACATGCCATCACCAGATAATTTCAAGCAGACGACTCGGACGAGGAAGAAGCTTACATCCGTGAAGACATGGACATTGATTGTGGAGTCTGGCAGGGAGTCTATGGTATGCCGTCTGCTTCCTTAACCCTTGTCTTCGTTACTGAATCAGATGCCGCTAGTTGTCCTATATCCGGATTTCGGCTTGAGGCAGACGCGGACAGTGGGTCGAATTATGTGTTTTCGAACCAGTTACTTCCTGCGCTTCTCCCCGCCTGCACCGCGACACCCTTAACTACATATCATATGCCAGCTGAATGCGCGAGAATTTTGAAATCCTGGTTTATTTCAATTCCTGATCCTCACGAAGCTCTTCCTTGGTTTCGTTTGCTCTTTATATTCAAAATTAATGTATTACAACAATCTTCCCCTTGGTATTATGTGAATCTAATGCCCGATGGGCATTTTGGATATCACTATACTCAAACACCCTTGCCGGTTTCGCATCCCACTTCCCTGCTTCAATCTTTTGTATAATCTTTTGCATTGGTATCCCTGATAGAGGAAAATCCCTCGATCCAAGAGCCTTGCTATGGAACAGACTGAAATGTACCCCGGGCTTCATCTCAACCATGGGGTTAAACAGCTCCACAGGTGCTAAACCACCCAACCATCCTGCTTGAAGCATCCGTCCTCCTGGTTTCGTGAGGTTGAGAGAGTCGAGTAAGACGCGGTTGCCGACGAGGTTTAAGACTTTATCAAACTCTTGTGGTAATGCTGGCGTGATCGCATGGAAATATTCTGCCAGTCCATCTTGTTCGCGTACTACGTCTACAGCATCCATACTCTTCAACCACTCGAATCGCTCTTCCCGCCTCGTAGTCGCAGTGACGACAGCTCCGGCATCAACAGCGAGATTCAATGCCGCCTGGCCGACTGTGCTCGTCGCACCACGGATTAATAACCTCTCACCGCGCTTTAGATCCAAGACTGTGAATAAACACGTCCAAGCGGTGCAATACACCTCAGGTAACGCTGCTAGCTCCGCCCAAGAAAGTTTTGTCTCCACTGGAAGGACATTTGTTAGAGGTACAGAGACAAATTCGCCATATCCCCCAGGTCGAGTCCTTCCCATTCCTCCCATCACTGCGACGATTTTGGTTCCAATAGCGAGGTCCCCTGAAGGACAAAATTCGACGATACCGACACATTCAAGGCCAGAGATGGGGTGGTATTCGTCCCATTCACCTTTACGCATGTGCATCTCGGCATGGTTAACACCAAAGGCGCGTACGCGGATGAGGACTTCATCTCGAGCTGGGAATGGTTTAGACACTGCTTGATGCTGAAGGACTTCGGGTCCGCCAAAGGAGGAGATGATGATAGCGTCCATTATTTCGGGCAGAGTGCAGAGGAACGGTGAAATGCTGATAATGAACAAGACCTGACAATGATCTCTGAACTGGGGAACTTTGAATTCGAGTTGGGGGATATAGTAGAGCTTTATCGTTTCTCCAAAACACGAATTACGCGGAACTTGTGGCCTTCTGGAGCTAGTTAGATATGATTTGTAATGCAAAGGTGGAGAAAGGTGGACGTTAGTCAGGGTGCATGATCCACCAATTAAATGTCACTCGGGATGTGCGGATGGACTGGGGAATGAGGAAAAGGAAGTATATTGCGCGTAACGTGTTGAATGTGCTGAATCTCTAAGATATCTAAGCCTTCACCTCCTCTCAAAGAGATCGTCCGGATCGCTGACGAATCACAATGAATTTCAAAGAGACTCGTCTCGAGGTGAGTTGACCTCAATATCTTCTGAATCCGTGCATTTCACGACACCTTTTCCAATTCAGCCTCAGTTTTCAATCCTCCCCAAGATTTCCTCCTCAGGCTCCATAGGGCGAGTTAATGAATAGGCCTCCGACTCTCACGGTCTGAAAAGAGCAGGAGACAAGAATATCGATCTGGTATAGCATTGGTTTGGGAAGCGGGAATGAAGTTCAACTCGAGTTAAAGAAAGGCCAAACGCACTGTTTTCTTCCACTCTCCAGACCTCACATTCTCCTCAGATGTAGGTAGGTACCTGCAGGACTCCGGGTCTGCGAAGGTCTTCGACAGTGGAAAAGGAAGGCTGTTGAAATGAATTTTACGTCTATATCCCAGCAGAGCGTTGTTGGAAGGTCCTAGAAGGCGCTACGATGTTTCAAAATGAGCAATTTTTCCTGGTCTGGTCTGTAGGTCCAGAATTAGTTGGGTTGACGAGGAAGTAAGCAGCCAAGAGCTTTGACGTTGATGCAGATGTTGAGATGGGTGATAGCGCGTAAATTTAGCAAGGAAAGGCATGGTAGCATATCGTCGCAGACCTCAAACGTTCAAGAGGATTTGGAGAGAGAGAGAGAGAAATTAAGTACGGATAACTCATGAGTCATGTATCTTCGCCTCGAATACTTTCCCACAATAATTTGTTACTCCATCTCTTCCAATCTCAAAGGCGCGTGGTCTAGCCTTGCGTCTCGTATTTTCGTGGAAGATTGAAGTTCATGGCCATCACAGGACTTTGTTCAGAAACTTTTTCTTGCTCACCAGCAACTAAATTCGTCGATCTTCTTCCGCCTCTCCGACTGGTAGACATAAGTGATGCTCTCAGTCTAGGGATCTCGGCCGAGTTCGACTAGCCTCAATAATTCTCATTTGCGTGTTTTCCTATGAGTTCATCAGCTCCTAGAAATCCCTCAAACTCAGCCTTCCCACTATTCTCCTCCGACTTCGATATATATCCTACCATATGTTTCCATCTTCCCCACCCACGGCTCTCGCACCTACCCTACTGCTCCAATGGAGTTTCTGCTGTCTGACTCTCTCCCACTCAAAATACCTCTTGTGTGATTTACCCACCCTTGGCCCCCACCCCACAAATGATGTATACCATCTCTCATAGTCACCCACACACAACTCATCCGTAGAGTTCCTTCTTGATTCACGAAGATGATCATTATTCAAGCTTCAAGCGCAAGTTAAAATTACATGACGCGACTATGTAGATGTCAGTTTTCACGCGTCAAGAGCTGGTAAGCTTTATCGCCAGCGTAAACCAGGATGAATCTGAGTCCTGACAATGACTTTTGACGAGAGCACCTCACCAGCATTCTGAAATGCTACTCGCTACTACTCACGTCAGCTCCTCCTTTATCTCCCCATTTTCCCTCTCCTTTCCCAAGCGGCAATTCTCACACAATAAGGGTCCAGCTTGCTTCTTCAATACGTGCTTTCTTTTTTAGATTAATGTCTGAGCGTGTCGCTGATATTTAGTGCAGATCCTCCGTACATCTATCCATTCTACGCATTATCACTCCTTGCAGCGCTCATGTATCTGTATGATCAGTGCTATATGAAACGGAAGTTCTGTTTGTGCTACTGGTATTAACAAATCCGAATCTAACCTCTCATCTGCCCATGATTGTGAAAGACTTGATCTTATCGTGAGACAACAGACCGCGGTTGATCACGGTTTGTGTAGGGCCCGTGTAGATCCTCTCTTGTACTGGAACCACCAACATTGAGCTTTCTCCGTCTCTTTACCTGTCCTAAACTGCTGCAACTCGAGTCGAACACAGAAAACTATACAAGGTACACTCAACATGAAAAATTCAAAGTACTTGTCACCTTTAGTCGAACTATTGACTCTTGTCTTAACCAGATTGGATGGATAATACCCTAGGCCTGTGCCCAGCGCGCTGAAAACCCACTGATGCTGCTTAGACCTTGGGAATGTCGATTTATCAACAAAACAATGCAGAAATATTCCCAACGTTTTTCATCGTATGGTTCACTTCATTCATCATCAACGCTATTGTACTCGTTCCCTCGTCTTTGTGGTCCGCTGTTATTATTGATGTCTGTCATCTGTACTAACCCTGGTTCAACTTAGCCCAGACCTATAGCTAGAGCCTCAAAAGGACGGCGTTGTTTCTCCTTATCAAACTTGAACTACCATGTGTCGATCAGTCTGCCATCAAAAAGTATCAGACTCTTTGTTCTTTTTAGGTGAGAAACCCCCTGCTGACATGTTATTTCCTATTCATTGGGTTAACATCTGTTAACATCTGATAATGCGGAATACATTGTAGTACATTGTAATACCTTGCGCGGCATGTATCACCGATGAAGCCTTCCCTCGAAAGGAAATTTTGTCTGTCTAGATTTCGATCAAGGAAAAACAGATGTCACTTCATGCTGGGATAAAAGATCGCTGTCATGCAATGTGTTGATGTTTTTTCTTCGTCCTCTTTCCCCCCGGTCCATATTCCTTGCGGAATTTCTTAGTCCTCCCTCTCACATCTTACAGTCTAGTATCCAACACGATTGAGGAGGCGTCCTGTTACAATCCTCTTGTTCAACACAGCCACAGGTGTGTAATTGAGCATGATTAGCAATAACGATAATGACTGACCATTCGTACATCTAGCACCCATAAGGCCTTATTCCACCTGAAGTTTTCGCGACGTTCGGATTCAGTATCGCGCCAGCTGCGAAAATTGGGCAGTTCTCGGCCCATTATGGGTTAATCAAATCTACTCGTACAAGGGTGAAATCTATGTATTCATCGGGCAGGGAAAGCATGGAGGATCGAATAAAAATACAACGGTCAATATATATGACCAGTAATATTGCAAATCAAGTCCATCAATTTGGAATGTTTCTGGACTCCCTCTCCTCCTGTGTCTTGTCCTCTTCATCAACGTCTGGCAAAGAGATGGCAGACACTACAGGAGTCTGCGGAGTAGGTCTAAATTCAAAGGTGAGTGATGGTCAAATAGTCAGATCTTCGAGGCTCACCGCTTTGAAGTAGTTATAGGGCTAGCGTGGTGGGGGGAAGCTCGACCGCGCCACGACTCCGCACTATTACACTCTCTAGTGCAGCTTGGGAGGGAGTGAAAATTCATGCCTTCTGGGGCGGCGGGGAATGAGCTGATGGTACTTGTTGACGTCGAAAAAGTGTTTGGAAGCGGTCTAATGCAGAGGTAAGCTGTGGCAACATTCAAATTATTCGAGGTTAGATTTACTGGTTGAAAGTTACAGGCCGAACCCTTAAGCTTGACTGGTAGGCCTGTGGGGAGGTTTGACATTGCCGTGTCTCTGGATTATTTGTCGGAAGATTGTTTGGAGGGGGTCTAAATGCAGAGGTAAGCTGTGGTTATTACTCAGATTGTTTTAATGAATTTACTGGTCGAAAGCAACAGGATGAAGCCTTGGGGTTGACTGATATGGAGAAACCTGCCCTCGCCATGTCCCTGGGTTACTTGTTTCTCCTGTGTCTGGGAGAGAGACAACATTCATGCCTTTAGGTGGAGGTGGAGGTAGTCCGGTGGCACTGACTCTGGGAACTTGACTGGCATAACTACCAACACCTCGAGTGAGCATGATCATTAATTTGAGGTCAATGTGAAGCTTACATTGCCCCAAAGTCCCCAAAATTCCTTGGTTCAAAACTGTGGCTTGGTGCACTGGACAGAGACTGGTATTGAGGGTGCAATAACCTGTAATGAATGTGAGTACATTGAGAAAGCTCTAAATGGATATTTCCAAGATCACCTTCCATAGGATTGATCTCTAAGTTGGCGTTGTTGTGTTTCAGCGTAGCCCCTATTGCTCATTGCGGTCGATGAACGATGTGGTTGAGCATCCAATGAGCTATTGATAATCACTTCAGTAACCTCAGTGGCACTTCACTCTAAGCACTACCTTGGATAACGGCCACCTGTGCTCTGAAGATGTGGCACATTCCCATTGCCAACTGACCCTCCTTTCCTGGTAGTTTCATGCAGATAGAATGTGGATTCTTCCTCAAACCTCGCTTGTCTGTGGTTAGTCTGGTTGGACCAATTGCTGTTCAATGGACTGCTGCTCTTGTCGGACATTTGGTTAATGTTTCGATAATAATTCTGAAGTAAGGAGGAGATTCACACGATTCCGTTTTTATACCCCCTGCTCACTGCTGACATAGCCTTGCTTGTACAAGAGACTACTAGTCATTCAGAAGGCGGACTTCGAAGATCTTGTCGACATCAAAAATTCCTCTAATCAAAGTCCCGGAACTTGTTAATCTCAAGGCTTGTTTCTCTTTCGGCGGATACAACCATACACACGCTTCTCCCCCTGTTCAGGTTCGGACTACCCAACATTCTCAATCCTCCACCGTCCTCAAGCTACAAAATTGACTTACCCTATTAAATCTACCTATGGAACTACGGCTTATGAGCCCTAGTGGTTATTATAAAGCCTGTAGTTCATTATGAATCATTATTGGGTTGGACTGAAATCATTGAAATGAACATAACTGAATAATTTGAGGTGAGGTAAACAAGCTTATCCAACAAGGAGTTCGAGCAATGATATGATCCAGGTACAATGGTTCTTTAGATTTACAGGAAATCCTTAAAATATTATCTTCATGTGATAGAGACATGCGGCTTTTGCCATAAGATTACAGTTATATAAAGCTGTTGTTCTAAAGGAGGGAAGGATTTCCCACTGATGAATTGTTCCAATGAGGCAATCCAGAAGATTGGTTATGTACATGATTTTATATCTGGCACTGAGATCTCCGAGAAATTATTTGAAAAGGATTGCCCTTCCTCGATCGAAACTATAAGTTTATTTTACCCTCTGGAAATTAGAGTATCTATAACCGTGAATCAACCGCAAGCAATCTTAGAACATTGGCTCCCCAACACTACTGGACATTCCCCACTCGTATGATGTTCTGTTAACACCTATCATAACAGGTAGTCTCCGCCGAAGCTCTCTGTTCTTTGACTGGCTATCAGAGAACAAGGCAGAGGAAATGAATTCGTGGAAGGTTTGATCACAGAGGAAAAATCTTAGATAGACCTTGATTTCGACGGCATGTTAAAAGCCCTTCCCAGTGGCGCTCGGTTTTCTAAAGAGAAAAAGCTTTGCCATTTTTAGCTCAGTGGATACACAAATCGTGTATAATCTTTTCATTCCTTTTTCTTCCTACTTCAGTACTTGTCCAAGCAGCCGCAACTTCTTCGTCAGCACTCCGAAATACATCAATGCCTCGGTTCCGAGTTCAGTACGGAGATGTAGCCACATTTCATGCACCATGGCAGAAAAGCCAGGTGGTTGTTGCAATCCATTTCAATGGCTTCACTGCTTCGAACCACTATGACCGAGATCAAATTATAATCATCATCCTGAGCCTATCAGTCCTCTTGGTACTTCGTAGTCTCCTTAAATCTCAGTAGTATGATCCTCATCGCAATCATCGAAACGTTAGAACTTGAGTTGGAAAATTGAATTCTTGAGGGACGGAGACTGACATAGGAGGATTCCACACCTTACAACTGAGCTGTTGCTAACGGAGAACTTTGAGTGGGAAATCGGAAATCATACAGGCAGCGAATTCAATAGGGTCAGTTATTTGGACTATCGAGCTAAAGTTGAACAACAAGAACATTGACGTCCAAAACTTGCACTTGAACAGGAATCAAAAGATCAGGTTGAATTAGTGAAAAAGGACGCCTCGAGGTTTTCAGAGACGACATTTTGATCCAAAAAAATGCAACAAGGGAGACATCTGATTTCGACAGATCTTGAGAGTCAGCTCTCTTGATGACTCGTAGTGCCTCCTTATGCGGGTAAGGTAAGGCTATGCCGAGAATTAGGATAGGTATAAAATCGAAATCGTGTGAATCCCGCCTCTTTACTGCAGACTGCAGACCAATTATTCATCCAATGTCAAGCACAAGCGGTAACACGTCGAATAACAACCTACCCCGACGGAACAGCCAGAGACGAGTGAGGTTCGCTGAAGAAAACACAATCTATCTGCAGGAAATGGTGGAAGACGGAGGATCGAACGGTCGCCGTGAAACGCCACATCTTCAGAACGAAGGGCAACCTTATGCAAGGTAATGGCTGGGGCTACAAACGGTTGAGTCTGTTGATCTTACCTACTTTACAGCTCGTCGGAAGCTCAATCCCGGCTTGTGTCTCCTACGACGGGCAATAGGGGCTACAGCGAAGCACCACAATCTCAACACAGGGATCAATCCTATGGAAGGTGACTGCTCAAATGTCCATTATAGAGTGCAGCTAATTTACTCACCTTTATCACAGGTCATTGCATACTCGAGACGAATCAACTAGCGCACTGAGCAACAGTGCTAACCGACCAATTCCAAGAACTTCGTGGAAACCTTTGGGGTGAGTCTCTCGTCGACTCAGGCTATCCAGCAGTGCTAATTTCAGGTGTCTGTAGCTACCCTAACCAGTTCGTCAGAAACAGCGCCACCAATTTCCCTCTAGCACCAGAAGGGGTGAATGTCGTCTCCCTCCCCAGCACTGATGAGAACATTACAGAGAATGAAAGTCCGGGATCATGGCAAAGTGGAGCTGTTCCCTACCAGCCAAGCCCAATGGAAATTTCCAGCCAGTAAGTTCAATAGCTCATTCGATTTCAACTTCAGCTTACCTCTGAATTTAGACCAACTCCGAACACTCCTTGGACGTTGACAAGCTCTCCGCCTTCTCTGGAAAGAGTGGACATCGCTTCGTCAATCACTAAAGATAGTGATAGTCCGAAACCGCGGCAAAGTCGCGCTCCTCTGCACCAGGCAAGTTCGACGCCTCAGTCGGGGACTTTCAACCAGTAAGTTCGAGAGCTCCGATGATGACTATAAGGAGTACTCACATTCATATTCAGACCGCCACTGCTCCCGCAGACTCCTTCAACGTTGATAGTTTCTTTGCCAGACGTTAACGACGAGGAGAAGATGGATGAAGAGGGGGAGCAGGAGCAGGAGCAGCAGCAGCAGCAGGAGGAAGGTTCGCAGAAGGAAACACTGTCACCAGATTCCGCGGATGGAGCTTAAACGACTCACGGATTTCGAGTTGATGAGTTGATGTGAAGATCCTCGGCGATTGTATTTTTATTTGTTGGACTTGAAAGCACATGTAGATTCGCCGTTGTACTGGTAGCAACTATTCATGATCACCTGTGATAGGTCGAGAATCACACGACGATTTCACGGAAATCGACGCTAGCTAAGCGCCAGTGGTCACCATTATTGTTATTAAATAGGATTAAGTACGCACCTTTAGGAAGGGGATTGAAAATGATCCTCCGATAGAGTTGACCGCGAAAACACATGTGAGAATTGGAAGGGAGGGGAGGACACATAAGTTATGAGCAGGTCGGAGAGAGGCAAGAGGGAAGTAGAAAGTACAGATATCTCGCGGTGTTATACGCTAAGCAGTATCATCTGTTTTTTGTTATTCATCGAAATCCACATAGCTGTAAGATTCGTCTCGCGGAAGGATTTAATCGATAAGTCATGCCTTGTATTGCAATGTATTCCGCATCATCCCGATATGAAATGATTGTGGGTCTGTGTATAGGTGAGAACAAAGAGCATTTGATGGTGGAATGATGGAACACGGTAAGTTGACTGATGGTGATCAAATTTTGCACGAGAAAAAACAATAAGGTCCTCTTTAAGCGTTCAGAACCTTGCTGGATGGTTCGGATTAGGTGAAACTGGGAAACAAAAGAAAAGCAAGGTAGTCGCGAGCGAGGGAGGAATTGACAAGAGGGGAATCATGAAGAGAAGGGGAGCCATGAAGCTTTGAGGACTTGAGGTGCTTGCGCCTTGGCAAATTTTCGACGTTGTTCTTTTGATGAATCGCCCGCAACGCCCCCACAAATAGCTAATACGAAGGGGTTAACACAGCGTCACTGGAATTCAGTGTCCGGAGAACAAGGTATTGCATATATCCTGTACTTCTTTAGACTTGATTAGTATTCGTGGAGGCATGGAGCGAAGGTGCGTACACTGCAACTCACCAGCATTTTTGAATTCTTCGAGGGCTCCCTGTTCTTCATTCACCTTGAGTGGCAGCAGTCCAAGTGGTTGCTGAGAGGCAACGTTGAACTTGATGGTTCTGGTTCAAGAGTTTATCGCATCCCACACACGCCCTACAAGAGTCGTGATCAATTGACGTCCACTGTCCCACGACAAGCACGGAATCGATATAAGATAAATGTTGGCTTTGTTGGCCCGAAGTGAACTACGTATGTGAGATGCAGATTTGCTATGATCATACTCACAAAGAGCGAACAAAGGCATTTCCATTCAGCGCTAAATAAATACAGGTGCCTCGCCGTCAACTATACAAGATAGGATAGGATAGGATAGTCGAGGAAAGGAAAGATCACTGACACGATCCCATTGAGAAACAGCTGAGGGCCACAATTTAAGTTGTGTCAACTAAGAGGTTTTAGGCAGAAATTATTTGTGAAAGAAAAAAGCAGGATGAGAATTCTGTTGGATGAAGGCCTAGTATCCCTTTCCTAGAACTAGAGAGGATTATTGTCAAGCTTATATTATCTGGAATAGATCAAGCTCTTGAAGATTGCTGCTTGAAAGTATGGAGTTGAGAGAGTGCGATGTTCCGTAGGTACTTTTCAAAGTCAAGGTAAACAATGTGATGTGTGCTCTACCGTGGACGTGAAGGGATCCCTTTTAGGTAAATACATTTTTGAAGTACACAAAGCAGCAGTAATTCGAAGGCCTCAAAGTTGACTGCTGTTGCAAAGGCGCGAGGTGATGTTGGCAGGATGAACAGGTACTAGAATTCGGGTTTTCAGTTGATTGATAGGCCGCCGTTCTTCAGAGATGTGAGAAGGCAGTAGTGATGTGCCGGCTGGGGCCCGGCTCAAAAGCCCCGGCTAAGGCTCAAATAGCCCCGGCCAAAGCTCATGAAAATCTTGAGCCGGGCCCTACATGAAAGCCAGGGCCCGGCTGGGTTCCGGCTCAAGCTTGGGCCCCGGCTGTGGTAGGTGCAAACTGTGAGATTCAAAATTTTTTTGATCTGTTCAAGTATTCACCATTGGATCATACAAAATCCAATGTAATATGTGAGTCTGAAAATACTGCCACAATGGTCTGAAAATTGTATCACAATCATTGCCAGAGTACACCATTGTTTCTTAATGCTCTAACTTTGTGAGAGGGGTGTAACATTAAGAATAATAGTGTACAGCAATCAAATAGTAGAATTCCAGTACACTAGACTTATCAGAGTAGCAAGCACCAAAATCATTACCTGTTGTTTCAACTACTGTCAATTCCAAATCAGATCAAAGTGGTTCCTTCCTTGAGGCTTGTAGACTAACATTCAAATTAGAAGGTGCTGCCATGTTATAGTAAAATCTACAACATGATACCTTCCCAGTCCTCATTAAGAGAGATTCACTGTGAATATGATGATTTGATTCAAGCTCCAACCCATCTACAATGGCAAAAGTATCCGAATTGTAATGCTTGAACAATTTTAGGTGATTATGGCATGAACCAATAGTTATCCTTGCAGCCAAAAATGGTGCTAGTGATGCCCATATAGGTAAATATTGAGCATTTAGCTTCATGCATATCAGCCATTGCCAATTCCCAGGTGGGAATTTTGGCACAAAATTCGGCTACTCAGCCCCGGCTCAGAACCCGGCTTGGGGCCTCTGAAAATTCTGAGCCGGGCCCTCAGCTTTCCACAGCCCTAGAGACGGCTCCGGCCCGGCCAGGCTCAATCCGGCCAGGCTCATAGGGCCCAAGGGCTCAGAGCCGGAGCCGGCACATCACTAGAAGGCAGTAGAAAAGGATTGCGGGGCAAACTGACCTCGAATCAACAACATTTGACACCGGTTCTTCTAGACATGCTTCCCCAAGTAAGAGGTCATCGGCCATCGCTTGAACCATTTTACCTGCTGAGAATGCTACTTGGAGAGGGCTACAGCGGATATCGAGTTGTCGATTTGCAAACCTGATGATGAAAGGAAGCTGTTTTTTATCCTGTCATATCTCTGCATAGCCATGGGTCATCTGCAAAACCTAGGCTGCTCTCAGTGCTTTCGGTACTGGGATCTGCTGGGATCTGCTCTCAGCCCTTAGCCGAATATCCATGTTTTGCAGATGCAGCTTTTAGAATAAAATCTAGACAAGTCAAACTGAGCTGATGAAGCTATTGTAAAATGAGAAGACCACAGATAAGACAACAAGTTCGGAAAAACTTATCATAGATTCGGAATTGCCCCAAAATTACCGATCATACCCCATTATTCCGTCACATCCGCCTATAGAGCCACTGTAGGCTCTTCTACTGCACAGACACGGTGGCATTTTAGGATCAGAACAGCAACCGGTCATTGCTTTCTTCAATTCATTTTCTGCTTTGAACACAGTGACATCACCTCGACTGTTTTCTTGTTTTCATTGTCACAACTTCTACACTTGTTTCAGCTCTCCTTGGAAATTTGTCATCTCCATAATCCTCCCTCGTAATGTCAGTGACTCAGCTTCATCCTTGTTATTGGGAGATATAATTGATACAAAGTATAATATCAAGCTCTGATTATGTGAAGTGAATACTGAAGATCATATTAAAAGTTATCTGATGGTAATAAGTAATGGGGAGCCTGGGATAGGATAAAGAATATGTCCATTGATATTATATAAATCATCCATCAGAACACAAAACACAGACAGAAAAGAAAAGTACAAATCTATCCCTGCATCCAAGTCCAATGACAAAAAACAATCCACACTTATTCAAACCACCTCGCAGGGGAGATACCCCACTTATTCCCTTTGTATATTCCCATATGTGAATATGCATCCATCTTGAACGGGATCTTCCTCTCCACACCAACGACCGTCCTCAAATCATCTCTTAGACTTCTCACTTCTTCCAGATCCGTAAAATCCTCTACATAGACACATATCACCCTACTGTTATTCATTTTCCCCACTTCCTCTTCTTGGTTCACGGAGACCTTTGCAAAGCCTCGTTGACGATACATACACACCATCTGTACAACATCTTGCCATAATGCATCCACTGTATTGACACTCGTGAAGATCAACCATTTGCCAGATAGTATGTTGTATTTTATTGCGAGGTTATCGAGTTTAGAAACGGTTAATATTGAGTGGCCATTGGTTTGGTGTACACTGGCGAGCGCGTCGAACGCAGCTTTGAGCTCTGGAATGCGAGGTAGAGAAGTAGACTCGAGCGAAGATAATCCACGGTTCACGGCAATCCATTTGGTGGTTGGGATGACAAAATTGTCAGGACCAGACTGGGATTGCAATTGGTTGTAATTCAGGCGAAAGGAAGGCCTACAGTACCGCGTAAATCTTTCCACGTTGGATAGACTAGCGGTATACTCGTTAAAGTACGCAGTTATCCAGTTGTTGGTGGTGGTCATGTACGGAACGTGCGAAGCAGGTGAGAAAATCGTTGGAAGGTATTTGACGTATGGCGTGGAGGAGGAGAACGAGGATGTCTGGAGCAAAGGGACGATTAGCGACGTTTTTGTCATAGGACAGAAGCGACACTCACCTGCGACTCATCGAACTGGAAATCTGACGATTGAGATTCCTCCATGAAGCTCTGACTACTCAAACTCGAGCTCTGACTACTTTGGCTTTGCTCGACATCGTCACAATCCCCTAACATAGGTTCTTCTCTATCTAATGTGATATTACTGTCCAGTTCATCTGGATCATCATCCAGATGTAGTTGTTCCTAATGTATAATAGTCCTTGTCTGCACGCCATATGATAGACAAAAAATCACGAAAAACATACAATTTGTCTAATCAAAGCGATTTCATCTGGATCATTCAGGCGTAGTCGTTCCTGATAGGATCAAATTGTTAGTGCGTGAAGTAGCTTGTGGCCATGGACAAAACTTACAACTTGTCTGACCAACGCGAGTGTCACATCGTCGATATCCATTGCATCCATGGTGAGAGTCGGTCTGCAGAATTTCAGCAACAAGAAAGATAACAAATTTTCGTTTGTTGTGCGTGTTCTGTGTATCGAGATGGAAAGTCAAAGTTAAGAGGAAGCCGTTAGTACCCTGACTCTCAGTTTCGAGTCTTATAAACTGTTCATCAACGTCCTCCAAGGACCTACTGTGCGCCCACACAAATTTTGTGGTGAGGGAATACAAAGAAATGCAACACCCGTCGCCTCATGCTATTATTCCGAAAGAACAAAAAAAAATAACAATACAAGCAACAACAATTGAATCTCTTCCCATTAACTTTGATGGTCGACGTTGAGCCCAACATCGCAACATTGTTATTACCGGATTTGATCAAGTATATTTCTACAGTCGTTGTTGCTTTTAGTCTTGAGTTTGATGCCCTTTAAAAGATGAACATGCCCTCGATATTAGTTCGAGTAATTTGTATCAATACCATTTCAAACAACCAAAAGCACTCCTTCTCAACATTGTTGACTATTTAAACCATTTCTCTTCCAACACTGTACCTAATATTCAATGATGAGATAAGAAGAACACACCTGTGATCAGCCTGCCCTTAACTCAACCTTTGTTGATATTTGTTGAATTACATATATGATGAAACGTGACAACATCACAGATCACATTCCTTTCATTCAACCACCACCTTCTTGGTTAAGAGATGGCAATGTTTCCTGGCGCCCACAATTTTGGAATATCCCATTCAAACTCCATTGTACGGGAAACTCACTATCATACAGAAGGTATGTATCCTTACGTGGAAGATTCAGGTGTACTTATTGTAATTTGTTTAGATATTCAGATGGAAATACAACCTCCAGGTATTTACGTATATTGTTCTCAATTGTCAATATTTCGGAAACTCACACTGCAGCTGAGGTTACATCAGGGGCATGACTAATTGCCCCAGATCTACACTGGCATTCACAGGCAGAAATGAGATTTCAGAATCCCTTGAAAAGTTCTTCCTCAAAACTACATTTCCAACAAAGCAAAAGGTCTTCTTGTTGTATGGCTTGGGAGGAGTAGGAAAAACTCAAACTGCTCTTGAGTTCAAGCAAAGATTATCCTTAAAGAAGAGGTAATGTGATCATATTCACAAGCTGCAAATGAATGTCTACTCAACATTGCTCACTGAGCAGACTTACTAAAATCTATTTTAGTAAGGCCAATACTGAGCAATCTATACAAGCCAGTTACTTTGTCATTGTTATTGACAATGGCATTGTGCAAGCTCAAGACTGGCATGCCGGAATTCACTGGCTGCATTCTAATGAGGAATCTTGGTTCATTATCATGGATAATGCTGATGATCCTAAAATCCATTTAGCAAAGTACTTGCCTTCTTGTGGTCATGGAAACATTATAATTACCTCTAGAAATCCTGATCTACAGGATGTAGCAGCACAGTCACTGGAGGTCCAGAATATGGTTCCAACTGAAGGAATTCAACTACTTTCAGAGAAAGCAGTTGGTGGTCCTTTGACTGCAGACCAAGAGAAGAAGGTTGCTCAGATTGCCAAAAAGTTGCATTAATTTCCCTTGGCTTTGGTACATGCTAGAGCATATATTAGGCAACGAAAACGTCTTTCAACCTATCTTGAAAGACTACAAAACCTGAGGAAACAAATATTGCAAAAGGAAATACCACAGTCTTCGGATGGATATCCTCTTTCCATTTATGCAACCTCGAAGCTTAGTTGGGATGAGCTCGGTGACCAAGCTAAAGCCTTGTTAAGTGTTTGTGCTCATCTCCACTATGAGAAGATTCCTCGCCTATTATTTGAGAGGGCAATGAAGAATATTGATATTGTATACCTGCCTCTTGGACCAAGCAAGGCTGTTTATGAAGATAAAATCATATTAGCAGAATTAGCCACATTAGAACACATATGGGATCCCAACCAATTTGATGAAATTGTAATAGAAGCAAATTCCTACTCATTGCTGCAAATCTCTGATGAGGGCCTTTATGAGATTCATCCACTAGTCCAACAGTGGCTCCAAGACATTTTTTACAAAGACAAAATTCAAGGAACTCAGGGGATCATAGCATCAACTCTCCAAAACATATCCTGGAAAGACGTTCATTTCAATCAACATATGGCATTCCATTGTTTTGCAATACAACAGTTTGAATGCGGTGGGTTATTGGATATTCTTGGACAGTATCATCAGGCTCTCAAATTATGGGAGCCCTGGCTTGAAACATTTGATAAGTTGTTGGGATCCAAACACAATGCAAGTCTAATGCACAGGGAACAAGTAGGAGGATGTTATATGAAAATTGGAAGGTATCAAGATGCAGTAGACATTGAACAACCTTTGCTGGAGCCTGGAAACCTCCAAAATAGTTTTGGGGAAAGAACATCCAAACACTTTGACCAGAATCCAAAATCTAGCAGTCACATTGAGGGAAATGGGCAAGCTCAATGAGACATTGTCCCTTCAGCAACCTCTGTATGAAACATCCAAAAGAGTTTTGGGGAAAGAACATCCGAACACTTTAATGAGGATCCAAAATCTAGCAGAAATATTTAGGCACTTGGGCAGGTTTAATGAGGCATTGGCCCTTGAGCAACCACTGCTTGAAACATCCAAAAGAGTTTTAGGGGAAGAACATCCAAACACTTTAGCCAAGATCCAAAATCTAGCAGTCATATTTTGGGAGATGGGCAGGTTTGATGAGACATTGTCCCTTGAGCAATCTCTGCTTCAAACCTCCAAAAGAGTTTTGGGGGAAGAACATCCAAGCACTATGACCACGATCCAGAACCTAGCAGTCACATTGATTGAGATGAGTAGATTCAATGAGGCATTGTCCCTTCAGCAGCCTCTACTTGAGAAATCCAAAAGTGTTCTAGGGGAAGAACATCCAAACACTTTGTCCAGGATCCAGAACTTAGCCGAGTTATTTAAAAGGATGGGCAGGTTGAATGAGGCATTATCTCTTGAACAACCTCTGCTTGAAACCTCCCGCAGAGTGTTGGGTCAGGAGCATCCACACACTTTGACCAGAAATACACAATCTAGCAATCACATTCCGAAACATGGGACAGCTGCATGGAGTATTGAATCCTCAACAACCTTTGTTGAATATGTCTAAAATGATTCTGAGAGAGGACCATCCACAAACTTTGGAAATGATACAGGCTCTAACAATGACATTGTGGCATTTGAAGAGGAAAGATGATGCTCTGGAGCTTGAGCAAACCCTGCCCGAAGGTCTTAGAATTTTCTGGGCAAAACAAATTCCAAGCCCTACACCACTGCCAACTTCCATTGCCAGTGATCTGCCGAAAGAACAAGATTGGGAAATTATTCCGATTGAATATGTTGAATGATTGTATACTTTGGGGGATCTCCCAAGAAATAGCAAAGCACCTTCAAGGTTTTTTTCCTCTCCAAGTCCATCTCAATTTATCAAATATTGAAGTTCCTCATTTCCTTTATGTTTACTTTTCTATACACTGTTTATTGTTTCTTTCAGTACTTGACCTAGTGTTTTGCAATTCACTCAGGTGTGCAGACACTCATATTATGAACTCTTGCCATCTTTTTGCTATTCCCTATGATGCTTCTTCTTTAAAACTCCCTGACAACCTTTGTTTTACTAACACAACCTCCTAGACATATGAAGTTCCGTTGCAACAGCTTTCCGTTCTTGATTTTGCACAATGTAGTCAAGAAATGCAGTGATTTTTTTTGACTTTTTTCCCTTTGTGTATGGAAAAGCATGTAGTGAATATGGTGAGGTTATCTGTAGAAAGAAAGCAATCTATCCTTTTGTCTTGTATTTTGTCGGATTATTTTTTTCAACTTTGATCCAAAAGAGACAGTAAGACACAGGGAGTGACATTCAAATTTCCGTTTGCTTAAACTCGATAAATGCTACAGATATGCTCATTGCCTGTTTACCTGTTGCTCGAGGTTATTGAAGGCTTGAGTCAAAGGTGGTGGGAAATGCCAGTATGGGGATCATCATGTGGGGATCATCATGTGGGGGAATGAGGAAGAAACAGAGATGTATTCTGTAAACAGATGAAGATGGGTTTAAGCTCTGTAAGGGAAGGATGCACATATGGAGCATAAACTAAACCCTGGTAAAGTTATATGTATAGATACAATAAGAAACAAAGAATAATACTAGGACATTGGGGTGAAAGCAGGGAATAGAAGGAACAACGCTTGAACAAAGATAGCATGAAGCCCATACACAGATGATCCAGCAGAAGACAAAGCAAAATGAAATTTCTGACAGCGGCAGGGCCAGGGCAGGGCCGATGCCTACTCTAACCATCTCGTTGGTGGAATCCCCCACTGATTATCTCTATATATCCCCATATGCGTATACGCATCCATCTTGAACGGGATCTTCTTCTTCACACCGACAACCGTTCTCAAATCCTCTCTCAACCCTCTCACCTCTTCGAAATCCGCAAAATTCTCCACATAGACACATATCACCCTATTATTCCTATCGTCTTCTTTCACTGAAACCTTTGCGATTCCTCTTTTCCGATACATGCATACCATTTGCACAACGTCTCGCCATAACGCATCAATAGTATCCCTGTTTGCGAAGATCATCCATTTACCGGATAAAACGTGGTATTGATACGCGAGTTCGTCGAGTGTCGAGACGGTTAATGTTAGGTGGCCGTTAATTCGGTGTCCGCTGGCGAGAGCATCAAACGCGGCTTTGAGTTCGGGAATACGAGGTGTTGAGGAGAGGGATGATGATGATCCACGATTTATTGCGATCCATTGGGTCGTCGGGAGAACAAAATTGACGGTGCTAGATTGGGATTGATTTTGACCATGGTTTAGGCTAAAATTGGGCCTCCAATACCGTGTAAATCCCTCCACGTTGGGTAGAGTAGCGGTAGACTCGTTGAAATGCGCTGTTATCCAGCCGTCAGTTGTGGTTATGTGGGGAGCAGGTGAAGAGGGAGAGAAGATCTGTGGGCGGCAGGGCGCAAACGAGGAGGTCCACAGCGACGAAAAGTTAGACATAACTTGACTGTTCACGAAACGACACTCACTGAATCCATAGACTTACTCTGTTCGACATCCCTGTGATTTTCCAACCTTGGCCTTTCTTCTCTTGTGGAGATATGATTTGCATCATTCAATCGTAGTCGCCCCTTGTACAACCGATTATTCGCGTGAGCTTTTGGAAAAGAAATTCGAACATACCAATTGTCTCATTAACGCAGGAGACATTTCGTCTATATCCATAGCTTCACCCATATCCATGGCGGGTGCTCAAAAGAGGTACGATAATGAAAAAGAAAATTTATAAGCGTTTCCGTTCTCGCTTTGCAGCTTGTCGTGTCGCGTCTCAGCAGGATGAAAGATTGAGTCAAGGAGCGAAAGCGTACCGATTGATCAATGATAAAATCAGATTGCCCAGACACGTGGCATCCTCTTTGTCCTTTCAGCTTTCACTGAGGAAACATAGAACAATATACAAATTCCAGTCTTGAGTAAAGGGCGCGCTGGAAGTGTGTGCTTTTCAAGACATACGTTCGATACATTCCGTTTTCAATCCGAAACATTCACTGATCTAGCTCGACCAAACAGATTAACCGCGAAGATTATACACCAATCGATACTTCCCCACCAAATTTGCTCGGAGCATAAGCTAGCTCTTAATTTGCCTCTCCCATCCTCACGCTGTATACAAGTCGCAAAAGTCAGCTCTAACGATGAACCTCACTTATTCTACTGGTCACCCACTGAGAGCGAAAAGGGTTGACTACATAGGTGGTCTCAGAACGTTAGTTTTACTCAATGTGTTCCCTTCATTCCACTTCTACATAATGTTCCGGGTATTCCCAATTCAAGCCGTATCCTCAACCCCCTGTTTTTCATGCCCCAGGACTTCTCCATACATTGACTCATTTCCGTTCATTCCTCAGCGCAACTTTGACCCTCTTACTCTCTCCTTTCATACCACGTCTCATCGTCAAATCTCCCCTTCTTTCCCTACCTTCTTCATTCATGGTCCCATTGTGGCTTTCCCTGGGCTGATATCCCAAATGATTCATTCTTCTGATATCACAGGACACCGAAGACCGAGCGTCTCTAAATCTAGCCCCGAACTCTCCATGCGGATCGGTTGATTCCTATTCCATTTCGACGTCTATATCATTGACCGCGTCGAGGGGTCTGGACCATTCATCCTCAGTATGAGTGGGATTCAAGGAAAAGGAAATAGACGATTTGCCAGTTGTCTCTCCGAGTATGGCTCGGAAATAACCTGGGGTAGCGTCCTATCCTGAAAAATCTTCCCATTCCTCACAAAACTCATTAAAACTCATTCTAGGCCTGTAATCGAGACCATGGACGAGTAAAAGAAGCGGGGTACATTAAGTGGTGTGTGGTGTTGATATTTGAGGAACATCTGTCCCGTTCTAAACCACCTCAGTGAATCTACAAAGCATTGCCTCGATATCCCTTAGGTTTCACCTGCAAAACGACAATCATGCCGGTCCCTGTTCAAAACCTTCCTGAATGGCCATCGGAAGTCGAAGCGCATCCTCTGCTCGTTATCGACTATCAACTACTGAAAGCAGGCGACAAAGACGAGATCAATAGATTATGGGAGGCCGGAACGACGTTGGGCTTCTGGTAGTAAGTAATTCCTCAATCCAAATCCACCGTTAGCTTGCTAAAGCGGGTCCGATCTGAAGCTTGAAAAATCACGGCGCCGAACAAGATTTCGTCGCGATGTGGGGTATGGGGGAGGAAGTCTTTAAGCTCCCACTTGAGGAAAAGATGAAGTACGAGCAGGGTGATGAAGGACTTTCCTTTGGGTGAGTAATTAACCTAATGGCGAGGATATCTAATGAATTTCACGCGGCGCGCGCGACAGGTACAAAGCAGTGGGTCATTACATCGTGGACGCCGTAGGCAACCCAGATCCCGTTGAGGGCGTCAACGTTGCCAAAGACGACGCACTATCTTACCCCAAAGTCTCCCGAAGAGAGTATCCATCTGTCATAAACGACCTCATGGACCCCGTCATCACGCCTTTCGTAGAGAAATGTGTCGGTATCAGCAATACCTTGATCGAAATCTTCAACGACAAGCTTGGATTACCAGAAGGTACTCTAGCCAAGTTCCATAAGCGGGAGGAGTTCAGCTCCAGCGAGACGAGGACTATCAAGGCCCCCGCGAACTTGACACCGGGTAAATTGGCTATCGGGGGTCATACAGATTTTGGGACTTTGACGCTTTTGGTGAATAATCTTGGAGGACTGCAAGTCCTTCCGCCTGGAACAACCGAGTGGCGGTATGCAAGGGTGAGCACATTTGACAACTGGGATGGATCTTCCTACTTATCTCGTGCAATCCTATACGTAGCCGCTTCCAGGACATATGATATGCAACGTCGGTGATGCTCTGACCATGTTCAGCGGCGGGTTGCTCAATTCAAATATCCATCGTGTCGTGTACGTACTTCTCTGAGGTATCTTCAAGCGCAACAGATGTTGATCTGTTTCCACCACAACGATAGACCTCCTCCAGGTTCACAATCTAAACATGATCGGTGGTCACAAGTTTACTTCACCAGGCCTGCGAACGACACACCTCTCTCCCCGTTGCTCGAGAGCTCTATCATATCTACAGCATTTAATAACCTTACTCCGGAGAGACAGCAGAGCCTCAGTCCAGGTGTTACTGCATACGAATGGTTTACTAGGCGGCAGAAGAATTATAGGACGAAGAATCATAAGGTAAGCTTGGCCTGAATAGTTGTATGACACTATCTCATATCAAACATCCATCAGGGAGCAGAGACATGGGCTGCAAATAGAGGAACAGAGCATGGCCGTGCATAAGCGAACTGAGAATTATCGTGTGGAGTTGTATTATTATCCAATTTATCCTTGGCTTCCCCTAGAACTGAACAAGCTGGTATTCACACTCATTCTTCCTTGAGCTTCAGAGACCAAAATCAGCTCTCATATATGTTATCAACCATTAATTTGGTTGATCGATCTATAAGATGGGGGATCATTCTCTTGCACATCTTGCACCCTCAGATTCTCGTTGTAAATTGACGGACGCCCTGTCGAGGTGTTCAGGTCCCTAGGATGAAATAACCCTTGGGAACTGTCTGCGAATATTGGCTCCTGAACATGATCAGTGGATGTGTGGTGAGTTTGGGACCGTGCTGTACGTTGGTTGGAATCATTAATCCCCGCCGTTCCTTGGATACTGGTGGAACTGACATCACCTTTTTTCCAGCGCATAATAATGAACATAGATATCATTCCAATCATTGTACCCATGATGCTTCCCGCAACACCCCCCGCCACAGAGGCTGTGCATGTATTCCTCCTGGTTAGGTTGGAGGAAAATGTCTCAATTGAGGGTGTTGAGGTATACACAACATAGTCAACCCAGAGCCCCTCAACGGAGCCAGATGTTGGAGGCAGTATCATAACCAGTGTGTGATTTCCAGGGTCCAGCGACGGTGAGCGGTAGAATGGAACTCGGTAATTATCCATCCCATTTGCTGAAAACGTGAAGACAGTATTAGGCAGATCATCCAGTTGATAGATAGATGTTGGAGATCCGTCATCGTGGTGCACACTTCCAAAAACCCCGACACCCACGCCTGAACACGATAGGAGTACGGAAGGTAAAAAATTGATATTTCAAAAGTGCGCACCATCGAATGTGAAAGTAACTGTGGAGGGCTGAGGATCATTGCGGCTTCCATGGGTTGTTCCTTCACATTCAAGCCCTGGTGTTCCTCCATTCACCCATCCAGTAGAATATATAAGACGTGGGTCAGTATCGTCCACCAAAACTTCAGAGGATAAGAGCGGTGGACAAGGGAACGAAGAGGCCATCTTTGAATCCCGGCTCAGTACTACTTAATTTAAACCTGGTGGACATAACTTTTGGACTCGTTCAGTACAAACTATGTCACACAAGGTTGAAATTAGTACAAACTTATGTCCACCAGGTTTGATTTTTGTCGATACTGGATTAAATTTTGATGCAGTACATTTGGTTCGGCCCAGAAAGAGGGGCTTGGATTCTCGCCTATGCTGTTGATTGTTGACAACAATATCTGCACGCTTTGCATACCGAGTGCAAGGCAAATGTTTGTGTTACCATTAATGCTATTGCGTACTCACAGGCTCAATATTCACCCACACTTGTAAGTGGGATAGATTCAACCACCAAAATCTGACGTGCTATAAGAAATGCAGAGGACGAGAGATTAAGGTTGGAAAAGCATATACCTCCAACCACGGCCCCATCCCTCAGGCCGTGCTTTCACAGGTAGCGACTTGCCATTCACTTCTATCTGTTTAGAACTTAGAGGCAAGGCTTGTGCAGCGGGAAGCTCTACAACAGCACTGAGCAGAGATCATAGGAAGGAAGGAATTTATTGCACGGCCGAAACCGACTTATTCGTTTTCTGTGTTCAACTCAGATAGGTATCGGAAGCTTGAAGGAAGGATGGTAGAACTATGTACTGAACAATCTGGCAAGATGTACCGTTCATTGCCATGGTTTTATACTTACAGAGAGTACAAATGGTAGTTGCCAGACCGAATTGTTATCTGGTACCAATTATACAATTTATCGCTTGACTATAAGATGGAAGGCTATCCTCCTGTATATGCTGCTCACTCAGATTATCATTCTGAATTAAGAAAAGCACTGTTAGAGTGTTCAAGTCCCTAGAATGTAATGATACTCCTCGGGAACTGTTGCCTGTGGATATCAGCCCCACACTGTGTTTAACATAGCCATCTGTTCTGTGGATGGTTGGGACCGTGCTGTAATATTGGTATTATTAATTATTGCAGCTGGGCAGATCATCAAGTTGACAGATAAACGCTAGAAACCCTTCTAGAGTGTTCACATTTCCGAAGACCTCAACACCCACTCCTTTACGGGAGAAGGATATATCAATTAAGAAAAATAAATATGTGTCGAAAATACGCACCGTTGAAGGTAAAAGAAACATTCGCAGGCAGAGAATAATTGTTACCGTGACTCGTTCCTTCATATTCAATCCCTGGTAGTCCTCCTGTCAGCCATCCAGGAGATGAAACGAGACGCAAGTCAGTATCATCCACCAAACTTCAGAGGATGATAGCGGCGAACAAGGGAATGTCATCTCCATCTGATCCTCAATATCTTTCTTCAAGCCAGGCTGAAATACGGTGTTGCTGAGGTTGCAACTCATTCCGAGTCGCGTTTACTTAGACACAAGGCTTGCTGCTTGCTTGGCGTAAAACTCTGAATCAGGTCGACAACGCAGATGATAGGAACCTGATTCCTGTGATTGAGACGGTGAGTTCCCAGCTAAAAGTTTCCACTGGCTGTTGCATGAGGAATGGGGGGATGGATCTTGAGCTGCATGTAAGTGTCCTGGGGGTGTCAAAGATCTGGAAAGAGGTATCGATTGCTCGTTGAGAGCGGAAGAAGATTTGGAGATTGAATTGAAAGAGACAACCGATTCTAACAAGTTTTAATTATGCGTCTAGCAGTGCTATGTACTGGAGCCCACGGGAGGAGTCATCTAATCAAGGAGGGATATCAAGGAGGGATCTTGTTCCCCTGCCAACCAACCTTATGGAGTAGCTTGTTGTCTAAATAACAACGAATCAGCAGGAACATCTGTGCGCAATCTAATACTACTCGCCAGCATAACACATACTGCGTCCATGATCCAACTTTCCACGAATGGTCTTTTCGGGAGTTCCGATACAACAACGTTGGGAGAATTGGGGTTTCCATCCCAAAATGTAGCGTAGGTCTTGGGCGTATGAGGTCCCTTACCCCTTCGATTTCATTCTTCGCGGCCGTTCTACATGAAGGGGAAAGTCATGCAAACTGAGAAATGCGAGAAAAGGCTGACTCTCACCCAGAAAGGCCTAATGTCTAAGTTACAACACACTGAATCAAGAATTGTGAAATTACATCGACGGATGGGGCTTGGTTGGGTTGGCTTGCGATCCGGATTCTGATGAGGCAGATCAGAGTACTTTAAAAGATCACCACTCCAATGTAACTTCCAGGCAGGAAGCATCAAATTCCCCAAGTCAAATCCAATCGGAGAGATCATATCGTTCAACTCCGGCGGCAAAGAAAGAAGTTTCTGTAAAAGAGGACGAGGAGGAACATCGCAAGTATCAGCATCGTGGAAGCGAGAACGAGCGCACTGAGCGCGGTGTAAACAATTCCTCTTCCCCGATAGTTGGGACTACGAGGATAGGAAGGAGTACACCCTATCAAAGATAGAAAAGAATCTGGAGACCAGTGAAAGTATTGACCTGGTGAGGGCGAGGGCCTGCAAAGACTGGTAAAAAAGTCAAAATGCAGCTAGTATGTAGTGTGTAGAGAAAGAAAAAAAATCTTAGCGCTAAACACGGCGTCTAACGACACACGAGACTCTAAGCTCAAGAACAGCTCACACATTGCACAATATCAGAAGGAACATGAAACGTGCACTGGACTGAATGGAATACGAAAGACAAGGAATGTGTTCCAAGGGTTGCTCTTCGCCAACGTTAACCACCACCAAATTCCCTACCTTCTGCCATCCTGCCCTGCCATTTTTCTGGGATATACACCGAAGATCAGGAGGCGACGAAAGCTTCTCGCTACCTCGACATGTGTATACATCAACCCAAATCACCTCATGACCTTCGAAACACGCAGAATACAGATAATCCTCGCCATACAGGTACCACTCTCGCGCGTTCATCAGGGGTACCCTCGAATGCCAGCATGTTTAATCTTCCCGGACCGCTGATTGGAACTCATACGGTGCGCATTGCATCACCAATCTGCTTCGAAGGTCTTCAACTTGGATTTACAAGTGACGAAACATTCGTGAACCTTGGTTTTATTTCTCCGGGGAATATATAAGCAATGTCATAAGGTCCTTTCTTACCTTGTCCGGACCTCATGCAACGGTCGGATCGTGACCTTTGCGGATGTGAAGACGAGGAGGAATACATATAGGTGGACGCTTCAGGTGAGTTTTGTCTTCGATTCCTGCCTTCCCATCCTTCTGACTTTGGGCATTCCGAACAGTGAATCGGCAACATGGTCCTGAGAAGAACGCTTGCTGTCATGTTGGCGGCTGCTGCGGCGGTCAACGCCTCAACTTTTGATGTTACATTTACAACTGCCGGCCATAATGTCCCTTCGACGCTATGTACGCGTGTCTTCCTCACCCTTCGGAGTTTCCGCTGCTTATTACCTTCCGATCGCATCCAGATGGGTTGATGTACGAGGTATAATGTTCCCTTTCGCGACGTGTTACTTGTACGGAACCTGACCGTTGTGAATCATCCATTGGTTAGGATATTAATGTGAGCCATCCAATTACTGTTCTGTGCGACATAGTCTGACTATTACTTTTCCTACCCCAGCACGTACGTCCGTCATATACGAACAATAGTCCATCGAACTGAATGTCGGCTAATTCTTATACAGAGTGGAGATGGAGGTCTTTATGCCGAGCGTACGTTATCCTCTCCTTGACCCACACCGATACCTCGCTCACCTGCCATCGTACAGTTATCCAAAACCGTGCTTTCCAACAAGTTACTCCCGGTTAGTTCACGAGCCATTTCTCTCCATCAGAATCTTCCGCCTTGCTTCCTATGGTCTCTCATCGTTCCTATAGGAACCTCGGCAGCTCTCACCGCCTGGGCCGCATTGGGATCAGCAAAGATATCCGTCGTCGCGTCCAGCTCGCCTGTATCAAGTGCTCTCCCCAACGCTCTCTCTTTCGCTGTTCCTTCCGGGAGCACAAGTACTGTTGGGTTTACTAACTCTGGATATTTCGGTACGCCTCGAATAAGTCTCGTTATCCGATATTCCGCCCATTTTTTTTTCTGCCTTCTAGGTATACCCGTCACTGCTGGCTGGACCTATACCGGTTCATTCTACTATCGCACTCCCACTCCTCCTGCTACCAAAATCTCTGGAAGCTTCACTGCGGACTTACGTTCTACTAGCGGCACGGTGTTCACGAGTACGACGGTTCCATTCACCACTAGCTCTACCTGGCAGCAAGCCACGTTCACGTTCACCGCCTCGTCAACGCAAAGTGCTGTAACCAATTTATTCGCGTTGTCTGTTGGCGGGTCGACTGTTGCTGGGCTGACGATGGAGTTTACCTTGATCTCTTTGTTCCCGCCGACGTTTAATGGGAGAAAGAATGGGTTCAGGATGGATCTTTCTGAGGTGAGTTTACTTCGTTCTCATTTGCGATGTGAATATATTGAATATCGTGTCTTTTGTGCAGACTCTCCTTGACATGAAACCGGCGTTCTTCCGATTTCCTGGAGGAAACAGTACGTCCATTTCCCTCCTCCTGTGAACTATTTAACAGAATAATGAACCAATCCTCGTTAGATCTGGAGGTAGGGCCCACTCTTGAACATTTGCACACCCGAGTATCGAATAACGATTTTGCGTTATTCTCCAGGGTGAAACTGCTGCTGACCGCTGGGCATGGGAGAACACTGTTGGTGACCTCGTTGATCGTCCAGGACGAGTAGGAGATTGGGGATATATCAACACTGAGTACGTTCGTTACCTTGAAGTTAACCCTTTAATGGACTCATCGTGTTTCTCTCCCTTGACATCAGTGGTCTTGGACTATACGAATACCTCCAATGGATTGAGGACATGGATATGCAACCTATTATGGCTGTGTACGCTGGTTCGTCGCAGACATTCTCGATTCTTCTAACCCTACCGTGGTGTTGATAAGTAAAACAACAGGGTATTCGTTAAACGGCGCCTCGGTGGCGTCAAACGACATGCAAACATACATCACTGAGGCAATTAATCAGGTACGTTTGGGTCGACAATCCGGTACATCTGCAAATGCTGATGTTCGGTCCTTGTTTCTCGTTAAATAGATCAATTTTGTCATCGGCGACGCGAGTACGAATGCTCAAGGTGGGTTATCTTTAGTATAAGCGTTCATATTAAACCGATTAACTAATGTATCTAAAGCTGCAATCCGTTCGTCAATGGGTCATCCAGATCCGTTCACGTTGAACTACATCGAAATTGGGAATGAAGACTTTTTCTCCCCTACGACGTAAGCAAATCCTAGTACTTTTCGGTGACCGTTCTTTACCATCCTATAGATACGCTGACTATCGTTGGGCTGACCTCTACAACGCATTACATGCCGAATTCCCTCAACTTCGTAAGTTTTCTTTCATTTACAATATATTGTATTCTGTTCTGACTTGTCTTGGAATTTTGTTTAATAGATTACATCGCCACAAGCGCAACCAGCGGTAACGTTCCCAGTCTCTCCCCCGCTCCGACCTATTGGGACCTGCATATCTACTCCAACCCTAGTAAGCTCGTTATCTATTGGAGACTGATTCAACGACTTGATTATGTGTCTGAAAGATTTCTTCATCAATGGCGCGTACAATTTCGACATTTTATCGAGGAACGGGCTTCAATTTTTCCAGGTATGTTGCTCCTCTCACTCCTCTCCCTATCCCTATCCTACCCTCTCACTCCCTCACTCCCCACCCCTTAATCCTATTATCCCCTCCCTTCTCCACTCCTATTTCCACCATTCATCCCTCATTATGCTGAACGATGTCAACCCGCAAATTCCTGACCAACTGCTTCCGTTCGTTCATAGGGAGAATACGCAACGACTACCGAAAATAGTGGCGCTGCGTTGACATATCCTTTCATTGATGGTATGCATTGTCTTCCCGCAAAATCCTGGCACCATCGACGTTCTTCTCAATCCGTTGATAGGTTCTATCGCCGAGGCTGCGTACATGGCTGGTTTTGATAGGAATTCTGATATTGTGTTTGCTGCTTCTTATGCTCCGCTGTTAAACGTGAGTAACGAGTTGGACTACGAAATATAGTTCTGTACGCTGATCTTCGTCATTGAATAGCATGTTTCTAGCACTCAATGGGTACGTCCATGATCAGTACTGAAAATTGAATCTCTTGCTCAATCTCTCCTTCCAGACTCCTGATCTCATTACTTTCTCGTATGTTTTACGCTCGAAGACTGATCATAGCTGATAGTACAACTTTTTGATCAGACCAAACACCGTTATCCGATCCACATCGTACTATGTCCAACAAGTACGTTATTCATAGGGAAATGCTACCCATTTCTGATTCTGACACTCAAAAACCTAGCTATACAGTCTGTACAAGGGTGACTTCTACCTCACATCTACGACCAACACCGCGAGCTCACCCGTGCAATGGAGTGTTACCCGTGATACCTCTGCGGGACAGTATTTCTTGAAAGTCAGTCCCAGTAACGCTATCTGCTTCATTGATTTTTCCTCAATCAGACCATTTGCAGGTCATCAATACCGCAACCTCCGCCAACACTGTTGTCTTTACCCTGCCCTTCACACCAAGTCATACGACTGGAACTGGGACGATTCTCACCGCGGCCTCAGGGACGCAAAATACACCAACTAATCCCAATGCTGCAGTTCCCTCGAGCTTCTCGTTCACGGCAGGGAAAACAATCACGTATAATGCTCCGGGGCTTTCGCTTTCGGTGCTTGTTGTTACGGCGTAAAGCATAGGGGGAATAAAAGGATCAAATTCGGAGTAGGTATTTAATGTAGCCTTCAGGATCTTTGACCCGATTGTACCCAGAATACATTTCAGAGTGAGAATCACAAACAGCAATGGAATAAAATCAGTCGAAAAGGGCAGAAATATTGAATAAATGTGCATAAATACATATCTAATAGTATGGTCTAGGGCATTGATTTCTAAACTGTAGCAGTAGTAAATACCATTGTCTCCAATCCTGTACCGGTTATTCCTAAGTCTCCTTGCTGTGGGATATTTCTTCTACCACCTTCCCCAGGTCCAGGAGTACCGGGATCTCGGACACCACTTTGATATATCATTCCCTGTGCCGCGCGTTTGCTTTCCGCTCGAAGATTAAGCAGCATATGATTTCCTAAAATTGACAATAAGACAACTGTCGGTGGATCTAAAATTCCTGAGAGAGTAGGCTAAGGCCAGTCCAAGCAAGGTTGATGAATATTGCGAACAGATTATAAACTTGGGACAACAGATACCTACATCCGGATTTGCGAACAGAATTGTATTTCCAATGAATGCAACAAAGATGCTGGAGATAATGATTCAGACTGATTATAATTGACCTGCTTCTGACTTACATAGCTAGATAGAGAAGCATATCATTCAGCAATAGCTCCAATAGATTTGAAGTCCATTCTTTGCGATTTCGTTGGTACTGAATGAAGAGCCTAATGACTAATATAAATGTGGTGGTTTCATAAACCAAAAGAGGGACCCTTGGCATATACTTCGATGAACAATAAGTTGAGACAGTCGGTATAATTTGGACCTACCAGAAAAGCCATAGATTGTGGTACTGGGTATAAACTGTGCATTGCTTGAAGCCAGGAGCAAGTTGAGCGGCGCCTAAACATTGTTGACGGTTCAGGAAAAATGAATTGTCTCCTCCGATTAAACTCAAACCTTTTGAGTGTGACCCGACTACTCCTACCACAGAGACCCCACATAGCATACACGTTATCATCAGGCCCAATAAAGGCCACCGAACCGCACTTGTATTGCGATACAAGGAGCAGACACTGAGCCAAACAATTCCGTCAGTGAGAGCTAGTTGAAGAATGCCTATCATCGGTGTCAGCTTCATCTCAATCTCAACCAAGTTCACCGTACTTGTTCCGATGAGCCAATATGCAATGGCAAATACGCCTTTTCAGTAAAATAGAGATTTGATTGAATATGGTGCCTAAACAATCTAAGGTCACCAACTTACAGCTGGACTCAGACAATAGTTAAACAAATTCAAGCCGAAAATAAAGGATACTTACAACTGGAAGGCAAGTTTTGAGAGGTGATCATTGAATTGCATTTGCGCTGGTAATCATATGAATTTTAAAATATTTGTACTGACCTCGTAGGTAACATTTGAGCTCACATGAGCTACATGAACAATTCAGAAGCATCATTTGTCAATGAAAAGTACTCACCATATGTTGTCACAAGTTGTGCTACAACAGCAAGGTAGCGATTCTGCAACATATCATGATTAATGAGTACTTTTGGTACAATGAATATCAAAAACTCACAGCTAGAAATAGGAAAGTAACTCCATTCTTGGGTCGGCCCTACGATGCTTTTTAACCCAAGATATTTTTTGAACTCTGTAGACTATACCCATATGAGCTCCAGCTGGTGAAAATACAATGAGCTAAGAATAAGAATATCAGTGCAACATGTATCAAATGAAGTGCTCTGACCTCGCTCTGGAATGTGAGAATGTAATCCCACAACAGTAATGTTAGAGCAGTAACTATGGATGACTTGAACATGGGATTTTTCTCTGTACCAATGGTGTTTACCTTCAAAATAACCATGCCACTGGGTATGAAGTAGTGCATTTTCAAGACCAAGGGAATAGAGAAGAGGAGATGACATTATCTGTCAAACTTATAGGTCAACCGACTTGTATCATGCTTTAAGTATTCTTCTATGTTGATTATCATGGGAAGTCTGCTTTGGCAGCCTGTTACAAAGTATACTTATCTATATCTCCATGAGAATATCTTTTGTTTGTTCGGATCCTGAAAACAGTATATTTACCTATATCTCCATGATAATATCTTTTGTTTGCTCAGATCCTGGAAACCTTGTGGGGCAGATTTCAGATTTCCGAACAGTCCCATGAATGAACCATTGGATATAGCTCGGAGGGCGAAGCCCTGCCTTGCCAAGAATAGGAATTGCCCCGAGGCCCCCTTCACTTATGACGCATTGAGCAATTCTCTCATGGTGTACTTGAACTTTGTGCCTTGTCAATTAAATTCCTGGCAAGCTAGTAGTATACATGAGAGTGAGCCCGTTGGTTCTTGCCTCGATCATCAATTTGACAGAAACACATCATAGCTGCTCGATGATGCCTTTGCCAATAAGAGGACTCTTCGAACTTGTAGTTTTAGCCTATAGCAAGTATTCAAGTTGGCAGTAGACTACTAATCTGCAAAACCTGGATATTCGGCTAAGGTCTGAGAGCAGATCCCAGCAGATCCCAGTGCTGAAAGCACTGAAAGCAGTATGCTCTGAGTGCTTTCACTGCTGGGAAGTGCTCCCAACTGCTTTCGGACCCTTAGCCGAAAATACAGGTTTTGCAGATTAGTAGTATATGATAGGATACTCAGAGGGCAACACTAAATCAACATGTAAGTTTATAACAGAAAATTTCCAGGAAAAAGTCCATTGCTCTACTAGAAATTCTTTCAAGAGTTTTAGTGTCTTGTACTCTGTCATGACTTGTAACTAAAAATCTCAGCTGCAGAAACGGTCAACTTGAAGCATGCAGTATCAAACCTTTTTATAGTTTACAAGAGTCACATAACTTGAATGGGTTGTCAAAGGGTGTTGCAGAAGAATGTTTTTGATTTGTCCCAGATTGTTGAAAAAAGAACTGGATGGCGCTGCATCTCAGCTTCGATAGCACATCCGAACACTCATCTCCGAAACCCCCCATCTATCAACCATCTTCAATTGCTATCACATCAGACCGATAGGACCGGAAATCGGATGCATCATCCCGGAAGAATCTACAACACACACGTGCATTGAATACTCTTGCCTCTCGACCCACTCTTGTAACTTCTGCAAATGCTTGCTTCGCTACTTTGCTTCGCAATACCCTATATCCTTCTGGTTCGAATTCTTCGTTACCGACGGGTCAAGCTGATACCAACGAAGTTCTCCGAAGATGAACTATTGACTATGAGCCCTTGGACAGCGCAGCAGATTGTTTATGAATCATTTTTTCATGATACACCCATGATGATGCTATTAGGAACTCAAGTAGCGTTGTTCAAGGTGTATGGAATTGTGAGCCACTTTATTCATTTGCTCTGTGAGACTTGTGATAAACTACTTCGTCAAAAGTCTTCAATTGCAACTCTTCTAATTCGTACTGGCGAATTGAAGACACCCCACACAATGAATAAACGTCTCGCGGATGTTTGTCAAGACATTCTCTTGATATATGCCATTACACTTACAAGGAGAACCGCAGACGAGCACCTTGATCGCCACATTTCTTTCCAATCCCTTGGTGGGACCTGGATATGAAACCCCTTCAGATGACCCGCGTGCAGCTATTGCTATTGCTCGCGTAAATTATTTACACAGGAAATATCGCATCGTCCGTACTTTATATCTTTATATCGACGAGATATCAATTATTCAACAGAACAACGATGACTATCTGTATAATTTGGCGTTGTTCATGATTGAGCCTATAGTTTGTGCATTTCTTGCTATTGCTTTCCGCTGTTCATTGAAGGAAATTTTGTAGAGGTGGACTGCACGTTTTGACTGGAGACCACATTCGCCCCTCGAAATTCAGGTACCTCTCTTTTGATCGTCAATGCGAAAAAAGCTGTAGCCACGCACGTAGGCCATATTTACTCTCTGGACTGAGATCGGAAGGAGGATGGGTATTAAAAATATCTGGGCATCGTACACGGAGATGGAAGAGTGGGTTGAAGTAACGTTACATCTCTTCCCAATTTCATTATTCCTTGTCAATACTGGCCTCTAGAATTTTGAAAAGTTGAATATGGTTCCTTCAACGGCATCGGCTGAGCTGGCTCGAACTACGATTAATCATTTTCTGGAGCGCATTCCTATACAATCTCTACGACCACTCTTCTTTCAGCTAATGTTAACTATCCTGGATACTCGTACACGGAACGCCATGCAGTAGATATATATTTCAGCCTATTTTCCATTCGCAGATTTCATACTCAACTGCTTTTTCCTCAGATTACCTGAACCAAATACCTGGGTGTCAGCGCTAATACATTGGCTTTTCATCATCCGAGCGTTTGTTGTTCGAAATCTTTGCCTTCCTCGCCGAAAACCCGCAATATGGGTGCAGCTGGATAACACGTACAGGCTAGATGAAGATGGTGTTCCGAGGATGAGTGCTGTCTAGTACGTCAACACCAAATTTTATTCTTCACAACTCCGAGTCTAATAACTGCTTGGCATATGCAACTTTGTTTCAGTCAAAGACGCTCTGGTCCCTACTATTTCCCTCAAAAGACTGGCTTTGCTTTGAGGTTGCAAAATCTTTTCATTTCGCTTGGGCTCAGAAGTGAGGAAAAATCGCCTGGTAGTAAATGGTTCAGTGAGGGATACCGATTGGAAGAGTTGGTGTGTGCCATCATGTATTTCTCATCTGCTTATCCGAACTCATTCGTTCTCTCCTAGGGTCCTATACAGTTCAAAGAGGGTCAGTAAAAAGTCCTTGCTCAACCCATCACATCCAATGTGCATCTTGTGTCTGTGCGTCACATAAGATTCTGATATATATATATATATGGAACAGATGGTCATCAGCAAGTAATGCAAGAAGCTGCAATTTTACAGGTTTGGGATTTTTACATTAGGTTCTATATTTTCTGGGGCCTGAACAAATTCTGCATATACAGGGGTGTCCACTTACAGGATTGTGGGCGAAATAGAGGTTGTGTTTTTAGGTACATATATATCGGCCAATGGACCAGTGACCACTTGCTAGTGCGAGGTTAAGATCCAAGATAATATTGTCACATGATGAGGGTAATCATTAAGACGAAATTGACTCTGTAATGAATGGATAACTACAAGCAAACTGGAAAAAGAAATATGAGAGATTGAACAAGTAGTAGGCTCCACTGTCATGAACTATATCTTGCTTGATGATAGCTGGTGCAGTTGAATGGTAGACTGGGTCCAGAATGGTTGCTTGCACATAAGAAAACTGACCGAATCCGGGTAGAAGAAACCTTGCAACCAGGTAAAACAGTATGTGTAGGCAAAGGAAATACGGTTTCTAATTAAAGTAATTATGAAGTAAAATTGGTTCAACCCGGGATCGAACCGGAGACCTTCTGTGCGAAGTCAATGTAAGACAGATGCGATAACCACTACGCCATTGAACCTTATATTTATAAGGACCTGTAGCGTACCTAGATCACAAAAATGTGTCAAAGAATTGGTACTGAACCGACAGCTGCTCAGGATTGCGAGTAGTGATTTAATGACTGTAGAAACCTGTAGTAACAACTGTAAACTCACACGGGAGTTGGGCACTACTGTTGACCATTTTTGACACACTGAAAGTTATCACGTACCGGTTTTCCGCTGTTGAATGCTCAAAGAATCTCATCTTGTAAACACGTTATTCCCATCCATTTCATCTGGATTGTGTCATGCCTTGACCACAACCAAGCCAGCCTTAATACCAGCTCCATGATCATAGATCATACAATCCCTATCTCTCCATTTCTGTACCATCTCTATACCTCCCCAAGACAGTACATCTTTTCATTGAACCATCACCTCCCCCACCCCGGAACACAGTTGGAACCTCCTTCGACATGTCTGATAACTCCATCAACATGCCTATGTCTGACAGACATGCGGATCTAGATTACAGCAGACCCGACAGTCAAAGCTCCTAATGTTCTCTTGTTAACTTCCCATACCTATTTAAGTAGCCTCACAGCATCCCCAAGCGATAGCTTGGTATATTTTGAACACACACTCTTTTGCATAGGTCCAGTCCCTGTCCCTTTGTACCTGTTAAATATACAGATTTTCTCTTTACTCTCTGTTTCTTTATCTCAATCTCTCTACTTTTGTTTCTCATCTCTACGATCATCTACACAATCCAATATACACTTTTACTTCATGTCTAAGCAATCTGAGTGAGTCTTCAAGCTCCCTCAACCAATACTAAAGCTCCCCAATGTCTACCATTTTGGCAAGCCAACCTTCCCCAAACTTCCTCAAGCTCCCCAACTGCTCCACAAGTTCTGGGACCTCTATCCAGGTAACGTCGAAGCTATCCCTTATGTCGAACTACATACCGCTTCTCCATTACTACCTCCACCACTGTAAGACCTGGGTCAAAATGGGTCTTAGGGTAGGTTTTGGTATGTGGAGGTTTATGTTGTAGCGTGCTAGGAGCAGGCTGGAGCTCGAAGGGAGCTACGAGAACCGCGACCGAGGACGGAAATGACCTAGTAGTGGCTGGAGCGACGAGATGATGACCCTTGAGGGGGTTCCTAGGAGGTCCAGGGAGGTCCCTAAGGCGTAGGGAGGTTAGGGAAGAGTGCGGGACCGTACTATATTGCGTAGTAGGAGTTGTACTCGCTAGAACGTCAATATAGGATCGAGTAGGTCGTATGTATAGATGGGTCTCGAGGTGGTAAGCTCCCAAGAAGGGATGTGCCAGGGAGGGTAGGTCCCTGGGGGCTAGGCTTGAGGATGGACGTCCTCGAGTGTGGGAGGTGGTAACGGAGAAGCAGTACGTAGTTCGACGTGAGGGGTAGCTTCGATGTTACCTAGATTGAGGTCCTGAAGCCTATAGAACAGCTAGGGAGCTCGAGGAGGTTTGGGGAGGTTAGCTCACCAAGGCGGTAGGCGTTGGGGAGCTTTAGTATTGTTCGAGGGAGCTCGGGAACTCACTCGGATTGCTTAGACGTAAAGTAAAAGCGTGTATTGGGTCGTATAGACGATCACAGAGACGATAGACAAGAGTTGAGAGAAACAGAGGTAATGAAACAGAGAGTAAAGAGAAATCCGTATGGTTAGCAGGTACAAAGGGACAGGGACTGGACCTATGCAAAAGGGTGTGTGTTCAAAATATACCAAGCTGGGCTTCTGGACGCTACTGGACTGATTAAATACGTATAGGGAAGTTAACAAAGAGACATAGTACGAAATGGGCACTTAATGGGGTTTCTAAGTACATGAGGACAGACAGGAGGACGGAATGATGGGCGCATGTGCGGGGTTGCAGGACCCTGTCGTGGAGTGGTTCAGTTGCATTGAGGGGAACTAAGGATCTTGGAGGTTGTCCTAGCAGCGAGGAGGTTTGCGGGGCGTTGGGAGTGTTCTCAGGGGTTCAGGGAAGTGGGCTGAGGAGGTAAGGGGGACTGAGGAGGTTGGGAATTATGTTAAGGAGCTTATGGGCTATGGAATCCGGGGCGAGGCATGACAACCACTAGAGGACATCCACCGCTACCCCCACTTTGCTGGACCTCCTTCCCGGACTCACACCTTATCGGGAGCTCACACATTCGAGACCTCCATCAACTACGATCTACAATGATCCTACGTTGAAGTTCCTAGCTAGTACAACTCATACTATTTAACACTTCTACGTCTATCGGTAACAAGCTTGCCTCATTTTTGTGTGAAAGAGAAAGGAAGGAATCAAATGGGCACTCCAACCAACCAATCTAATACACAATATGCGAGTTCACTGCTATCAAATTTATTTAATAGCAAGGGGTAGCGTTGTTAAAGGTTCCGCAAAGCTTTGAGAGCTAGGTAAGAAGCTTCGATCAATCAATTTGAATCATTCTAAGGATTCGGTAAATTCCTTTGATTAAGGTAGATTCAGCACAATTTGTGCTTTGATTGTATTGATATGGATATATCAAGATTTGGGGGTTTGAATCAAAGTAAATTAAAACCGAAACACACAGACCCCTACAGAGGGCTAGAACTATGTGCTGGCACAACCACACAGCGTGATTTGCCCTTAAGACCAACAACTGATCCTAAGTTCAAAGAATACCCAACAACTGGATATACTTCTCGCAGTCACAAGGAGCAGAACATGATGTTCCTATACTCACAAGTGCCGGGCCCGAATGGCTGCTAGCGAAGAGGTTTCAGTCTGGTGGGAGTGTGTCTTTCCTTTTTACGGATTAGCACTGCAACGTCGTCCCAAAATCACTTGTATTCCAGATACATCGGATCGCTATTTATACATACAGAATATAGAGTCGCACAGTACAATTAATTTAATACAATAAATGTTCGGAACTGCAAGGAGACTTCTACAATCGGTCAGATACCATTTAATTTGAATCTACATGTCCTTATTTGGTCCATAATGGTTCCAAGATTCGAGTATACCTCCAAACATAGGTAGGTACTTCAATATTCATTTAATTTAATTGTTTTGGAGAATGACTCGAATGGTGTTCAGCTGTCACTGCTGTTCAACACTTACTTCAATTGTTTGTCACCTCGTCCGGAGGCAAATCAGCTCTCCTTGATTCTAATCCTATCAATCTGATTCATCTGGATTAAGCTAATTGCTTCTCTCTTTCAATAGACACCCATTGTGCCTATACTCTATCAAGGGAGTTATGCATAGTATTCATTTAATTGTGTTCTTCAATATTTTCTACGTCAGGACTCTTTGACATTCATTTGATATGTCTTTGGAGCCTCGCAGTACCTCGATCGTTCTTCTAGTCATTTTCCTCAACCATGCAACCTGATTGGTCTATTAGACTAAATCACAGTCTTTTAGATTAATGCATGATCTTGTTCTAGAAGGAGTATTTGACAATTCCTGAGTTCTAGAAAGTCATTTTGAGTCAATCCTCGGCTCATGGTCACTTGAGTAAGTTCTTCCAAACTCCTGCCAGTGTAAGGTCCAATAAGAATACCCTTGGTATGTCATACGTGAATGGTCATCCTTTGGATGTAGTCCGAGTCTCGTATAATCCTGCTTGACAAACGGGTAGACTGTTATCCGAAGGTAGTATTGGTGACACGCCTAAATTTTGGCTAGACGTCTATGCTGTGAATTGTGACATTTTCACGTATAGATTTGTATCGAGAGGACTGTAATTGAGACCCAGATTGACAGTCAAAGTCAATTGCTTGACAAACAGGTAGATGTCATAAAGTACGCAGCCCCTATCATTTTCCTTTTCTCACCGTCTCGACGCCTTTACTTGTACGATACATCATCCCATCACTGTCAAACCCCCATCGATTACTGATCCATCGATTACTGATCCACCTGACCCATCTTCTCCTTCTATTGGCTTCCGCCACCTTCCTTGTTCCTAAACTGTACAGTATTACATCGTTGTTTCTCGCAGACCGGATTATGTATATATAGCCAACCCTCCACAGCCTGGTCCCTTATCTTGACCTCTCTGTCATTATCTGGGACCAGGTATGTGCTTACTTATTATTACCTATGACTACGATACTCAATATATCTCTGTCATTATCTGGGACCAGTCTGCCGCCGTTCTGCTTAGTCGCTCCGCCTTGTTGCCTTGTCCAGTTGCTCCGCCTCACCGTTCTGCTTAGTCGCTCCGCTTTCCCGCTCCGTTAGTCACTCCGCCTCTGCTGCTTCGTGACATTAGGTCAAGATCCATTACTGCACTGACAGCCTACCGATAAGGTTGTCCTTGCAGGGTCTATAGACACCACGTCTTCCCCAGTTCCGCCCGACTCTGAAACACCTGTTGACAGTATAGACTGCTCCGCACTCCCGCACGCACTTGACCCCAGAGACCAAGCTCACGCCCATAACAACGACGATACTTGGCGCAATTGCCAGTCTCAACCTTGCCCCAACGCCCTTTCGACCTCAATCCGAGAGCCACTCACTGTGAGCAATATAACCTTCCTGCCGATTCCCCAGCCCCGATTGCCTACTCCCATCATGTCGACTCCTATCCTGCCTGCCCCAAACACCTCTGCGGAGGATCTCATGGCTCAGCTCATCAGACAAGTAGCTAACCTTGCTACAGCTATGGAGGAACGCTCATCCTCTAAGTCAAGCATGAACAAACCCGAGGTTTTCAAGGGTAAAGATGGCGCTGAAGCCCGTCGCTTCATGGCTCAGTTCCAGAATTGGGCGTCAGAACAACCGGATCTCGCCAAAAGCCAAGTAAAACTCATCAAGTCTGCCTTGGGCTTCTTCACAGAAAGTGCCGGAGATTGGGCAACTCCCCATCTGCTACATTTCAATGCGGAAAATCCCCCTTTCGGAGGAAATTGGGAGGCGTTTCTGAAGGAATTTAGCCAATGGTTTGAACCAATGGACCCAGGTATGGAAGCCCGTAGCGAGATCAAGAATCTCAGGCAAAGTAAAGGACAGACAGTTGCGGAA